TTTTCTGGGTTTTTGAAGACCACATGCAACACCGATTTCAATCAAATTTATGGGTTTTGTTTTAATTTTCTGGGTTTTTGTTTTAATTGATTTTTTAATTGATTTTTTTAAAATTTTATTCGATTTAAATTCTTTTTTTTTTTTGGGTTATTGGTTTGATCGATTTCAATCAAATTTCTGGGTTATTGTTTTGATTTCAATCGAATTTTTGGGTTTTTTTTTAAATTTTAATCGATTTTCATTTGAATCGAATTTTTAATCTATTTTTTTTAATCAATTTCGATTTTGATTTTTTTTTTCAGATTTTAATCGGATTTTTTTTCGATTACAATTTATTTTTGTTTTTTGGGTTTTGTTTGAACACCGATTTTAATTTTTTTCGATTTCTAATTTTTTTCTTGGTTTTTTTTATTTTAATTATTTTCAATTTCTGGGTTTATTCGAATACTAGATTTAAATGGATTTCAAATTATTTTTTTTCTGGGTTTTTTCGATTTCAATTTTTTTTTTTATCATATATTGCAAATTTTCGATGATGATTGATATTCGCTTTATATATGTTTTGATGTTGTTATTTATTTGTAGTCTATTTAATTTTTAGGTGGAAAAAACAAAACAATATATATATATATGGGCATTTTTAGCACCGGTTTACCGGTGCCAAAAACAACAAAATAATTTTTGTTGGCCATTTTTGGCACCGGTTAACCGGTGCCATTTCCGAGTTTTGGCACCGGTTTGAACCGGTGCCTTATTAAACCACTTTTGGCACCCCCCACATTGGCACCGGTTCAAACCGGTGCCTTAGGCCGGGTTTGAACCGGTGCCAATTTCATATTTTCACGTAGTGGTAATACTAATACGACAACATATAAAAATACTGCATATATAAGGTAAATGAAAAACATTGTGCACGGGAACTTACAGCAAATTGCGAAGATATTGCAACAATTGGATTGAACAAGTACACTGCGCCTCGCAAGGTACCCCGAAGAGTGCGAAATATAAATAAAATAAGAATGGAAATATTTAGTAAGTTTTAAAACTATAATTATGTGTAATTCTTTGCCTTGGACTGGCATTCTTTTTATGCAGCTTTCCACCTTCAGCTTGACATTACTGTTAAGTAATGTTCTTCAACAAAGTAAAGAATGGAATATTATGAAGTAAATGCAACGATATTAATCAAAGAATAAAATAGTATTCTTTTCCACTTTTTGCAAGTTCCCTCCATGGTTTTTGACAAATTTGGATGAAATAGATTATAGAATGACTTTATTATCATTCACCACTAGGTTGAGTCTTTATTATACAAAAGCTAAGATCATAAGATAGAAAACAATCTTTCTAAAAGATATACTCCCTTTGTTTTATAATGTTAGTCTCATATATCATTTTGGGCATTTCAAAAAAATCTACTCAAATAAAATATGTTCGATTTTTAACTTAATTTTTTTGGAATTAATTGGCTGTGGAATGATGACGTGGCTCTAAATTATAAATCTCTATTTTAAATTATGCATTATGACTTATATTTTCCTTAAAAAAAATATATAAAAAAAAAAACCCTTAAATAAGATAAACTAATTATAAAAGTTAGTCTCTCTCCTCCTTTCTTTCTCCAAAACCTTAGCCTCCATTGTTGAATTTTGAAGGGGCTTCCATCGATTTTAATCGGTGGATCGGAAAGCCCCAATCCTTGTTTCTTTATTGCTTTTTTTAGGTTCATAATAATGTTTCCTCCTTTTGGGAGGAACTTTTCTCCCTCGAAAGAAAGGGTTTCCGATCTCCTTCGAAAGACAAGGGTTTTTCGACCTCCTTCGAAAGACAAGGTTTATCTCCTCTTTTCGAGGGAGAAATTTCTTAGTTTTGAATCCATGGTAGCAGATCTAACGGATTGTCGTGAAATTATTTCGTTGGTGAAAAAGTTATCAAGTTTTCAAATACGAACAGATGAATCAGAAGGAAAACATCCTCACGGCTACAAAGGATCGTTAGATTGTCTCTCCAACAAGGCTGTAATTTTCAGCGAAATAAGCGGGAGATGCTCCGCAGTGCAAGATCTACTCGACGATCGTAGTTTTTATGAAGGAAAATTCTATTTGATTCAATATCTTATGTATTTGTTAACGTCGAATCTCTATTGTAGATGTCGTATGACTTTTAATTAATGAAATATTTTTTCTATTCAAAAAAAAAAAAGATAAACTAATTATGAATTATAATGCCTTTAAAGTTAGATTCCAAATATATTTTTTTTCCTTATTTTATGTGATTAATTCCATATGGGACTGACATTAAAAAATGGAGGGAGTACATAATTAACCATAAATCCTAAAGATATATTTTCTAAATAATATGTTAACATGAATAAATAATCATAAATATATAATTCACCTAATTATATCTAGGAAAATATATCACACATATATTTACTGATATTTTATATCTCTATTCCTAACAGTTTTCCTTGAGAGGGTTTTCTAACCAATTTTAGGGTTTTTCTTTGAAGGGTTATTTTAGCATCCTGATGTGTTTATTTTATATAGTATTTTACCCCCGTCCCTTGGTCATAATTGGTAGTGTTTTTGGCTCTTTAGAGCTACTTTTATTACTACTTGGTGTTTTCTAGTATTTTCGTAGATTTGGTTGACTTTTACAAGGATTTGCACTTTTGGAGCAATTTTTTCGAGATATTATGGAGCAATTACGAGCATTGGAGAAGCACGACCAGATTCTAAAGCCCAAGGCCGATTAGAGTCATCGAACCGGTGATTAAGGGCTCGGTATATGTGATACCGGGGCATTTGGACCGAGTATTCAAGACCCGAAGAGGAAACTCAAATTGGCCCGAAGAATTGGAGCCCAATCGTAGTCCACATAATGGCCCAAGAGTGTCCCCGGCCAAAGAGGCTAGCGCCCGGAGGCACGCCCGGTCGGGCAAGGGAAGCAAGGCCAGCGCTCGATCTCACGCCCGGCCGGGCGCGAAGAAGTACATCTGAGGAAAAAAGGCGCGCCCAATCGGGCGGTGCCTCGCCCGATCGAGCGCGTGTTATTATTAAGAGACGATTAGCGTCGTTTAAGTTTGTTTTAGTTTAGGATTCTTACTTAGTATAAATACTTTTCTGTAAAACGAGTTTCGGATCATCTTTTACTTTTTCTTAATTCTTTCTTAGATTTTCTCCCTCTACTTAGCTTTTAGATTAGTTTCTCTCTCATATACTTTGTTCTTAACTCTATTCTTAATTCCAGACTTCTTTGGTAACGATTTCTCTTCTCTTAATCTTAGTTATTTATTTAATTTCTTTGATCATGTCTTGTTTTATTACTTTGATTAGTTTAGTTTTAATTATGTGTGAGTAGTTCTATTTCTAGGGTTTGTGGGGATCCATAAATAATATGAAGGGGTAATTTATTGTTGTTAATTGTCAATGCTAGATTAATTTCCTATTGATTGATTTAATGCTCTGAGACTAGATTTGCGCAGATCTTTTATGCATGAGTTTGACAACATTGATTCAAGATTCGAGAGATGAGAATTAATGTTTAGGTCTAGTTTCAATAGGCAGGTTAATTTATAAATAGTTAAGTCGAGATTCGAGAGATGAGATTTAATACCGGTAAATTAATTGTGTGATTGCAATACGTAGCGAAAGCCCTTTATGATCTGATTAATGTATGCATTGATGATTGATTATTATGTTTTACCCTGGAATATTATTTATTGGTGAACCTATACCCTAGGCCTTTTATTCATTGTTTTCTCCTTATTCTTAATCTTCGTAGTTTAGTTTCCTTTGATTATAATATTTTGGTTACTTTATAATTTAGATTATATTAATTAATTAGGAATAGAAAGACTCGTTTCTCTGTGGATTCGACCCTATTTCCCTATCTACATTAGTTAGAGGATTTAGGAATTACTTTTGATTAGGTGATACAACTTTAGCCTGTCACATCCATTACTAGATTCTTTCTATTTTTTCAAAGGTTTTCATTCCTACTTTTATCTCTTTTCTCCAATTATCTTTCATCTCTTTTCTTCATGGTATCAATTATGAATCTTGGAGGGGCTTCCAATGATGTGTTTTACTATTGGTAATAAGCAAAAAAAAAACTTTTTAATTGATTTCAATAAAAGATGTCATTCTTGAGATGGTGTGGTTCCATCATTTGGTGTGTTTATTTTCTTTATTTATCCCTTTGGCGATGATTGAATATCTAGGGTTTCATAATTTCCGAAATTATTTTGACGACCACGTGTATATATTCGCCCAAACTATTATACATCAGTGGATTTCAAGCCGAATTATTGAATTAGTGTCAACTCACAAATTGTACTGCTTCATATGAAGTTTTTTTTATTAAGGTGATTGTTCAAAATATGAAATGTAATTAGTTCTAAGGTGATATGTACTTGTATTGGAATTCCATTATTATTAAAAATATTGTTCTTTTCCACATTTGGAAGATTAAGAAATTCTTATTTATTCTTTTTTTTTTTACAACCGAAATTCTTATTTATTCAAGTTATAAAATATTCATTTCCCTCTATTTCAACATGTTAAGAGATTATGTATTAACTAGGGGTGATCACGGATCGAATATCCAAAATTGGATTTAGGATCGGATATCCGTATCTGAAAATCTTAATATTTGATATCTGATCCGATCCGAAATATTCATACATGTACTCCCATAGAAGCTTCTTCATTATCTGATACTTGAAGGATATGATTTATGTCATTAGTACAACTTCAATTTATAATTATGTTGGATTCATCTTAAAGCTCTAATGTTGTATGTATTACATTAAGTTATTACATAATTACAATACGCAACATGTTCAGCCCGAAGATATTATTCTTAGGTCTAATAAACACAGTACATCTTGATCATCGTACAAGTGAACAATGAATACAATTATGATGGAACAGAACAAGAAACAGAATTATTAGGTTGATGATGGGTGTATTCTTTGAGACAGTAGAACCCCAAGTGTAAATGATATAATGAATGCTAAAAGAATCCATTTCTGCGGTATCAGAATATAAACTTCTCTCCGTGAGGTTGTTGATTGAAGCTCCATCTGTATCACCAGGTTTAATCGTCTCCTTTCTCGGCACCTTTGGGATACGCACTCTTAGTGTAGCTCCGTCAAATATCTTTGTTATGCTGTTAACGTCTCCATCTTCTGGCACATTGAAGCTCTTTTCAAAATGCTCTTGTTTCTCATCATCTACCTTTGTCCTTCCGCTTACTACTACGATCCCAGATTCATTGACATTCAGCTTAATATCCTCTTCCTCAAAACCTTCAAACAAAACATACTTGTAAAATTTGACCATGCATCTCATGCAAGATAACTATCTTAATATTGTACTATTACGTATTATGAGTTATTGTTAACATGTGCCCATCATTAGAAGATCCCTAAATCAATGTGTGATATGCACTAATCAATTGTGTTTTACTATTCTTCTTTAAAAACGAGGCCATATGTATAGTACGCCAAATGTCTACAATTTGCTAAAATTGGAGCAAAAAGTGTACATATTTTTACCACCCCCTATAATTTTTCTGTTTTTTTAATTTGCCAATTTTTGTCACATGTACATATTTTTACCACCCTCTATTATATTTTCTGTTTTTTTATTCGCCAATTTTTGTCACATTCACCTTTCTTTACTCTCTGCTTCCCATTTCCTTTTTTTTCTTTCTTGTTTTAGAATTTCTTTCCTTTATACCACTATTTTGCAACTAACAAAATTGGACTTTCAATCTTGGGTAATTCAGAATAGATTAAAAACACTCTAAAAAAATTTAAAATATTATTATAAAAAAAAAAAAAAAAAATTAAAAAAAAAAGGAATTTGTTAGGAGATAAAAGAAAGTTAAAAAAACAGAAAAAAGAATGACAAAAGTTACAATAATGTGTATGTTCTTGTTCATATTTGTTTCAATCATCCTTCCCCTACATGTACAGGCTAACATTGGTGATTTCGACGACCATTGGAAAAATCGAGAGCAGCAAGCAAAGATGAATGCAGCTAAGGCTTATGATCCCAATCCACAAGAAGCTTGTCACACGCTTAATAAACAAGTTCACGAGTATGTTATTACCATTCACCTTTCATTTCTTACAATATGCTCTACACATTTGACGTTTGATTGTAGGGGCATATAGAGACCTAAATTTCAAATCTAGACGTGATGTCTAAATAAGAAATCTTTTAAATTTAGATAGACAAGTCGATTTTGAATCACCAGCATAGGCGTCAACCTAATCTAACTCATCCTTATAGATGCAATAAAGTGGCCTAATAATCTAAATTATTTTTTATCACCCAATATGCTTTTTTTTTTCAAAGGCTTTCTATCATTGAGTCTCAAATTATTCTATTTTTTTTTTAACAAGAACAAATTTTTTTTGATATATGTAACATACACTTTTGTTTTGGAATAAGTTATAAGTAATATTATCTTCAAGAAAGTAAAACGCGAACCTTGTTCATTAAGTGAAACACAATTAGGTCGACTAATGTAAGTATTTATTAAAGTAATCTATATAATAATATATATTACAAGGCTTTCCTAAATAAGTTTAGGTGCCACATGAAACTTTTCTCAATTAATCATGTTATTTCACGTGCTTAAAATTATGGATTGAACAAAGTTTGAACTCAAGACCTCAAGTTTCAAAACTATATTTCCAGCCACTAAGCTATACCATATTATATGTCATTTTATTAAAATTAAATATAATTAAGGATTTCAATCATGGAATAAATATAGTATCTCGAGGCATCGCCCAGAGCCTATAAAAACTAGTTATAATTATATGTTTGATGACACAGGAACTACCATGAGACGAGCAACAACAATACAAGGAGGGGCTTAGGGAAGTATGATGGTCATTGCCTAGCCGCGAACCCTATAGACCGGTGTTGGAGATGTGACAAGCACTGGTCCATGAACCGTCAAAAGTTAGCTGATTGTGCTAGAGGGTTCGGTCACAAGACCACCGGGGGTAAAAAGGGAAGAATCTATGTTGTGACCGATGACTCAGATGGTGACCTACTAAACCCTAAGCCAGGAACCCTCCGCCATGCAGTCATCCAAGATGGACCACTTTGGATCACTTTCAAGCATGGCATGGTGATTAGGCTAAGTGAAGAGCTCCTCGTTTCGAGCAACAAGACGTTAGATGGCCGTGGAGGGCACGTACACATAGCCGGCGGGGCTGGGATAATGTTACAATATGTGGATAATGTGATCATACATAGTGTACATATACATGATATTAAGAAGGGAAATGGAGGGCTTATTAGAGATTCTATGAGCCATTTTGGGTTTAGGACTGCTAGTGATGGTGATGGTATATCTATTTTTGGATCGACTAATATTTGGATTGATCATGTTTCTATGTCAAATTGTATGGATGGCTTGATTGATGCTATTGAGGCTTCTACTGCTATCACCATCTCCAATTGTCACTTCACCGATCACAATGATGTAAGTATACGCTCCCTGTGTGCTATATGTTTGGCTATTATACAGGGACTCACGTAGGACAATAATGTAGACAAGATTTGATTTTTACTTTTTTCGTTACATCTACAAAATCTTACAATCTAGGATATGACCAGTAAGTGTTTAGATCAGTTGGTAAGGTAGCAGTTATTCTAGCTTAACCGAGGTCTCGGGTTTGAGAGCTGGGGATGTAATAACAACTAGTCTCATGATTAGAAATTTTGGATTGTCATAACATTAGTAACCAAATGCATATATGTAAATAAGTAAATCTAATGATATATGTATAGGTGATGTTGTTTGGAGCAAGAGATGGTAATACATTGGATGAATTAATGCAAGTAACAATAGCATTCAACCATTTTGGGAAGCGTTTGATACAAAGAATGCCAAGATGTAGATATGGGTTCTTCCATGTTGTTAACAATGACTACACTCATTGGGAAATGTATGCCATCGGAGGAAGCCAACACCCTACTATCATTAGCCAAGGAAATCGCTTCATAGCACCTCCTAATCTCTTTGCTAAAGAGGTAACTGTTGTGCGACAGCGGAAGCAAAGGTCGAAAACAAACAAGAAAACAATAAAGAAATTCAATGCAAACAATAAGAACAACACCAAGAATTTACGTGGTTCACTATCGATGTGATAGCTACGTCCACGGGCACCGAGATCGAATGATTTCACTATAAACTGCAAAGATTACAAAGATGATTCTTGTATTTCTCAAGAACGGCTCTCACTCTGTCTCTCTTAACCCTAATACTGATATTAGGGAGGTTTTATATTAATCCCTAATTCAAAGATACTTGGGCAAAAAGATAATAAAATAAGATAACCTAAAACCGCAAAATCCGCGTTCCGTATTTTTCCTTCTCCGCCCGGTCAGACCGGGCAAGGTCTGCCCGATCGGGCGCGAGAAGAAAACTCCATACGAATGCTTCAACGTATCCAACCCCCACCGCCCGGTCAGACCGGGCAAGGTCTGCCCGATCGGGCGAAGGCTCGCCCGGTCGGGCGAAGGCTCGCCCGGTCGGGCGCGAGAGCAGCTTCTTCAACGAATTTGCCAGGCACCTCTTCTTCTTCCGCCCGGTCAGACCGGGCAATGTCCGCCCGATCGGGCGGACAAAGCTACGAAGTACGAGTCACCTAATATACTTATCAACAATCTCCACCTTGACAAGAACTCGTAGTCAGCAAACGACCCCATCAAGACATAGTGAAAAAACATCTCAAGCCAAACCCGATGCAAGACTCATGCATAAGCCATACATCCCGATAAGTCTTCAACCAAGACCCATCACATACTCGTCTCCAAGTATAACAACTCATAATGCTCCACCTGCATCACAAGCCCCGGGCAAGCTCCACCTTAAGGCCAACACACCTACACCAGGAGCTCCCCAACTTCGCCCCTCAGGGCCTACTACATCACGTAGTAATCAATATTTAGCAAGTCTAAGCAATGTTTAAACTTGCTAAACGGAACAGGCTTAGTGAAGAAATCAGCCGGGTTGTCAGCAGTCCCAATCTTCTTCACCTTAATCCTCTTGTCAGTACGTAAGAAATGATACCTGACATCAATGTGCTTCGTCCGATCATGGTGTACTTGATCTTTAGCTAAGCAAATCGCACTTAGACTATCACAATACACTGTAGCAAAATCCTGTGCAATACCCAGTTCACCTACTAGGCCTTTGAGCCAAATAGACTCCTTAGCTGCAGAAGTTAGAGCCATATACTCAGCTTCAGTAGTTGACAACGTAACTGATGACTGCAATGTAGACTTCCAACTAACCACAGAACCACCCAAAGTGAACACATAACCAGTCACAGACCTCCTGGTATCCACATCAGCTGCATAATCAGAATCACTGTACCCAGTGACCAAGCATTCCTTATCATTCCCGTACACAAGACCAATATCAGCTGTCCCTCTCAGGTAGCGAAAAATCCTTTTCACCCCTTGCCAGTGTTCCCTCCCAGGTCGAGCCATAAACCTGCTTACAACACTAACAGCATGCGCAATATCCGGCCTAGTACAGACCATAGCATACATCAAACAACCAACCGCGTTTGCATATGGAACTCTAGACATATAAGACAACTCCTCCTCTGATTGAGGTGACATAGACAAAGACAACTTACAACTAACAGTAGTTGGCGTACTTATAGGCTTCGATTTTTCCATCCCAAAACGAGACAGAATCTTTTCAATGTAGCTTTTCTGAGTCAAGAAAAGCTTACCTCTAGCCCGATCCCTGTAGATCTCCATACCCAAAATCTTCCTAGCTGCACCCAAGTCTTTCATGTCAAACTCCGAGTTAAGCATCTCCTTTAATCTAGCAATATCAGATTTATTCTTTGTGGCAACCAACATGTCATCAACATATAACAAAAGATAAATCATGGAACCATTATCCAGCTTACTATGATACACACAGCAATCATATGAATTCCTGTCAAAACCTTGTGAAACCATAAAAGAATCAAACCTTTTGTACCACTGTCGGGGGGATTGCTTAAGTCCATACAATGACTTTAGCAATCTGCAGGCATAGTGTTCCTTTCCAGGAGCTTCGAATCCTTCGGGCTGCTTCATCAGAATCTCCTCCTCCAAATCGCCATGAAGGAAGGCCGTTTTAACATCCAACTGCTCCAGCTCAAGATCAAAATGTGCTACAATTGACAATAACACACGGATAGAAGTATGTCGAACCACAGGTGAGAATATCTCAACAAAGTCAACCCCTTCTACCTGACTGAACCCCTTAGCAACTAGCCTAGCCTTAAAACGTATTTGCTCAGTTTCCGACAACCCTTCTTTCTTCTTGTAAATCCATTTACAACCCACAAGCTTCCTCCCTTCCGGTACCTTTACCAGTTCCCACACTCTGTTCTTGTAAAGGGACTGCATCTCTTCACCCATTGCGGCAAGCCATTGCGCAGACTCACTACAACTAATTGCTTGTTTATATGTGGCAGGTTCAAATGACTCTACATCATCAGCTACACTCAATGCATAACCTGTCATCGCATCAACACAGCAATTTCTTCCCTCCATCTCTTCAATCAATCTAACAGGCTTCTTGATAACTCGTTTAGGCATCTCAAGAATGGTGTCAGGTTGACTAGATGACCCCTGATTAGATTGCTCCACCTCATCCCCAGAGTTAGAATGAGTAGGAGTAATCTCAGGTTCAGGAGTACCCGGCACTGGAACATCAGCATCATCATCAATATATTGTACCCGAGGTAAATCAGCAATGGTAGACTGATGTACCTCAAGTACCCCATCTGTCTGTAATAAATTGTCTCCTTCCCTTCTCAAATCTGAAATCTCTGCATTTTTAATTGAATACATGGTGTTTTCATCGAAAGTAACATCCCTACTAAGAATGACCCGACCCTCCGAAGGTGAAAAAATTCTAAACCCCTTCACACCATCCCCGTACCCAACAAAACACCCCTTCTTGGCTCGTGGATCCAGCTTACCCTCAATAACATGATAATAAGCAACACAACCAAAAATCTTCAAATTCGAAAAATTAGGCAACTTACCACTCCAGATCTCAAACGGAATTTTGGAATCAATTCCAGAATGAGGACCCCTATTAATGACATAACAAGCTGTTAACACAGCTTCACTCCAGTACCTCCTCCCAAGCCCTGCATTAGAGAGCATGCATCGAACTCTCTCTAGCAGTGTCTGATTAACCCGTTCTGCTACACCGTTCTGCTGTGGTGTCTTCCTGACAGTATGATGCCGACCTATACCCTCATCTGCACAGAACTGATTAAACTCGTCTTTGCAAAACTCTAGCCCATTGTCCGTTCGTAGCTTCTTGATCTTCCTTCCTTGTCGATTTTCCACCAAAGCTTTCCATTGCTTGAAAACTTTGAAGGCCTCATCCTTTGACTTAAGCAACCTAAGCCATGTGTATCGGGACTTGTCATCAACAAATGACACAAAATAGTGGTAACCTCCCATACCTTCAACTCTAGATGGACCCCAGCAATCTGAATGGATGTAATCGAGCACTGCATCAGTAATGTGAGCACCCTTGCTGAACTTTGACCTGTGTTTCTTACCAAACACACAATGCTCACAAAATTCAAGGTTGGCAACCTTGACCCCGGATAGAAGACCCCTCTTGGACAATAGCTGCATCCCCTTCTCCCCCATATGACCAAGCCTCATGTGCCAAATCTTAGTCATCTCCTGGTGAGATACAGATGCGCAAACCGCAGAACTAGGCAGTGTAACACCCTCAAAAACATAGAGGGTGTTCCTTTTGATACCCTTAAGTACCAACTCAGAACCTCTGAAAATACACAACTCCCCATCTGAAAACACACCATTGTACCCCAATTCATCCAGGGTACCCAATGAAATCAGATTCTTTCCTAAAGCAGGAACATGCCGTACATTAGTCAAAGTTAACCTCCGCCCATCAACAGTCCTCAACCTCATGGAACCAATACCTGTGACCTTACATGGAGCATTGTTACCGACTATAACCATACCCCCATTGCGAGGTTCATATGTATCAAACCAATCTCGACGTGGACACATATGGAACGAACACCCCGAATCTAGAACCCAGTTATCAGATAAATCATCAGACCTAGCAGAACTGACTAATGCTAAATCTTCCTCTGAATTATAGCTCTCATTCGGTTTCTCTTCAACTACAGCAGCCTGGGACTTGTTTTTCCTCACCGGACAATTATTCCTAAAGTGACCCGGTTCTTTACAGTAATAACATGTTTTAGTAGTAGTTTTACTAGATCCATCCTTGCCGTTTCCAGCACCCGACCCAGCATTGTTCCCCTTGTTAAACCCCTTATTCTTTTTAGACTTTCCGGACTTAACAAACAACCCACTACCATTATCCCCATTATCACTCGTAGCTTTCATTCTGAGTTCCCTAGTATGAAGTGCTGCCTTCACTTCTTCTAAGGTTATAGAATCCTTACCAACAACAAAAGACTCTACAAAATTCTCAAAGCTAGACGGTAGAGATACAAGTAAAATCAACGCAGCATCCTCATCATCAATTTTAACATCTAAATTACGTAAATCAAGCAAAATAGAGTTAAGTTTTTCTAGATGTTCCCGTAAGGAAGTACCTGACTGCATCCGGAGGCTAAACAACCGCTGTTTCAGTAATAATTTGTTGGTCAACGACTTAGTCATATACAATGACTCCAGCTTCAGCCACAATCCAGCCGCCGTTTCCTGATCAGCCACCTCCGTGATGATTTGATCATCAAGACTAAGTAATATGGTAGAGTGTGCCTTCTCTTCCATAACTTCTAACTGCGAGTCAGTCGGTCCGTCTCCTGACTCCGAAGTAGTACTCTTTGGAGCCAACGGACGCCATATCTGCTGTTGTTTTAACAGAGCCTTCATCTTAATTTGCCATAGCCCGAAACTATTTTTCCCGGTAAACTTCTCAATTCTTATTGTTGAATCTCCTGCCATTGTTATCTTCAAGAAACTCTCCAAGGATTGAACCTGAGCTCTTGATACCAATTGTTGTGCGACAGCGGAAGCAAAGGTCGAAAACAAACAAGAAAACAATAAAGAAATTCAATGCAAACAATAAGAACAACACCAAGAATTTACGTGGTTCACTATCGATGTGATAGCTACGTCCACGGGCACCGAGATCGAATGATTTCACTATAAACTGCAAAGATTACAAAGATGATTCTTGTATTTCTCAAGAACGGCTCTCACTCTGTCTCTCTTAACCCTAATACTGATATTAGGGAGGTTTTATATTAATCCCTAATTCAAAGATACTTGGGCAAAAAGATAATAAAATAAGATAACCTAAAACCGCAAAATCCGCGTTCCGTATTTTTCCTTCTCCGCCCGGTCAGACCGGGCAAGGTCTGCCCGATCGGGCGCGAGAAGAAAACTCCATACGAATGCTTCAACGTATCCAACCCCCACCGCCCGGTCAGACCGGGCAAGGTCTGCCCGATCGGGCGAAGGCTCGCCCGGTCGGGCGAAGGCTCGCCCGGTCGGGCGCGAGAGCAGCTTCTTCAACGAATTTGCCAGGCACCTCTTCTTCTTCCGCCCGGTCAGACCGGGCAATGTCCGCCCGATCGGGCGGACAAAGCTACGAAGTACGAGTCACCTAATATACTTATCAACAGTAACATTATCAACACTAGTACTTGCTTATGCTCTTAAAATGGATATAATCTAAAGTTTTTATTAATAACATGTTGGTGAATGTAGGTGACTAAGAGGGAATATGCACCATATAGTGAGTGGAAGAATTGGCTATGGACGTCGGATGAAGATATAATGTTGAATGGAGCTTTCTTCAATCAATCTGGAGATAAAACAAAGAAATTTGCCTACACTAGGCAAGACGTGATCAAAGCAAAACCCGGAAGTTATGTCAAGCGTCTTACACGCTTTGCTGGTGCTCTTAATTGTAAGGAAGGAGAAGCATGCTAAAATCGCGCTTAGCTTCTTCAATAGATAGCTATACTTTTTTCTCGATCCATTAGAATAACTACTGGCCTTGGGGTTAGCTACTCTCATTTGTGAGCAGTAGGAGACGCGTAAACAAAGTTGATTGTACTTAGTCGTATGGTTTAGCTAACGTACCCCTCTTTTATGGCTTGCTTCTTGCTTACAAATGGAGGCAAGAACAAGGAGAAAAATGCAAGGAATCTAGGAGCAAAGGCAATGTTTTTGAACTAGTATGTATATCATGATTATGTTCCTAGGAAAAATTGTAGTTTTGAAATGATATATTGCATAATATACTTGCATACATTCGTACGAATCATGTGTGTGCTTTACCAAAGTGAACCATAAATCGAGTCTTGTAGTTTCTTTGAAAAATAGAGAATAACTTGAATTTCCTTCAATAAAAACAGAGCAAAACTTAAATCATTTAGTTGTTCTAGCAAATGAAGTCTGATCATTAAGAGGCTTGCATCATATCCAACATTCCAACTAACTTGAAATCATACTATTGCATAACTAATAAAGTTCTACAACTTATTTGGGGCTTCAATATACCCTTCGTGAGGAGGACATCCTAATGTTTTTTTTATCTTACTTAAAAAAAAATTAAAAAAAATTAAAAAAATCATTGAAGAGAATATGTAAAACTTAGATTTTTAACTTATCAAATTTAGATTAATGACTTTTTTTTTCTATTTTGAGAACAAAATAAGAGAAATTTAGGAGAAGTTAATGAGCATTTGCACATTTAAAAAATGATACCATACAGTATCGATTTTGTTGATTCTACCATTTGAAGAACCTCATTTTATGTCTTGCTCAAATGATCTTGTATTATACACATGATTACAAGCAAGCCTTGGAAAATTGGCAATACAATGTTATACAAGGGAATGAGTATATCCCATCCAAAGGGACAACATCAGGAAAAATGGAAACCAACTACAAAACTGTATGCGACACATCAGTCCTCCTCAGGATCAAGACCACCAATACGATGCCGCCTCCTGTCAAAAACAGCTCTGAAGGACTCTTGCTCTGCACGCTGCCTTTCTTGAAACATGGTATGCTTCTTCGTCTCTCTAGAATTTCCGGCTGTTGCTTCTTCCTTAGGTAGTGGATTTGACTTCTGTAGAATATAAGGCAAAAAGTTTATAATATTCTTGCAAAAAAAAACTACTTGTCCTTTTAATACAACACAACTAAATTGAAGTCCTTTAAATTATTCGATGAAGTTGAAGTTGAAAACCCACCAAGTTGTAACCTGCACCAGGGCCAATGACTAATGACACCAAATTTGCTTTCTTGACAGCACCAATGGAAAAACCAGTATTGCCACCCTATAAAACAGCATTATATCCAGTTAACAAGGAACCAGAGGTCAGCATATTTTAGCATACAGCAAGTCAGCAACACGCAACCCAAAAAATGGAAAGAAATCCACAAGCAATAAGCCACACAGTATAGAAGGAAATCCACAAGCAATAAGCAAAACTCCAAGCATGGAAGACTTGGAAGTAGCTCCACATTAGAAAATTGCTAGCATGTTGACAAAGCAGGTTTGCAGCTTTCTAATTGATCGTTAGACAAGCCAGGCATGGGAATGAGGAACAAATATTAGCAACTCCTCTCGATTAAATCTATCAGCATAACTCAATATATCCCGCAATCACAATTCTTGGATAAATCCTTGGAAGGACATGCCAAGCAGAACCATCAAGTTCAAGAAACAGCATCACATTTAGAGAGGAGAGGAGATTGAAACTTCTTCTCCCCATTGTTCTGCCAATTGAGTCAAAGGGGAAAACATAAAATAGAATTTTAACATTCAAACTACCTAACAAAATCAGGTGAATCACAATAAATATAACTACGGAAACACAGTTTATCAAAAGAAACAGAAAAAATTTAAGATATGGCAAAACAAACAAGCACGATATGGTTACAGCTACTACTCCTGGAAGGTTCAACTTATCACAAATGAGCCATCAAAGTTTAACTAAAAGGACACCAAAATAACCATTTAATGGTAGACCGTAGACCTTTAATTAACTCCACTCTCGAGATAACACTTCTGATTTTCTGGAGTATAAATATACAAATGTAAAACATGGACAAACTTTGATTTCACTCTCGCAAAACGAAAGACAGTGCAGAAGACAATTATACACGTCACAACAACAATATACATAAGTGGAAACCACTGTGCATGACTGCAGAGTATAGACCAATTAGACGATTATAGATCAAGCATGTAGATACATTGAAAGACGAAAAGAAATAGCATACCTGATCTCCCCAGTGAACAGATTTACCTTCTCTCCCATATGTTCTGACCAATCCAGACAAAACAGTGGCCTTGCCCTTCAAAACTTTATTTATCTCATCATCGTCATCATCCAAATTGTCTGACCATTTACTACGTCCTAAATCTTTGACTTCTTCTGCTGGATGATCAACCTGGGAATTCCAGTTCCTCTCATCCTTTTGGGAAACTGTATTTTGAAGACCAAAAGTTAACCACAAACCCTTCCTCTCTATTCAGGATTTTTATGTTATACAATTGATGTCACTTCCAAAATGATTATAATAACAGCTTGAAAATTTGCAAGAAATTCTAAAAGCAAGTCATGACAATATAATCCTTTACCCTCTCAAAATCTTCAACTTTTAATGAGTGACCCAGCAAAGAAGATAACAATGTATAAATGGCTAAAAACATACAATCATGAGAAGTAATGAACCAAAAAGCATTCAAAAGATCTGGAAAACACTAAAATAACTTCCTCTGTTTCTTATTAGTTGACACACTTCATCTAGGCACACATTTTAGAAGGTGTCAAAAGATGTTAAAAGCCAATAAATACCCCTTGCCCACCATATTTCAAATCAATTTAAAGGTGTTAGCGAGGATAAAATGGGATTTATACATTAAGAAACTCACCAAATAGAGACTTGTCAACTAAAAGAATTTTCCTAAAAAGGAATATGTGTCAACTAAAGAAAACGGAGGAAGTATTACATAAGGGTCACAAATGCAAGCATAATACAGCATTAAGCCAAATTTACAGCAGGCAGCATTTGGTACATCTCAAAATCAAAGGTGCAAGGTGTCCAACCAGCACCTTTTCAGATCACACTTTGTTTTTTCACAAAATAAACTGCTCATAGAAATATGATCCCACCAAATGAAAGAAATAATCATCTGCTAAATAGTGTCTTGAACTAGTATCAAGCAGTGGTAAAAAAAAAAAATCCACTCCCAACTGCATTGTTAATTTGCAAGGCTTTCAAATTTTATATATATATAAAATAAATAAAAATAAATAATAATAATAAATTAAAAAAAAATAAAGGTTTTCAAACATGTAAAGGTAATAAAGTTTTATTAAAATAAATTTTGAACCATACCATAAGACCCAAAGTCTCCAGACGAAGATGTAACAATTTTCTCGGCTACTCTTTCATCAACATCCCCATCTTCCGTGTCCATATCAACCTGAGTGCAGAAACTGTCATCAATAGTAACTCACAACAAGAAGACTTACACTGCTAGTTTGGCAGGTACTAGACAATGATAAATGATGGTAATTGACTAATTGTATTGAGTCTATACTCCATCCGTTCATTGAAATTGCAACATGGGAAGTAAAATGATTGTAAAATCACTTTATTTGGATTATGGTTCTCACTATCTCTCTTCATCACATTTTTTCTGTTTTCATCTCTATACTCACATTTAAAAAAGTGAATCCACCCATGTTGCAGTTTTAACCAATTACTTAAGTGTTTCTTTTCAAGAATGTCCATGTTATAATGAAAATAAATTTGACATAACATACACAGAATTAAAGTTGCATTACTGGGGACTTCTTTGCAAATAAACACAGGTTCATTGGTATTACCATCATATATAACTGCCTATGGCCTACCAAATCAGCCAAACAGATTATGACCCTTAAAGATAATACAAAGTACAAATATAAAGACTCGCGGTATTTTTTTTTTTTTAAAGTAATTTATATTACCTCTTCTATATTGCTCTCCTTCAAATCATCTCCATGGAATAAAGACTGTCATAAATGTATTACACCCATATCAAGTTAGAACAATCTTGCTAACCATAATTCAAAAAGGCTATAGAAAGGACCATAGATTAAACCTTAGCATCCACTTGTAAGTACATTGATGGAGCTTCTTCCCATTTTGCAGCCATCTTTTCCACATCAACCTGATTAAAGCCGTGAATATTCCTAGCAGTGCAACCCTGAAATTTTTTTACAGATATTTCAAAAAAAAAAAAAAAAAAAAAGTAAAAGTATTTAAGTCAAGAAATGATGGCTCATCTACTACCCCTAAAAAATATGCAATACCCTAAAACATTCCAATCGTCAAAGACCGCAGGGGATGAGGGAATTAAAAAAGAAAATATATTAAAATGCCATACAAACAGAGACTTTCTACGATCCTCCTCCCTCACCCCACCCCACCCCCTTCTTTTTATTCTTTCCATTCAACAGTACCTTAGCTAAAGAACAAGGAGAGAGAAAGACGGAGAAAGAGGCAACTTGTGACAGTATAAGAGACAAAGTTTTCACACAAGAGGTATGCATCATCCCCAGTTGTAACTTGTAGGCCATGCTTTAAAGGCAGCACGAGAAGCCTAAACTATGACCAACAATATACATGAACGGCCTAAAGGAAACTCACCGCAGGATCCTTGTATGGTGCTTCCAGCACATAAACTTCATAACCCGACCTCTGAGCAAAAAATAAAAAGACAATCATTAGTTAAAGCATAAAGTACCAAGTATTAACTCGGATAGGATGGAGAAATTCAGTTAAAACAGAAATGAAAGCAGCAAAAGGACAGTTAGTGGCTGCAAAGTCAAACCAAATAACAAGCTTAAGCCATTAGCATTAATATCAATATAGCAATGAGCATAAAGCAGCATCAACATCTGCTAACCTTTGTTGATGTTGCAATATTATTACAGCAAAGAGTCACAAATTAACATCTAAAAGACAAGCGAAGCAAGGCCAATAAAAAATGTAGCAAACTGGCCCACATGGGTATTATCCCATCTGAACTTGAGAAGAATCCTTTTCCAGACCCCAAAAGAACATGAAACAGACAACAAAATCTCGCATTACTGATTTTAAAGAAACAGAATATACCTTTGCAGTTGCCCAAAACTGAGCAAAATCAGCTACCCGCAGATTGCGGTCATCCACTAAGACGAGGCACAACAAATCAGCGACAAATGGGTCAATTGCCAATGAAAACTGCATCTGATGTCAGTGAAGATGAAAGCAGTGCAACAGCACTACATGACCACTAAGACCCACAGCTAAACTCAACAAAGGAATTCGTGAATTCCTATATAAATCAGGAATATTATTTCATGACTTCTTGTATGTCTATGCCTACGATTTTTCTAAAGAGCATATAGAAAGCATAATTTTATAGCACGGAAAGCCAAACCATACATTACTAGTTTCATAAAATAAGATTAAGTCATACTATAAAGAGAGTATAAAATTAGAAGATGCAAGAGAAAATAGATCAGTTGTTATTCACTAGTCTAATCATTAATCATACCAATTACAAAGGTGAAAGCACCCTCCTCAAGAGTCTTCTTAAATGCCTTTAGCATGCTTGATCTGTAAGCCTGTTGCAACAAAAACAAATTCAGAAGTCAAGAATTCCAAGACCATTTGAGCAACAGAGAAAGACATTTATAATTTTCAATTAGTGCAATACCTCCTCCATTTCAGGTTCATAACAGTACTCTAAGACCATCTTCATGGTAGGTTTCTTGAACCTTCCAGAAGATTTTGAAGCATCATTCTCCTCAACCTATGAAGCAAAAGATGCTACATGAGTATGAATTATTCAGATTTTAAGTTTAAAACAGTGTAAATAAACATCTCAACTGGATTAGGGTTGTAAAAGGATATTTTACCAAAGTAACCAAACCAATAAAACACTTCACCCCATAACGAATGTCCATCTTCCCATAACGAAAGTCCATCTTCCCATAATTAGGAAAGCGCACTTACTAAGCTTTCACATACTCATCACATCCAATTTTCAACATCCTCTAATTCAAAATTTAAATTATGCTTGTCGTGTTATCCCTTCAATATGATTTATAGGTCTATAAACCAATACACTGTCCTTGAGGATCAAACTAGTATATCTTACCGCATATAACAAATCAAACTGAACATTTTATGTGGAACATGAGAGGATAAAAAGCCAAAACTGTACCTTCTCAACTTCTGTCATGAAATAATCATCCATTGAATGAATTCTGGGAGCACTGCCACCATGTTCAACCTCCAAGTCACGTAACATTTTAGCCAAGTAACTCTTTCCACTTCCTGTGTAAAATATTACAATGGTGAGGAATCACATCCTTTTATTTTTTGAGATAATGTTTACTTATTTAAGTGCATGTGCATAGTGCTGTGCTAATTTCATGCACATACACATTAACATTTTTTTCCCCCTTCTTACTCATTATAACAAGCTAATGTGGTTGGGTTTTACAAAATTACAAATATGGCTAGAGGATTAGATGTATTTCAAATTGTTTTAGAAGTAGGAATAAGTATTTTATAACTTTTTCAGGTGATTTCCTAGATAATGAGCCTCAGGTAACTTATTTTTGTTACAGTATGCAGGATCAAGCTAAGATTAAGGTCATATAGTTTTGTCTTAATCTCGATCTTTTCGCCCTTACTTGTGTTTCAAGTATATCTGTAGCCTATTTTTATTTAATCAATTGATCAATTTTGGACTGTTTAACTTAAAAACGAACACCTGGATTCTGCAAAGTCTATTTGAGCTATCAAACATATACGAAGTATATCATCTTCTCCAATAATAAATTAAAAGTGTATCTTGACATATTTTAAAAAATATTGCTGCTTAAAACATTTCTAGTTCTTATCCATCTAGTACCAAACAGATAAAAAATACTCCATAGACCAAATTAAAAGTTCACGAAGAAGAGAACGTCAGATTCAGCAAAAGGGTCTAGCAATGGAAGTACCTGGTAAGCCTCGGAGTATAATCACAAAATGGTCTGGACGAGATTTCCGATGAGGTGGTTTGAATAAGTGGGTAGCATCTATAGTTTTTGGTTTATCAGGAAAAGTGTTCTGTGATGGAATTGTTTGGCCATCTCCAAGATATTGTCCAAATGATGTCAAAGTTCCTTGAGCATCCTGGAGAAAGAAAGAACGCCAATGTAACAGTTTGTTGGAATAGGGAAGCAATAGAATTTTTAAAATAAAAAATTTTAAAAAAAAAATTAAAAAAAAAAAAAAAAAGTAGCAAACTCCACAAAACGAGTCAAATAGACACAAACATCACAAATCATCAAATAGGAGAAGCCCTTGTTTTTCAATTAAACTAGCAGCACCATAAAAGATGATGCAAGTACTTTGTATTTTTCAGGAGTTCAAAGAAAGTTCGCCTTAGGAGGGAGGGAAAGTCTAGCAGGCTGTCAATCATGTATTCCAAGATATCAATTAACCATGACTTGAGAAGCTACATCACTCAGCAACCTAATTGGCATAAAAGACAATTGGGTACATATCTTCTCCTACCTTCCAGTAGTCTATTGAGTATCTCAGAAACAAAATCTACTATGACTATACCATGACATCTACAAGCAAACAATAAATAAAGGAAGGTTTGGATTCACTCACCCGTTGAAAGGCACCACGAGACATATGTCCAAGTTGAGAGTTCAGCGGATGTGAATTTGCCCGTGTGTGAGATTCAGGAATCGGGGCATGTGAAGTGTGCACTGGAGCTGAAGAGCCAACAGGAACAGGAAACAATGAAGATGATGCTCTGGGTGGTGAAGATAAAGGCTTGTGATCTGTTGGCCAAGGACCTGGTGGCTCCATAGGCAGAGGTGGAGGTGGAGAAGCTGGAAGTGGAGGCTGCATGTCAAATCCTTGTGAAGCATTAAAATGACCCGTGTTTTCTGAAATAGAGTTACCATAACCACCCTGGTAATCCATATGTGGGGCTCCGTAATGAGGCCTGGCAGGAGCAATATGATTACCAGCTGGAACATGATAACCATCAGGAGGGGGTGGCCTGGTTTCAATTGGCGGACTTAAATCACTTAAAGGGCGTGGAGGACCATAATCATATCTCAATTGACCAGGTCGCGGCACTGCAGGAGGAAGTGGTGGATGGCCACCGGAATAGTGGTTTGCTGTAGGCAAATTGCTCCTTTGATCATAATGTATAGGAGCATTGTGAGAATGAATAGGCTCTACATTGCTACCATAAAATCCCTCATTTGAACCACGCGGCATCCCATAGTTCGAGTGATGATAACCATGCTCTACCTCCGACACACTCCTTTTCACGCTATACCGCGATCCATACTCTACTCCATCCCTTTGATAATGCACACCATGCCCCACCCCAGCAGGGTTGTTACTCATCTCCACATTGCTCAACGGTCTCACTCCAAACTCACTCGAATTCCCAGGAACCCGAACATCAACATTCCTATCAAAACCCGAACTTTCTAGAGCATTCCCCCTCATGTCCCCACCAAAACCAAAACCCGGATTCGGTCCACCATGATCATGAACCATCTTTAACCTTCTCTCACCACCATCCACCGGAATTTTTGATGCCGGATAATTCCCATCGCCATGAACCCCATATATCCCAGGATAATTCCCATCAACCCTTAATCTCTTACTACCCCTATCATTCACATTGTTATAATAATCATTCCCCATATAACTACCATCCCCAAAACCAGGGTTTTGCATTGAATATGGACCTCCATTAACATTCCCAAAATTACCCACATGAGGAAAACCAGGGTTCCGATTACTAAACCCCGGATCATAATATGGGTCACTAGGATTAGTATTATTATAAACGGGTCGATTCATATTAATTGGGCGAAAATTGGGATCCAAATTAGGAGCAGAATATGTAGAGGGGTGAGGAAGAGGAGGGCAAAAGGGGAAGTGAGAGATTGAACAAGTTGGGCAGATGTTACCTTGGATAGTTGGGTGAGGACGCCATGAATGATCCATTGATTGAGCTCTGATTTGCAGTGAAGTTGCAGGAAAAAAGTGTCGATTAAATCGAAGAACACAATACAACGGAAATAGAGAAATTGAAAGGAATAGTAGTATTAAAGATTTTCTGAGATTTATGTGTTGATGTTTTCACTTTTTAGTAGGATGGGTGGGTGTAGAAACTCCAAGAAGGGGATGAACATGGAAAACTGCCTTCAAAATCAAATTGTGTATATTATAATCTGGGTTTTCTAAAGATTTGGTATGGTCTGATTTGGGACGGCTTAAGCTTAATGTCACGGGAAGAGCACATAACCCCCCTTGCGACGTCTGAATCTCCGGGGCTTAAAGGAATTAACGGCAAAATGACACAATATTACCACAAACGCGTGCATCGGTAAGGCACACAGGTATTAGAAGGTTTGCTCGTTTGCTTCATATGGGACCTATTGTGTTGGGTTATTTGGGAAATTGTTAGCACGTGACATTTAGCTCGATGTATTTGATAAGATCGGGTGTAGTTGTGGGGATAGTTGTTAGCTATAGATTGTGGTGTGTGGTTGTATGCTTGTATCTAACTATTTGCGTGAATAATTATTCATAATAGTTTAGCTGAATTAAGTACAACATTGGGGACTAAGTTTTTCATTTTTTCACCTTTTGGGACCTAAGTTTTTTTTTCACCTTTTGGGACCTAGAGTTAAAAATCCGGCAACTTAACTCATCTTTAACTCACCTGTGCAATAACTTAGTCCCCTTGCATTAAATAACGTGTAAAAAAACATAATCCCCTCATTAAATAATTCTAAACAAAAAAACATAGACCCTTCATAATTTCTAATTTCTGTCAAAGCAATTCAGTACTATTTTTTACAACGAACAGAAATTGAACATCCAAAAAAAACTAGCCGTTGGAGAATACAAGGTGTATAAATAGTCTCCATGTTTAGCACCAAAAGCTGAAGCTAATCCTGCGAAAAAAAAAATGGCAACAGTGAGGAAGGTGAAATATGAAATGATCAAAATGATACAAAAGAATTGGATTTTAATTATAATTCTTGTAATCATTTTTGGTGTAGAGTATTTGTTCAAGTAAAGCAAGATTTGCATTCACTTCTAACCTCCTTAGTACCACCAAACAGTTGTATTACTTGATCCAATGTTGGAATGTGACTGACTATCTTGAGCTGTATTAATTGGCTGCACAAATTAAAGATAAACAGTTTATTTATAATGAATGATTGAAATGAGTTATATTGTAATCCAAATGCTTACCATAGCCTGTCTTGTGTAGCCATTTGGGTAAGTGTATACTCCTACACCCCTATTATGCATTGGAACATTTACTTGACTTTGTTGGGTGCTAGGAGTGGCATGTTCCTGCTGGTTCAGTTGTTGTTTCCTCTTCTTTGTGCCTTGATCAGAACCTTGTCCTTTTTGAGCAGTAGGATTACTCTGTTTTTGTGTCAAAACCCTAACCAACAACACCATTTGAAACACACAAAAACACTATAACGAACCAAGTACAAATCAAATAAACATCATCCACACATAAAAACACACATTAAACAACCATTTCCAAACAATCAAACCATAATTGTAAAATATTAAAAAAAAAATTATCAAAACCTAATACCTAATTACCAACACTTCAAAATTCAAACAAAATCATCAAAAAAAACAACCAAAATGCAAGCTAAACATACTTACCACAGTGTTGTTGAAGAATTGAGTGAGAATTATGCCTTTAACCGAGTAAGATTGCAAAGAAAATTCAGGCGAAAATGGGTTTCTTCGAACAAGAACAGAGTGAGAAGTAGAAAGGGCGGGAATAAGCTCTCACTCTCTCTCCTGCCTCATAAAAAGCTTCCCTCATACGCTTCCCATTCCCACGCACCACGTGTCCTTATTTGGAAGGCCGCCAATCTAATCGACCTGACAAATTCTTTTAGGGGTGTAAGTTATTATAGGGGTCTATGTTTTTTAATTTACCAACTTTCTAACTGAAGTAAGGTTTAACTAAGGGACTATGTTTTTAAACTCACCTTAGTTACTTTTTGGCCGGAAAGTGGACTCTAGGTCCCAAACGGTGAAAAAAAAAAACTTAGGTCCCAAAAGGTGAAAAAAATAAAAACTTAGACCCCAATGTTGTACTTAACTCTAGTTTAGCTCTAGCTACGAAACATTTATACTTTAAACTTTGACAATTCATTTTTTTTCCTTGCTAATGTACAAACATTAAATGGTATTTGTATTATGAACATTGTTTATGCTATAATCACAAGATCTGGATAGTCATTAGGGTACTACTTCCTCCGTCCCAAAATTAAGTGTCCATTTCTAATCATCAATCAATCAATCATCATCAACAAACACCGAAAATGATACGTGTCACTTTCTGGTGATGTTTTTCCCCTCCAAAACTTTCCCTCCCATTTTAGCAAAAAAAAAATTATTTTGGAATATTTATATAATATAATACAACTATAATGCTCCATATTATTCCTAATCTAATATATTATCTTTACAATAATTGTATTCCTTTTTAATTCATGTTCAACTTAATTAAAATAGTTACACAAGATTTTTTTTTTTTTTTTTTTTGAAGAGAATAGTTACACAAGATTTTAAGACATTTTAATTAGGAAAAATGGAAAAGAAAATTCCAATCTTTGCACTTTTTTCGTCCTAAAAATCCAACCTGTATTTTATTCCTTAAAAATCCAAGCTTTATACCCAACCTTCTTCAACAGATCCATTTGACCTTTAACCTGTTAAACAGGTTAAAAAGTTTTTTTTTTTTTATTCTCACACTTTTCTTTCTCACTCCTCTTTCTCTCTCCTCTCTTCTTAAAAAACGGAAACAACCAGCAGCTGCCTCGCCACCAATTCCGCCACCACACAACAACCCTCGTGAACGCATCCCACCACACCTTCAACAACCCTCCAACACCGCGCCTCCGACAACCCACACAACACCAATTCCGCCACCACATAGTTCGATTCACCCACAATAAAAAAATTTATTTTTTTCTTTTCGCTCTCCTTCCTCCAAACACCACCAGTGCTCCACCCATTCCCACCACCATTGCATCACTCCGGTCCCATCCCCACAGCCAAAATCGCGCCCCTCCGTTTCCACCCCTTCAAAATCGCAAGAGAAACGCGTAATCCTGCACCAACCAGTCCTTAATCCACCCAACCGTTTTGCAGCCCCGTTTTCACCCCTTCCCAACCACCGCAACAGATAAAGTAAGGTTATTGATCTTCATCTATCTTTGCTGGAATAATTCCACCCAACTGCAACAACCTCGTTTCTCTTGCGATTTTGATTTTTGTCGGAAAATTACGCGCCGATATGTATCCAACAGTTAAATTTGGCTGGATAACGTCGATGAATTCATACAGGGTAAGGGGGAAAGAGGAAAGGGGTGGTCGATCGGCGTTTGGGGATTGTTATTGTGGGTGGCGAATTGGTGACTGTGGGTAGCGTGTGTGCCGGCGAGAGGAGTGGTGTGGGATTGTGGGTTTTCCGGTGGAGAGGAGAATGGTGTTGCTGGGTTCCGGTGGCCGATGTGCGATGGGGATAGGGTGGTCAGGCAACGAGTTGGGGGGCTGGTTGGGTTCCCGATTTTTTTAAAAAAAAACAATTTAAAAAAAATTAACCTAACACGTGGCATGTAACTTAAAAAAACCAGTCATCAACAGGTAATGGATCTGTTGGAGAAGGTGGGGTATAAAGGTTGAATTTTTGAGGAATAAAATGAAGGTTGGATTCTTAGGAGGAAAAAGTGCAAAGGTTGGATTTTTTTTTTCCCATTTTTCCTTTTAATTATGGGGGGATAAGATATAATTTAGAAGTTTGAAATATGGTGGAGAGTATAAGATAAGGAGCCAAAAATACACTATTAACATTTAAATTAACAGATATATATATATAATTGTACAATAATGGGTTCAATGGAAAAAAAAAGGATATACTCATGGTGTTGATTTGAAATCTTATGAACCAATATAATTGAGTTAGTTTTTCGTTATATATTTCTGTAATAATTTTACCAAAGTTCTTATACAAGGAAGCTCCTGATGCCATGAGAAGCATTGGACCCGCATATGTAGCACGCAGTTGTTGGGGGTTTGGATTACTTTGGTGCAACCATTTTGAACAGCATTGTTAAAGCTTCCACTGTAGATAACAAATCAAAGGGTTGTCCTTGGCCTGGTTATCCTAGAATATCAACACAGGACGATTTGATTATTTTTACTGGTTGAAGTCTTCTACATCGTGGGATTGCTTGAGTTGGCGAGAGGAGTTGTGTGGGATTGTGGGTTTTCCGGTGGAGAGGAGAATGGTGTTGTTGGGTTCCGGTGGCCGATGTGCGATGGGGATAGGGTGGTCAGGCAACGAGTTGGGGGGCTGGCTGGGTTCCTGATTTTTTTTAAAAAAAACAATTAAAAAAAAATTAACCTAACACGTGGCATGTAACTTAAAAAAACCAGTCATCAACAGGTAATGGATCTGTTGGAGAAGGTGGGGTATAAAGGTTGAATTTTTGAGGAATAAAATGAAGGTTGGATTCTTAGGAGGAAAAAGTGCAAAGGTTGGATTTTTTTTTTTCCCATTTTTCCTTTTAATTATGGGGGGATAAGATATAATTTAGAAGGTTGAAATATGGTGGAGAGTATAAGATAAGGAGCCAAAAATACACTATTAACATTTAAATTATCAAATATATATATATATATATATATATATATATATATATATATATATATATATATATATAATTGTACAATAATGGGTTCAATGGAAAAAAATAAAAAAAAAGGATATACTCATGGTGTTGATTTGAAATCTTATGAACCAATATAATTAAGTTAGTTTTTCGTTATATATTTCTGTAATAATTTTACCAAAGTTCTTATACAAGGAAGCTCCTGATGCCATGAGAAGCATTGGACCCGCATATGTAGCACGTAGTTGTTGGGGGTTTGGATTACTTTGGTGCAACCATTTTGAACAGCATTGTTAAAGCTTCCACTGTAGATAACAAATCAAAGGGTTGTCCTTGGCCTGGTTATCCTAGAATATCAACACATGACGATTTGATTATTTTTACTGGTTGAAGTCTTCTGCATCGTGGGATTGCTTGAGTTCTTATGCTTATTATCTAATTTTTGACCAATATTATCTAATTTTTTATACTTATTATCTAATACCTGACCAATATTATCTAATTTCTGATACTTATTATCTATTTTCTTATACTTATTATCTACAACAATATTATCTAATTTCTGATACTTATTATCTAATACCTGAGCAATATTATCTAGTTTCTAACAATTATTATCTAATATCTGACCATTATTATCTAATTTTTAACAATTATTTTTTTTTTGTATGATTGGACTCACATGAGTCCGTTCTACACAATACTTTTCCTTTTTACCAAGTTATAACTTTTTTTTTTCCTTCAAAAAATCTATTCGTATTAACTATTAGTACAATATGTCATGCTTACACCGATCATTTTGGGCATATGTAAAGCTATCGTTAAAAAAAATTTCCGCCAGTATATAATATGATGTCAGCTTTTAATCCTTTTTTTTAATTATTTCACTTACCTTATTATTTGGAAGTACATTGTTTATTTATTTATTTATATTTTTTTTAACAAAGTTAATTAATTCATTGATTTTTTTTTTTGAATAGTAATTAATTCATTGATAAAAAGTCATACTACACCTTTTCAAAAAAAAAAGTCATACTACATCTACATTATATAGTTTTATTGGGAATAACATGCATCATTAATTTAATATAATGTATAATATTTTTAAATATTTTAAACACAACAAATCAACAATAAAATTATTTTTCTTAATTGTGGTTTTAATAATTCTTGCATTATTATTTCATTTTTCTTTTATGCATTGCACGCATTTGTATTATTGCACGACTTGCCTCATTTTTATATTTATTTATCACAAATTAGTTATATGAAAAAAGATTATTACTATCGTGCATCGCATTGGCACTAATCCAGTGTAAAAAGTAAAAACATCCATTATTAAATTTGTAGAGTGCATTGCAATTTCACTTGCCCTTGCAATGATACATTTTTTTACACATTGTAAAAATGTCCATAATTATAATTTTTAGATTGAGTTTTTTGCACTTACTAAGACGTTGTGTTTATTTATTTAACAGTTTGACCGCAACTATGCCGGATAGCCCGGATTACAACAACATTTTTCAATGAAAGGCGGCCCAATGCATTGAGCAATTTCATTACTACATGTAGTCTGACGAGCTTTTTGAGTACAACCTGGAAAAGGTGAACATTCGTCGTCGTCATCGTTTGTTCCAATGTGTTGAAGGAACACTTTATCAAATCTTGAACTCATAGCACTAGAGCCTGCACTTATCCAATATGATAACAAAAAATAAATAAATACGAGTACCACTACTATCAGTAACTTTGATGATTACATGCAATATCATCGGTTGATATGATAAGAAAAAATTCGGATTGGTTTCGATTCACATTTTAATTTTTCCAAATGTGTAAAAATATTACCTGGTAATAAAAATGAATTAAAAGTAAAATATTATGGAGTAATAAATCAATTAAATTAAGGATAAAATAATTTAAAGTTTTAACACTAATATTGTTTAAATTTTAACACACATAATACTTTAAAGCATATAAAGTTTTAATCAATGTTTGAAAATTATATTAGATTAAATTCTACAGATTTACTACATATAAACATAGAAAGTATAATCATAATTCATAATAGGGAGATTTATCAAACTTTGTAATGTATAACACTTACAACAAACTAGAATAACTAGTAGCACTAGCATGAGTGACACAAAGAACTTTCTAGCCATTTGTTATAATTTCTTATTGCTTGTATTTAGAGTTATGGAGATGAAAAATTGAATTATATATAATTAAAGTATAAAAACCTTTCATAATTCATACTTTTGGCCTCTTTATATACTAGTAGATTATGATATTATTATTTATTTCCTAATAATTATATGATTCCTTTCCTTTTCTAAAATATATTGTTCTTTTACATATGATTATGAGTTTGATTTGTTATCAATGAATTCTATTAAAAAAAAAAAGGATTATTTCCTTCCAATGTTATTCATAATTTTCTAGATTTGGCTCCTTTCTTAATGAAAATTATTGCACTATTAAATATGCATTGGGAATTATTGATTTCCAAATATATTTAAATGAAAAATTGTTTTTTCCATCTTAATTTTGCTAAATAGAAATCATTTTTAAAATATTAAAATTATTTTTGCCAAATTAAATTTATTATACGGATTATAAATTTTTTTTTTTTACTGATTCACTATTATTGTATTTGTTCTTCGATGCTACTGATTTTGTTTATTAAAATTAAATTGATTGAAATCAATTTATCTCTTATCAATTAAGGACATGTTCACATTTATTGAACTGAGCTGAATTGATTGAAGCTGAACTGAACTGGATAAAGCTGAAATGAATATTTTATGAGGTAAGGAAATTAGGAGCTGGACTGAACTGATTGATGGAGCTGAATTGAACTGAAATTAAGTTGAAGTGAACATACCCTAAGTTATTGTATTTGTTCTTCCATTCTTTATTATTCTCTATTATTTGTAAATTCTTTAAAAAGAATAATTCCTTCCAATTATATTCATAATTTTCTAGATTTGGCTCCTCTCCTAATGAAAAATTTGCACTATTTAATATGCGTAGAGAATTATTGATTTCCTAAAATTTTAATGGTTTAGATCAAAGTGTTTTTTCCACCTTATTTTTGTTGAACAATTTTTTTTTTAATGAAATTACATTATTGTATTTGTTCTTCGATTCTCTATCAATTAATTTGTATTATTGTATTTGTTCTTCTTCGATGAAATGATTTCAACCATGGTTTTGAATGAATCTGGAGTTGGTTCTCATAGTTTTGGAGTCAATTTTAACGATTCTACTATATTTTGAATGACAACCATCTAGATATGTAATCTGGAACGTATGTTTTCACTAGTTCAAACTTCATTAACTGGAGTAGAACAATTAGAAAGACGTTGATTGCTAGGAAAAAGCTAGGTTTTATTGATATCAATATTCCTACACCTGATGTTAGTTTCAACATATTATCATAAATGGTTGAGAAATGATTATATGTTGATGAGCTATTTGTTGAATTCTACAAAGAAAAATCTAGCCAAGTGTTTCTTTTTTGAGAATTCTTTTGCTCGATTGTGGAAAGAGTTGCAGGAGAGATTTGGTCATTCAAATTTACCATAATTGTTCAAATTGCATAGAAAATTGACTTGTTTTTACTGATCAAAATCTATGGCAAATGTGGTGACCAAACTAGGAACATTTAAAAAAACACATAGGAGTACTCTAAAGTCTGTTAGCTTCTCCTCCTAGAGATTTGGGATCGAATCCTACCAAGTGAGGGTACTTGAAGATATCGATTTTTTTTATCCGTTCCTCTTTTCAACTGTCTGACCTGACCTACAAATATTAAAATATATATAAAAAATGGAAAATTTGCAAATTGCAGCCATTTAAATTTTTTTTTGCAAATTGCAGCCCAAAAGTTCGTATAAATTGTAAATTGCAGCCGATTCATTTTTTTCATCGGTTTACATGTTGAAAAATCTTTGGTTAAGGTTTTAGGGGTCATTTTAGTCCTTAGGGTCCCGAATTGAGCTCGAAATTAGGAAACAAAAAACGTAAGTGTCTCGTATTTACAGTTTCCCAAAAATCGATACACTTTTGTTATGCAAAACGAGATATTTAAGTTATTTTTTTGCTAATTCCGAGCTCAATTCGGTTCCCTAAGGTTTAAAATGGCCCATAAAACCTTAATCAAAGATTTTTCAACTTGTAAACCGATGAAAAAGTTGAATAGAACAACAATTTACAATTTATATGAACTTTTGGGCTGCAATTTGCAAAAAAAAAATTTAAATGGTTGTAATTTGTAAAATACGAACTTTAAATGGCTGCAATTTATAAATTTTCCCAAAAAAAAAAAAAAAAAAACCGAGTATGTTGGCAAAGGTAGTCGGCATTAGTCAAAAGGCTGCAATACTAAATCAAAAATGTCAATGGTGCCGAAGAATGACGAGACGAACTTGGAAGCAAACTCAGCAACAAAGAAGAAAAGGGGAATAAATATACAAGGCTATCAAATTGAGGGTTTATCAATTGCTGGTCAAGAAACATGCATAATCGTCCCTTCTCTCAACCTCGCTTTCGATATCGGAAGGTGCCCTCAACGCGCCATTTCTCAAGACTTCCTTTTTATCTCCCATGGTCATATGGACCACATTGTATGTCTTTTCTTCTGCTCTCTTTTTCATCTTTCTTTTCTTGTATTTCATGGGTTTTTTTTTTTTGAAATTTTTGATTTTTGGTTAACTTTTGTCGAGTTTTTCCATATTCTTGATTTGGGTTTTTTTTTAGAGTATTTTGTGGGCTTCCTTGCTTTTGAATTAGTCTGATTTTTGGTTAATGTATTATGAGAAGTTTCTGCTATAATCTTATGTTGGGTTTTGGATTATTTTCTGTATTATGTTGTATTTATAATCATTGAGAATTTTGATATGTATAATCACTGCAATGGGAACTGTTTGAGATTTGTATGAGTATCAATGAAATTCGTGAGTGGAATAACAGTGATTTTTGAATTGGTGGTTGTTTTTGAGTTACTATGTTTTGTTTTAAGGATGTATATTACTCCCTTCCCCGCGCCTCCATTGTTGGAGTAATTGTATAACAAATGGAACATATTGTCTCTTTAATCATCGGTTGATAAAGTAAACAAATTAATGGATAGTTTTTATGAATCCTGCAGTTTTGTTAAAGTTGAATTCTTTAAAATGATTTTCCTTCTTTTTTTTTGACATATGCTTTTTCAAATAGACAGTCTATGGAGTATTTTGTGAATTGTGTATATCTCCTAAATACTATTTGTATTGTGTAATATGATGTGTATATTAGGGAGGATTACCGATGTATGTTGCGACTCGTGGATTGTTCTCTATGAAACCTCCTACGATTTTTGTGCCTAAAGCTATAAAAGAGGATGTGGAAAGGCTTTTTGATGTACACAGAGCAATGGACCAATCTGAGCTGAAGAATAATTTAGTTGGTCTAGACGTGGGTAATGTCATTATTAGATCAACATTTTCAATGTATTAGCTCCATCCAGGCTTGATTTCTTCAATGATCATGCCAACTTAATTACTCTGCTTAAAATTTTTATTTAAATAATTTTCAGGAGAAGAATTCTATATTAGGAGGGATCTCAAAGTAAAAGCATTTAAGACATATCATGTCATTCCCAGTCAGGTACCAATTACTTAGTTATTTTTCCTATTAAGATCTCATCTATGTGGATCAAAGACATCCTCGAGCTTAAAACCATGTATACTTTGTTCACTCATATTATATGTTGCAGGGATATGTAATTTATTCCGTTAAGCACAAGCTTAAGCAGGATTACATTGGTCTTCCTGGACATGAGATCAAGGCTTTGAAGGATAAAGGTGTGGAGGTATGTTTGATTACTGTATTATCAACTGACAATTGTTGCATCTACGGTGATAGGGTAGACTGTTATTCAAAAATTTGTTTGCTCAATCATGAGACTACTGTAAGTTTCTGTTCTCGGTTTATATCTGTAATTAGTCCGAATATATGATAAGAAGATATTTTGGACTATGTAAGGGATAAATGATACTTTGTATCTGTTTTGGCATTGTTTCCTTACTTTAGATGTATCCATCTATTGAGGTCCATCGTCCATGCAACCATTTAGTCATATGTCATGGTGAATGTAGTTTGTAATTGCCAGGCAAACGCAATAACATTCTGAAGTACAAATTTGTATTTGTTGACTGCTTATTTACTTGTGGTCCTCTTTTTCTGCAGTTGGTATCTTAAGGGTCAGTTGGAGCATTAATTTAGCTAGAATCCTTTTTCTTTGTCCTTAATTTGATAAATTGTACACTTGCCGTCACAGCTGCAACTGTAGCTACATATTTGACGCCTTCTTGTGATACGGCGTGCCTTTCAGAGTCTTAGGAGTGGGCTGTTCTTGCATCCCCTCTCCCCCTTCCCCTTAATACCAACCCTTTAAAGCTAGAATAGTTTCATAAGCTATGCAATTGCATAAGTGGTCAGCAATTTAGTTCTGCTGCCTTCTGCATATTTCTGTCTTATAGATTGGTTCCACATTGGCAGATTACCACAGCAACTACGTCACCTGAGATAGCATTTACTGGAGACACAACAGCTGACTTCATTGTTGATCCAGCTAATGTTGATGTGCTGAGGGCAAAGATTCTTGTGATGGAGGTAACTCACTTTATGAGCACTTGATTTTTCAGATTTATTTATTGACTGTTACTTGTTCAATCAATGATATTTCTTGATAAGTTTAATTTATTTGAGCTTCTGCCTTGTTCATTGATTTGTTTGTGGAATTTCTGGTTGTCCGATCTGCAAAACGGATGTATATGATGTTTGTATTGGTAAACTGTGATGTAAGATCTATGGGACTTGTCTTTATAAACTCTCTCTTGCGCATCATGCTCTTATCACAAGTTTTACCAGGAAAAGGAATACTTTCAGTCTTAGAACTTTTGGATGAACACATATGGATTGGTATTGGGAAAATATGCAAATTAAGCAAGGGTTCTTGAGTTTTCTTTGTTTGTTGTCCTTGGCTGAAGAGTTTTAGTAGGGGAACCGGGAACACTTACAGCTGGAACTTGAAAGTCAACGGTTTTGGAAATGGTACAACCTCTTCTTTTTTTTTTAGTACTACTTAAAAACAAAAATACACCTCCCAACAAATATTTTTGTGTTTAGTGAGTGGTCAGTTTGGAATTTTGCTCTGTGAGTTTGCTGGATGTGCATAGCATAAGCTTATTAATAGTGCTGGGTTTTGCTCACCACAACTTCAATGTTAATTCTAGAAGCAGCCTCTGTTTGTGGGTCTAGAGCTATATTAATCTTATCCTTCCTCAAGGCTCAAATCCCCAAACCCGTTATGGCAGGGACTTCAGTGGATTTGGACCTTGTGGTACTTGTATATCTAAGGTTGCTTGAATCCTCTTATCAACTACTGTTTCGTTCTCAATTCTTCTCTCCACTGGTAGCTTCTTAGGAAATTAATAGATGTGATGATTTGATAGGCGTGGTCTGTCTTTTATGTTGTCATGCAGTGCACCTTCTTAGACAAAGCAGTTGACGTGGTGCATGCAAGAGATTATGGACATACACATCTGGATGAGGTTCTTTTTTTTTTTTTATTATTTTATCCTTTTGTATCTGATGTTTGTATAATGATGCTGCATTTTCTCATTGATTTTGTTTGTTTAACCATCATACAGGTTGTAAAGTATGCTGAAAAGTTTCTGAATAAGGCAATTCTTCTGATCCACTTTTCTGCTAGATACTATGTAGAGGTAAAAGATTTAAAAATCCGGCATTGTTTCCTCTTTCTAGTGGCTTTGGAATTGTTTATACTTTGATTTATTGTTTGTACATATGGATGTGTAACTATATTAACTATATTCACTAGAATAAGTGCATGTCGCAGATAGGAGATTACTTGGATATTTGGATTTTTTGCTGCCTTTGTCAATTCTTCTTTGTTTTCTAGCCTTTCATAGTTTTCTAACAATTGTGGTTTTCATCTTTCTTCGCTTAGCAATTCTACACCTGGTTATATCTGCCCTTTACTTATTATTCTCTGCCCTCAGGCTCTCATGAACATATGCAAGATGTAGTTGTTATAAACATCTGAATTTTGATGCCTTGCACCATAATATTCAGATAGCAGCTAATTAAGCTAATTAGAAATGATTAGAGTAGCATTAATGTGAAGGTATTTTTTAGATGTCTAATTTATGTAAACTCCTGAAGTTGGTTTCAGTTTTGAAGCTGATTTCATAATATTGATCTTTAAGTGAGCGGGTATACCAATCTATTCTTCCCAAATTCACACTTAAATAGGTTGGTGAGCAATGTTAAGATGAAGTGGGGGGAATTCGTAATTTCCTGATAATGAAATAGGTTGCTTCAATCAGGAGATGAGCTTGTTAGTAATGTTGTTGGCGGCTGTGCTTTCCTTGCAGAAGTAAAGGTTATTTATAGATTGAAATGGCTTGTAATTATATTAGAGTTGAAGGATTAAGGTGGTAGTGTGGGTAGTTGGAGCGCAAGATTGATGAGTATTATGTGTATTTTTTATTGCTTGGATTTCTGTGCAATTGTGCGTAGAAGTTATCCTTCGTCAGAAAAATTATTCTTGATTAAAAAAGGGTGTTGAAGAATAATTTGCTGGGCTTTCTGTGCATAGAAGATTGTATTAGGTCAGAAAAATTGTTTCTGTGTTAAACAATTGTGTTGTGCTAATTGTGCCAGGGAATATCTTTTATGTCCTTCCTTATTTCTAGGGCATCTGAGTTAGGATATTGTCATGTTTCTGGCATGGCAAATGGCAATACTAGAGGAACTTGGGGTTTCTAGCTATAATAAATGGCATCAGATGTGCTTGGACGAAAAATTTGGCCCATAATAGGAGAAGAGCTGATCTTGATGCCTCCAAATATGGAGATATGGAGGGAGAAAATATTTGAATCTTCATTCGGGAGCAAAAATTAAATAGTTGTGTTAAAAAATGCATCTAGATTCAGATTTTCTGCTGCATTTTTTAAGCTTAGTGTGTATATATTGTTACCTTGTGGTCCTGTTGTATGCATACCCACCACAACAAAAGTCATCTTATACAGTTATATTTCTCAGCCTGATTTTGATTTGTGTTCTCTCTCATGTTACAGAGTACCTCAGTTTCGCCTTTTCTTAGCCATATATTTTTAATTTAATTTGCTCCATTTATAAAAGTGATGCTTGATTCTGTACCTAAAATTGCAAATTACATCTTCTGACCCCTTAAATTTAATTCTACTGCTGTGTTACTGCTCTGCCAATATTGTGTACTATCACTTATTGTAAGTATTGTCAGTAATTCTATTTAGATGCCAAAATACAGCTATTAATTATGTAGCTTTGACAGGAAATTGAAGATGCCATTTCGAGATTGCCATCAGCTTTTTCCGGCCGGATCTTTGCACTCACTGAAGGGATTTAATGATTGGTGTTATAATGAGCGCTTTGAAACACATCTATCTCCTGTACAGAAGTTGAGTTGTTTTTGTGCACGATTATAGAACTGGTTCTTTTCTCTTCTTTTCTCCCCCTTTGCCCTCATTACTTCATTAGAAATACAAGCATTTTTCCATATCACATGTACTAGTGTACTACCACCCTAGTAGCTACAAAATATGAAGATGTTTATTACTGAATTAAGTTTTACAGTGAACCATGAATTCAATTTTGACATCACATTATAGTTGATTTTTCACCCTAGTACTGTATAAACTTAGTAAAGTGTAACTATTAGCTTGGTGTAAATCTAGTTTTGAATGGAATGAAATTAATCTCAGAAAGCTAATGTATCATGCCTGCGCTTGGTCGGTAAACAAACTCAACTGGTGTCTTGTTTATTTGATAATCAAGGAATTGAACTCCATTCAACTGTTAAATTAGTGTTTAATAATGTTTTAAGCTTCATTTAGCCATCAGGCTAATTGTATGACCCTTTAACTAGTAACTAAGACTGAAGTGTCCTAGGTTTTTAAAAGTGTTGAATATTTGTCTATACCAATACAATTATGTTGAATTAACCTTAATCGGTTATAATGCCTTAATTTATACTCTGAATTTTTGCAATATAGTCTACTAAATTGTGTGCATTGGAGTTACTCTTAAAGTATACTTTAAAAGGCTAAGTCTTTTATTACATCTAGAATTACCTTTCTTCTAATGTAAAGGGTGACCTAAGATTTGCTTCATATCCTCAAAAGTTTGCATAAAAAACAAAGATATATATGATTTCTCTTGCCAATAAGCAGGCGAACTCGAAAACTACATCATTTATTTTATTGATTATAATTCAATTGTATAAAACTCTAATCCTTATTCTCAAAATATCGTAAAAATAAATAAATAAAGTTCATCTTCATAGAGTAGTAAGGTTTTTTTTTTTTTTTTTTTGACATGATCTTCATACTAAATTTATGATCCAAATTTGGATTCTATACTGTGGACAACACTTGAATCAACTTGGAAAGTTTGGGATAGAACATGATCTGGAATTGAAGGTTGGGTGCCAAATAGAGTTGTGGATATGATCACTGTACCAGGATTCTGGCTGTTGAAAGATGTTATTATTGCTGCTTTCTTATCCCCCACATTCTTCTGAAAATGAACTAAACCTCTGGGAATCGCAAACATCTGTCCTGGAACCAACACCTTCGAGTAGTACACGTTCCCTGTGGTCACGAAACCAACTAGAACTTTCCCTGTGATCACCACTCCACTCTCGCTTGATCGTGGGTGGGAATGGGGTGGGTTCATCCCATTAGGTGCAAGGTCAACCCGGTTCATTGAAAGTCCAAGCATGTTTAGGGCGGGGAATGTAAGAACGTTCCCTGGTGTGACCTTCGATCCAAAAATGGTAGAAGTATTGCCCTCCTCCATCAGCCCGTCGAAGAAGAAGTCTTCAGAGGTCACATTTGAGGCAGGCTTGCAAGGAAAACTGGAAAACGAGGGAGACGAGCTGAGGTCTGCTATGCAGAAGTCCAGCAAGGGATCAGGATCAGCAGTGTGGGAGATAAAAGGAGCAAGCAAGAAAACTACAATGCAGAATAAGGCAGCCATGAGTGTGTATTTTTGTGAGTGTTGTTTGTGTATGAAAAGTAAGATTAGAGTGTTTTGCTTGTGTATGAAAAATAAGATTAAGGTGTTTACATAGGTCACTAATATGCGACTTTGTCAAGGACATGCAAAATATATTAAATTCTGTAAGACTGCTGCAAATGTTTTTTTTTTTTTCAATATGGTAAGTTGTAGTGGTTGTAGACTTATAGGTAAAAGACTGATTCAATTTGTTGAACATGGAAGAAGCTCATATTTTGGTTAGGATTAATCTGGCTTTAAAACATTGAACTAAATCAGTTACGAAATACGTACTGTAGATTATTCAATATATGAACAGCTACCTTTTTACTGAATCAAAAGTCGAAACCTTCTAGGCTGTTTAACAGAAGGCTGTGTACAAGCTATTGCCTTGTAGCATTTCCTGACTCGAAACTCATCTGCAATTCATCTTCAGATATTCCTTAGCATTTTGATTTTTGTAATTGTCCATGATGTTTCTTCAATCATTATGGATTGTTAAGGGGGTTAGGGGGTTGAGTTATTAGCAGTTGTGATCCTTGGAGGTAGCAATTGGATAGTTCAATATGGGTACTAGCCCGAGTCCATTCGGATCGGGTCATTTTGGGTAGGGATTGTTTAGTTTATGAAAACTTGAGTCAAGTGACTTTCATGCTGTTAATTAGCTAATTAAATAGATTAATCTCAACATAATATTTTCTAGTAGGTCAATTTTGGTTATGGTTGAGTATGGTCAAGCACACAAGCAACACAACTAGAATCAATTTTTCAATTTTTCTGGATCTAGCAACCCCCACAAAGATGGAAATATGGAATGGTGCTACCTTGAGCCTTAATTATCTAGATTTTATTTCAAATGATACTACGTTACGGACTAAGATGACCATCTTTTTGTACACTTGAAACCTATATTATTTGGACTCTTCATTTTACCTCAAATACCTATGTGAACTCTCGACACTCGGATATAAGTATGACCCTTGGACACTTTATTTTATTTTAAAATTAATAATTTTTTTAACAAAATTGCCGAGTTGGACTTCTGAACACGTACCCATGTTGGACATAGGTACCGAGTCCGAGTACGTAACATAGTTGAAACAACTTTCCAATATCTCTTGATTGCTTGCATAGTTGCATGTTTCTGCATAAATAAAAACCAAGAGACAAATTATGTGGAAATACTTGTTTGTTTGGGGCACTGTATTGCCACTGATTCAAGAGATCACAGCCTTTTACTACCAACATGGCAGCATCTACTTAGTCCATTAAGAGCATCTCCAATGGTTCAATTAAAAGGACTTGCTTGCAATTTAAGTAAAGTTCCTAGCTACATGCTTATCATTGGAGAACAAAAAATTGAGCAACATGCTAGCAACTGTAGCCCAAACAAGCTACATGCTTGATTGAAAAAGAGACAAATAAACTCCACTCGTCTTGAGCATTATACTCACGGATCGTTCAATTAAAATTGCTATAATAAGATTGGATTTAACACTGACAAGATCATCAAGACACCAAAAGAGCGTAAATTTATTTAAGATTATGTAATTCTGGTCACAGTAAAAATGACGGTTTTTATTCTAAACCACTGTCTCTGAAAACTAAGCTAATGTACTCAACTCCATTTCCTAAATTGCCACCATGCTAAAGCGTTGAAACATCAGGTAGCTTGTGGAAGTTTCCACTGGGAATGTACAGGACCAACATCGTATATGATTTCTCTATGGCAAGACCACACTAGCTTGATTGCTTCTGGAGTTCCAATTCCTGCACCCCTAGGATCTCCAGCAGGTCCAAACCTGGAGGATTTCAGGTCGAGAAATATTAATAAGAAATTACAATGCACCATATATAATTAATATAATAATTAATAATAGGATTTAGGGCTTACCAATGATTTTGTGGAGCTCCTGTAGTCCTTGCTCGTAAGCCAGCATAAGTGGTTCCATTTACTGTATTCCCAATAACTTTCTGCAATTGATCGAATTAACTCAGATGCACGAAATATATACATATATATATACATATACATATACATATATACATATACATATATATATATACATATATATATATATATATATATATATATATATATATATATATATATATATATATATATATATATATATATTTGTGTCATAATCAGTATTTTGTATGATTACATAATTCCCTACGTTCTATGATTATATTGCGGCAAAAGACTACAAAGATCAATGAACAAGTTCTGTTTCCCTCATTCATTTCCAAAAGTTATTTATTCAGAATATACATTTTTTGGCTTAGATACATCTTAATTATACAAGTTCAGTTTTATTTACGTCAGTGATTAACCCATAAAACTATTTTAATGTTGTAAGTGAATCTTTCATTCCCACCACCACATCGATATAAACATTAGTGAGATGTCTTTCAGAAGGCCCAGGTCCCCGGTTCTGTGAAAGGAAAAGCGGAAAAACAAAATAGAAAGCAATTTTTTAACACATCTTGCCTGTAGGAATAACAAATCATTTGACACCACCGCAGCAGTTAAATGTGCATTCATCCTCTCTAAGGCATCTAGCACCAATGGTAGCTGGTTCGCTTTATAGTCAGTAATAATCTGCAAGTACCAAAGTCCATGAGCAATAGATTACAGTTTTCTTCAAGAACAGGCGGATAGCCATTTATAAATACTAATATTAGGTTCAATTTGCAGATATACACCAAAGGTGCATGAAGTGGGGAAGGGTATAGAAAGATAAACCAAACTCACCTGGAATGGTCCAAATATTTCTTTAGTCACAAGCTCAAAATTTGTGTCCTTCAAAATTTCTTCCAGGGGAACATATACAGCAGTAGGCTTAATCGCACCATAAATTGAGGGTATAGTGTGATTCTTTAAAGCCTCACCACCAAATAGTACCTTCGATCCTGGTATTTTTAGCAACTTCTCCACATGCTCCAACATTGCTTCGGTTGTGACCTATGTGATAACACCAAAATTATTAAGATAAAAGCATAAGATCAAAAGCATTAAACCAAAGTCACTGCAGAATTGTTATTGCATGCCTCACAGATGTTGGAAAACATACAAAATGTCACCCCTGGGTCAAATTTATCTACAATATATTACCTATATATTTTCTGACAATGTGCATGGGTAACAGGGTAAGTAGTCTGTAGCTCTCTACTATCTGAGCGATAATTAAAATCAACAAACTAGAACTTCAACTACGGAGATCAATTCCTCAAGAAGTTATCACCAAAAAGCAATAGCAAGAAAGGGTAAAAGCCAGATATACACACAATACAACTAAAGGAAAACACAGTTACTATACAAACACATCCAGAGGAAAGAAGGGAACATCCTCTGGCTCTCCCCTCTCCATATAAAAGGCAGGTGCTTTGAGAGGTAAAGGATATAATTGAACAAATGAGACAAACTTAAGTGCATCCCATTTTCCACAACAGAAATGACATGGGTAATAGAAAATAACCGGTTGAACTCTTAAAGCACCTTTAACTGCTAAGATGTCACTGATGTTTAGCTTGATGAACTCAGTGACATAATGAGCAGCTCAGTGAAAGACATTCTCACAGCTCCTCACAGTCTTGTGGCAATCAATAAGTAAATTTGGGATGAGACTGATTATTCTGTTGTTGGATAAGAAACTAACTCAAAAATTCCATTCCTTATGTTAGTACAGAGGTGTTAGAGAATGAAACAAATAAAGCATTTGGGTAAAAAAAAAAAAAACAAAAACAAAACCCTAAGCCTTCTCCTAGGTTTCAGAACATGAAAAAGAGCAGAAGCCCCCCCTTCACCCCCCGCGCATCTTATTCTCAATCCTGACAAACACAAATAATAACTTTCATCCCCACTGACTCTTATTATTCCCAAATACTACAGAAGCCATGAGTTGCAACATCTCTAATGCAAATTATGCAAATGGAGCTTACAGTAAGAACAGGTCCAATAGTCAGGTTATCTAGCTTCCTTCTAGCAGCAAGATCTTTCAACTTGGAAATAAGAGAACTTGCTGACCAGTTCTGCAATGAAAATCAGAGAAAAGGATCATATAAATATACATGTATAATTGGTTTCACACTGGAATTACAGAAAATCACTCCTTTTTATAAAATATATCCATTATTTTCAATAGGGTTTACCTCATGCATAAAAAGGATGGACTGTGCAGAGCACTTCTGTCCACTGCATGCATATGCGTCTTGATCACAAACCCAGGCAACATAATCCTCCTGCCAACAAGAAGAGGGGATATGAGAATTACTAAACCAAGATCATGATCGAGATCATATGGAGAATGACAGAAGCAAACCTCCTGAACATCAGGGCCAAGGATTTTCCAATCAAATCCTGCATCCTCCAATTTAACTCGGCCCTTCAGGTCATCAGCTAATTTCTCTGCTACTCTAGAGCTTCCAGTGAAAAGGGTCATACGAGGATTTGCCTGTACATGACGTCTGGCTTGTAAACAAGAATTTAAGTTGCTTTAATCAGATTCATTAGAATGGAAGTACAAGTCCTAGGGATCTTTGACCCAATCTTCAACCAAGACAGCACCGCACAATTAATGGATCTCAAAGCAGGAGATTAAACAGAATTTTAAGCAAGGTCTAATTAATTACCCACAGATATGAATAGAATTATGATACTAATCAAATCACAGGCAAAAGGTACAAAGATGCTATAAAACAGCAACTTATGAAAAACAGATCTGATCTAACACTTTACTAACTTGAAATTCTGTAAGAAACAGGTAATCAGTACAGTCATAAGGCCACCATGTTTACTCAGTATCTAGCTGTTTTTTCCCCATGCCCCTTATCATAACTCAAATTCAATAAATTTACAACTATCAACTCTCTATCACATTATTAGACCACAAGTTAACTGATCTATCAACTCTGTCACGTTACTAAACCACAAGTTATCCATAGTTCATCACATTACCCTAATCACTAATGAAATTTCCACAAAATAAACAACGATATTACACCCCTAATGTTGCTCCAATCTCGTTATGCAGTAGTAGCCATAAAAACTTCTACAATGTCTTGATCTCTAAAAAAAAGACTAACCCAGATATAAATGAACAGCAAACTAAACTCTCAAATCCTTGCCCAAAAGAAATATAAAATCTGACCCTAACCTGATGGAGATCTCAAAAGATCAACATCAACTTTACATACCCACTGCGGCTTCAATCTCTACGTGCCTTTTGCTCCAGGCAAAACAACTAATTTCCACAGACCGCTTATCTGTGTGTGTTTGCGTTTGTGTGTGTGTGTGTGGGGGGGGGGGGGGGGGGAATAAATAAGTGGGGCAAGTTATAAACTCGAATGCTCTTTCCACAGGACAAAAGCAATATAATTAAAATTCTTTTGAAATAGTGATGCAGAATGAAACCTCCAACAGCAGTTTGTTCATCGTCTTGCCATCAGAGTTGATGAAGTCAACATCGTCAGTAGATAACCCACATAAATGAAGCAGGCGCAGCATTTGTTCCATTACAATGCTAACCTGCAAGGCAGAAATATATATAGAGTCAAAATTCTGTTGTGAACTTCTGATCACAGATCTAAGAAGCAAGTCGAGAAATAAAAATTGCAGCAAACTATAGGCATCAATTATATGTTAGTATGTCATGCTCACATGCTATAAAGAAATATACATCTATATATACACATAGTCACATATATAATTACTATTGTTTGAGGTCTCATTGCCAATTGGTTCACAAATTCTGCATCGAAATGTTCTCTTAATTGTCCAAGCACTGCAGTACCTTCTTTTAGAATCTGATACGTCTCTTTGAGAACAAGAGGCCATTGGTAAATTGGTATACCAGAGCCATACATTACCTACGTTTTATTTTTTCAATTAATGCCATTCGACTTTTCACACTTGCCGGCTCAAAATTTAAACTATTAATATCTTGATTATTAGTAAGTAAAAATTATACTTCCTCTGTTTTTTTTTTTACTTGACCTGTTTCTTTTATCACGCTTGCCAATGCAAAACTTTAACGGTTAATAACTTTAATTCTCCATAATTAAAATATATAAAAGTTATATATTATGATAGTTATTATTGAGACGAATTCAAAATGATCCAACATAAATATGTTTTTCCTTACATATCTATATATATATTAAAAGTCATGGAAAGAATTATAATCATGCCACGTGTCATAATTTTTGCCACATGTCGTCATGACTCATGACTTGATAAATGATGTAGAGTCGTGTCATTTTAAAACAGATATCAATGTTTCCTCGCAAAAATTTAATGTTCATAAATTCTAAATTTTTAATTGAACCTATATATATACTTTAATATAATCTCATTCTTTCGTTTACTCATCCATAATTCATATAGGTTATATATATTTAAAATATGTAACATAAAAATACATAGCAACATGTGTTTACCTTGAATAAATTTTTAACGGTAGATAAAAATTCTTTTAACAAATAAAACAAACTAATATGAATTATAAAATTTAGATTACTGCAAATTTCCTAATGAATTTTAATAATGTTCAATAATATTTAAAAAAAATTTTTTTTTTTTTAAATTATAAAACCACCAATAGATTTTACTTTAATTTATTATAATTTTTTATATACAAAAAATGACCGGGGCATCGCCCGGGCCTAAAACTAGTTATTCACAAAACACGGTCAAAGGAGGGGTGATGAATAGTGTAAAAGTCAAAGCGGGTCAAGTAAAAAAGAACGGAGGAAGTATAAGTTTACCACGAAGTATTTTTTCTTATATAAAAATCACCAACATTGGTCAAAGTAAAGTACGTTAATACTGCAAAAGGTCAAATTGGGTAATTACAAAAAAAACTGAGTAATAGCTTAAGAAAAAAAAGATACAATGCCATCAATGACTCTCTCTAAACTTTAAACTGATATCAATAAAGACGCTGTGTATATTCTACAGGAAAAAGGAAGAGTTGCTATGTAGTTTTCTTTCTTTCATCACTTTCTTTCTTCTTTTAGAGAATGAGAGGGGGGAGGGTATTAAGGATTTAGGGTGACCCCACCAACGCACACCAAATTAGGGCTAGATAATTTCATACATCACACCAGCTCTTGTAAATATGAATGAGGCCCAACAGTAACTCGCAGCAAAAATTAAAAAATTATTAAAATATAGCCTCTTGAAATCCATACAAATGCCTTTTTAAAATACCTTGCTATCCACTTTGAGTAGAGGTTTGTTTCCCATGTAAAGTGCACCCATCAACTGTAGCACTGGGATTTCTAGAGGGAAATTGAACGGAGTAATAATAGCCACCTGAAATAATAAATTATTAATAAAAAAAGCTGTCTAGAGGCATGAACTCGATTTTGTGGGCATTGTAAATACGTAGTAAGTAAATAATGTTCAAAGATTTGACATTTTTAGCTACAATTGAGTTATGCACAACAAAAAAATGCGATCAAACTTTCAGAAAATGTGGCAAATAATGCTAAAACGTCCTTGGCATCCAAATCAAAAAATGCATATTCCAATCACCATGGTACTTTTTGTTCTTTTTTGTGGTGAGGAAAACTGTGGTACTCTAATTCCACCCAGTATGCAGCATTCTACTGGTGTAAAAAAAAAAAAAAAAAAAACAACTCAAAATTAATAAAGGAATGAGTGTAAGATGGTAACATACCGGACCATAAGGCCAACGGAAACCATGACTTTGCTGACCAAGATGATTCCCAGGTATTGCAAATGACCTTGCAAGAAAACGAACCTGTCCAAAAGTAAATATAATCAACAAAAACATATCGAATTGAAGATAAATGAGTTGCTATTATAATTAGTTGTCCACTGAGAAGGTCTTATTAGATTAAGGATCTACAACATCATTGTGAAAGATAAGAAATTAACATAACAAGGTTTTCTATGTATATATTTACAGCATATAATACAAGATATGCTTTCTAATTTTCACTTTCAAGAACATAGCCTCTAGTTTGCGACCAGCTAAAACATAAAACTGAGTTTATTATTAAATAATAAAATGTTAGTAATGAAGTGTTTTTGTTAAGACAATTCTCCAGATACCTGGTCACCAGAGAAATTCTCAAGAAATTTCTGTGTAACAGATACTTCAGCCATAGCCTGCTCAAAACTCTTTGGAGAAACCCTTTGAACCAACCTAGCAAAGAACTTTGAAATCTGGAATGTAACACAAAAAAATTTACTAATTACTCTTTTTTTTTTAAAAAAAAAAAAGGCAAGTAACATCAAACAACTAGTTGGTTAAAAAGACGGCAAAATAAGAAGATAAGAAATGAGCCAATGAATACCTCAGGCTGAGAAAGCTTGTCAGCTGCTTTAGTTGATATGGCTCCTAACTGAAGATATCTGAAAATTCAGCCTCTTTAGCATAAAAAATCTCATAATTAAGAGCACAACGGTCAATACTCAATAGGAAACTGTGGAGAGAGCATAATGCAACAATCATATAAGGGAAGACAACTAGGAGAATGACATAAGCACAAACCTTTCTGGGTCCTTGAAGGGATTATGAAGACCATGTTTAGGGCACCTGGATAAGCTATCTACAAATGGCTGTATAGGCAGTAAGCATGAAAAAATAATAACATCAGATATTCAGATGAGTATATGCATAGTGTCCGAAATGATTTCACAGAATGGATGAAATAAGGGGAGACGAAAAAGCTGTTAACTATCACTAGTAGAAGGTAAAAAGTAGAGCGCCATGACATACCTTTATATTTGATTCACCAACCTCAGCAACCTTTATGAATGGTTCACCGTTCAATGGATCCACAATTGTATTCCAGGAAGGAGACTCGAACCATTTCCCATTCACTGAAGATTAAACAATTATATTATCAAAAACAGCTTAGACTGAATGTGCAAGTTTTTCTTAAGAATACACTGCTTAACAAAAATAACTAATGCCAATCCTAAAAGAACAGAAGTTAAGAGCACCAATATCAGACTAGTATCAGAATCCTGTGAAAACAAGGTCAGTAGCAGCAAGGCAAGGAGGGTGACATAATGAAATAGTTGAATTAAAAAGACAAGAATGACAGCAAATATCCCAATCGTTTATTTAAATTTTAACAAAACCTCACATCTACACTTTTTCAAACATACCCAAGTTAAGCACTTTAGCTGGTTCAGAACCAGATACTTTGTCTGCATCTACAGTTTGAAAAGCTGCCAAGCTCATATACCTGCACAAGAAGGATTTATAGATAAATTAGACTGAAGGAGAAAGTGATTCTCTCATAGTTGTATAAACATGTCAACCATACAAGCTATTGCATATGCAATTGACATTCTAAAACAAAAAATTAGTAGAGGGGATAAAGCACAAGAAATCCCATAATGTTTGTATTTCTCGTCCTTAGTTGTGCTTCTATGTAATCTGCACATGTGGGGAAGGCTGGGCTGAGGGATTCAAAGACCAAACTGATGATCTGCCCTCATACTGTGACAATTAGGTATCATTTCATATGCAAACACTTCTTCCCTGATCTAATTAACCAACCACAGCGACATCTTACATGTACGATCAAGCCAAGTAGGCATATAGATAAGTTGTTAATTGCTAACTACTAATGTTTAACAGTACTTTCCAATACTTGCCACTATTATTGCTCAACTTGTTAAGTACAATGCTACAAGAACAGCAATATACAAAAGAAGTTTGTAACTTTGTATGTACTAATGTGCATACAAAGTTACAACTTCTCCTTAGCAGCACTCACACTGGGTGGCATTTCTATCGGTTCAACCGCTGTCCCTATAACCTTGTTCTAATGTGCAAACTACTTGACTACTACAATTACCTTATGCATGCCAACAATGGTTGCCCTGATACTTTAATTGTTTACAGTCTTTGCCACTTAGCAAATACGGCATATATATATATGTGTGATCAGAAAGTTCATTTTTTTAGTGGTAGACGGTTCACAAGGTGTCCCGACTGCCCAACACATTTAGGTCGAATTGTTCACAATGTGTCTCGGTGAAATGACACATTTTCACTTTGGTGCGTAGTCTCTATAAATAGAGGAAGTATGACATATGTGATGTATGATGAAGTTATCAAATCCTCTTGCTTTCTTCTTGACATAAATATGACCATGTTTGTTCATATGTATTTGCACATTGATTTACTACTTTAACTAAACAACCTAAATCAATTGGTCACGTCTTGGTATCTCAATAGTTATATCATGTTAAACTAATTGTTTTTTAAACGATAATATAAAACTACTATGAAAACAACCATATTACGTGCCTAGAAGAAATATATAATCCCTCCAATTCCTTGAAGGTGCACACGGCTTTTGCAAGCTAATTATAGATTTATAAGTTTTTTTCACTTAAGATGATTATCAATGTCAAAAATTCTCAAATTTCATTTGATTAGCCAAGCAAATCACTACATAATCAATTAAATTAATTTCCCAAACCTATAAACCAAACTCAGAATTGACACAAAAAATCATAAAGTAATAAATTAATACCAATCAAACAGTACAATCACAAAATAAAATTCAATCATTAAACATAGCAAAATATTGAGATGACTCAATCAAGCTAAATTCTCATCATTTCACAAAACCCTCAAAAACCCAGATACATTAACTCATATAAATCATACCCAGAAACCAAAACTCTCTACAAAATGCACTGAAATTTTGGAAATAATTGATTGATCAGTTGATATTAATTCTACAATTATAAAAATTTAAAAATACCTGGGAAATTTACAAGAATCAAGCAAAGAAACAGCTTTTTTGGAAACAATCGTCCTCATTTCTCTGCGAATTGCAAATCTATGCATGATGATTAAGCTATACTCCGAATAAGAAAGATGATTTCGATTTTCCTCGTCTCTCTGTTTCTCTCTCCTCTTTATAAGTTAACTGAAACTGACACTTCCTCCTTGGAGTTATAAAAAATTGAACTAATTCTCCGTAAAACAATATGGGTTTAATTTACCAAAAGGTTAAATAGAAATGGAAACATTCATTAGGTTATTCGGGTTTAACCCGGTTTGCGACTACGCAGATTGGTGGGAAAATTTTCGGTTGAGATTGTGGCTTAAAATAAATCTGATTAAACCCGTCATGAATTTTATTCAATCCATGACCTATCCTTACCATGGAAGTTTTTTTCTTCGTAAATATAATATTTAAACTCGTTTTTCAACTCGCTAATCTCATAATGGTCATGTATTATAATTATCACACGATGATCGTTTCTAAATATAAACTAGGTAGAAATGATAAGATTTAAATTGTTTGAGCTGTTTTTCAAATGAAATACTCTATAATACCAATTTGAGCCACCTACCTAGCTTGAACAAAATTGATTGACTATTTTTCGGATTATGATGATGATTGATTGTGATATTAAAAATTATGAAGTACAAAAGTAATACGACTCAAATTGTTCAATTGCATAAACACAACTTTAAAAGTTCTTACTTCGTATTTTGTAATCTGTATGTATTTTAATACCGAGTTAAACATGAATAATTAAACATGCATCGTCCGGGTTAATATCATTACACAGAAGACAGTTTAAGTGCTTAACATCTTGGGTTCCTGTATGGCTGTATGACTAACAAACATACATGAGTAACATGTGAAATGGTAAGTTTTAAAATTTTAAAGTACAGGATTTGGTGATTGGATGGATTCCTATGAAACCTTGACCGTTGTTTACGACTGATGCAGGATTAGATAAGTTGGTGAGTCATACTACAATCAGATCTATATTAACGGAATAATTCAACGGTTGATACGCATGTAGAGTAGCAAGCAAATTTGTACATTATCTGGTTATGTGACAAGTGTTTAACTTAGGATGGACTTTGCTTAAAGACTTTGTTTTCAATTAAGATTAAACTTTTTTCATTAATACCAAGTAATAATAAATAAATTGTTGATACTTGGGATTTTCAATGGTGTCATTTTCATTTAGACATATATAATTCATCACTTCATCCTACTGAGTAGTGAGCAGTGATTAATCGGGCCGTAGTTCGTCCATGATCCACATGCATGGCAGTCTAATTCTTCAAAGTGACTATAGCTAAAAACTGACTCGGCCCGTGGGCTTGTGAGTCAAATTAGAAGAGGGAGTGATAATGAGTTCAAAGTGATATTCTTGTGAATTAAATTAGAGGATCATGAACCTAACCCGAATCAACTCAAAAACGACCCAATTCGAATCAACTCAATCCCAAAATCACTTTGGTTTTTTTTTTTTTTTTTTAGCGAGATACTTCTATTTCCTCATAGTGTTTCTCAAGAAACAATTTCTAGAAACTAATTTTAGGAAACATAAGTTGTTTTACAAAGCTTGGCCAAATAGACACTACAAAAAATAACCTTTCGTAGCGATTATTTTAACCTTTAGTATCGATTGTAATTGCAACCAAAAGCTTTCCCAACAAATGGTCATTCGATACAATATCCCCCGTTGCCTTAACCTTTAGTAGTGGTTTACAAGATTCGAACATGCAACCTTAAACTCTTATATTAAATGTTTCACCAATAAGCTATAACATATTTTATGTATTTTCTATCAAACAATATTTATATATCTAGTGTTGAAAAGGCTTTTCGTATCGATTTTTAGGATTTAGTGGCGATTGTAAATGATACGATTTCTCAAAATTATATAAATGTGTAAAAATAGTGTGGATATTTATTATTATGTTTTCTGTATCGATTTTATATGGGAAAATCATGGCGATTGTAAAAATGATACGACATCCTTAATTATTTCACAAACATACTTGCATATTGTAGCGAATGTACAATCGCTACGAAATAATTGCTACGAAATGAGATTTTTCTTGTAGTGAGAGCATTAATATGACCTAAGTTAGCGAGTTATGGTAAGGGACGGTTGATGAAACAGGACCCCCAATTATTAAGAGCCCCAAGCTTTATTCGGGTGCTGGTATTTTGTGTGTAAAGTTTAATTAGTTTCACCAAAATTAAAAGAGAAGAAATCTAAAGGTATTGTTCGGGTGCTGTATTTTGTGTGTAAAGTTTTGAGTTCAGGCTCTCATAAGTCATAACTACACTTCTTCTTTATCAAAAATGAGATTGGACACGTGACAAGTAGACGAGGAAGTACTAATCGAGGACCTCATTTTGAGAAATTGCACAGAGCACATTGTTGTGGTGTTATTGTAGCCCCGACATTGGAACGAAAACCCTTTAGGAGGAGGAGGGTGGGGGGTGGTGTTGGTTAAGGGGATTGAATTCCCACCACTAAAGAACCTCCAATTAAAATTTTATGTTTATTTTTATTTTTTATTTTTTTTATTGACACCGAATTTTGATGTTTAATCTTATAAACTCATGGTAGTAAACTAATAAGCCAAGCTTTGATTTGTACAAATTTTGACCCTATAACATTTAAAATCCCAACAACCTTCAACCTTCCATTTGTATTCGTGGTCAAGATATATTTTGAGCACCTTTGATATTTAGTTATTTAACACAAGGTCCCCAGCTACCATGTGGAGTTTATTAGGCTCATTGTTAGTTTTTTTTTTGTTTTTTTTTTATGGTCCCTTAGCTTAATTAGGTTCAATGATAAACTTCCAAAATTTTAGATTATTGATATGTTATTGTTGTATAATTGATGCTAGAGTTACTAATAAGTACGGAGTAATACTAAATTAATTGTAATGAAACAATAATGTTGAAGCCTCACATTTTCTACATGTAAATTTGTCCCACGTTAAAAAATACGATACATATTAAATTATTAACTCAACTGCACTATAAGCATGATAGGGAAGGTACACTTCTACACTTTGTAAGTAGTTCAAACTCTCTACTCCTGTAACATTTCAAAAGGCAAAAATTTAATTAAAACAATAAAAGTGGTCTACTGCGATTCATCGATCGATACATAGCATAAAGAACTCCTCAACAAAAGTGGTTCAAATGGAACTCATTCCTCCTCTATATATTTCTTCAATACAAGATTTGTTCGTCCTGATTATCCTATTATGACTTGTAACTTAGGTTGACATATCAATTACAAATATAGACACTTAGTTGACTTTTAAACAAGAAAAGTATGTTTTATACTTGTATGTAGCTCATATCTTAGATCACTAATTAATATTAACAATATCTAATCTAATATAGTAATTCAAATGATACAATTTGGCAAGATTATATCCTAGTTGTAGATTAAATAAATCGCAAGGACCATGGCATAATAAAAGTATGAAAGTGAGATTTAAGATCTTATTGTAAGAAAATTGATGAAATATTTAGGTCAATGGAAGCACATTGCTTGCAATTGGTTGGTGCATTGGCTTCGAATTTGACAACTAGGTTCAATCTTGGAAGCTCATTTTCACATGGATCAAATAATCCATGATTTATAAACAAATTGCAAAATCGTGGACTAGTTGACTCCTTCCGTTTCTTTTTGTTTCGTCTTTAATTGTCCAACTTATAATTTTTATATGCATTAAAAATTAATTGACCATTTAGAAAATATTGGCAACTTAATGTCATGCTACATTATTTAGCCGCACAAGTCTCCTACATCACTTGGCGTATCCTTTTTAGCAATTTACTCAATGAATTGGTCAATCTATTTACAAATAAATAAAAGTCAACTTATAACTATTTTTTACATTAATCTATTTATTTCAATTTTATACAATACATAAGGAGATTTATTATATCCTTAGTAAAACTTAGGGACTGTTCACATTTACTGAACTGAGCTGAACTGATTGGAGCTGAACTGAACTAATTGGAACTGAACTGAACTGAATTGAGCTGAAATGAATATTTTTTGAGAGAGGGAAATTAAGAGCTGAACTGAACTGAACTGATTGGAGCGAACTGAACTGAACTGAACTGAACTGAAATTAAATAAATGTGAACAGGCCCTTATTCATCCCGACTAGTTTAGCTATATTCCGTAACCCATACATATTCAAGCAAGTTAGTAATACAAGTTATTCATCACAACTTTTTATATACAACGTATATTCATTACATATTTACGTAAGTTAATAAATTAGTAGTCAGTTTTTATCATATCAAATATATTATGTAAAAAAGTTGGACTTGATCATTAGTCTTCATAAAAGATTTATAATCATACGTCATAACAAGTGTTTCCACACAAGTATACCCGTAATTGCACAAGTAGGAGCGGATATATTATCCTATAAGTTTGTAATAATGAAGTCAAAAATTAAATTTCACATGCATGCTCGAAAAATCCATATTCATATATATTGAATATTGCATTATAGAAAAACATTTGAAAGAGTAATTGATTCAACCAACAAGATTGAGAACCATCTAAGTTCGTTATTACATTCGATATCAAGCTTGTTAATTGAATAAATCTTTATCCTAAAACTTATACTTCAAAGATCTTCTAGTAGATAATAAATTAAAATTAAATACTCTTAATAGAGTAGGGAGAAAAAATAAAAAATTTAAGAGTACGTAGCATAATAATGTACTTATTTGTATAGTATAAAGTGGCAGAAAAGACCAATATCTTCGGATCAAACCACGTTTATTTGGTAGTCAATTATTAGGCGTCAACGGCTTAGATCCCAATGCTTACTTTGGCTCTCATTAAAGTTGCTCCTACCACTTCTCACGCTTGCAGTTTATTAAATTCTTAGCTTCACATTATTATTAATCAACAAAAATCTTACAAATCTGTAATCACTGTTGAAGAAGATTTTCCAAAGTACTTCGTATATTTTAAGGAAAATGGAAAATGCATGTAATTATGATGTAGAAAAATCAATCATGCAATAACACTAGAATATGATAGTGAGGGATAGTAGAGCTTCTCCCCGATTCCAAATGATTTTGGGATCGATTCTCATCCCCGCCCTCGTGGCTCTCTAAAAAAAAAAAAAACCTAGAATATAAGAACACTTGATTTATCATATGAATTCTCAACTTATATATCATAGTATTAAACACATACAATATGTTATGCATGTACGAAGCATATATAATGAGCGCATGCACTATATATAGTTTATTTACATTACAGTATTAAAACTTGTTTTGTCAAATTAATCTAAAATAAGACATAAATTGATGAGCATAAATATGCGCAAAATTGTAGGGTTAGAAACTTAGAATTATATATATACAACGTTTGGCTGCTTCAATTCATAATTTTGATAGCTGTTTAACAAGATTCAAGAAAAGTTAACCACCTGTTTCGGGTGAAAACAATGGGACCTTGCCGAAGGTCCGCTGAAACGGAGAAGACTGGATTCGGTCCAAGTAATGTTGGGCCGAAGGTTTCCTGCACAGTAAACACACGTAAACTAGCCTCGGGGGTGTTGCCGAGGAAGGCCCCTCCGATGCTAAAGTCAGTACAATGTGTAGAAAGAGAACACTATGCAAGAGAATTAGTTGCTTGAGGCTTTGCTTGAATATATGAGAATATATGAGAATATGTGAATGAATGTGTATATCTGAATATTGATGGCTTTTATACCTCTTCATACATGGAGAAGTTGGGCCTTAGCCCAATTGGCTTGCTTTGAGGGCTGACCTTTGACTTTAGCACAATTGGAGAGTTGAACCTTGACCTTGGGCTTTTAATTGGATCATTTAATGCCTAGGCCCAATTGGACTAAATTGGACCCAAACACCACCAATGCATATTATTACAAATCGAGTGATATAAATTAAAAACACATTATTATGTCGGTATAACGAACACGATAAGTTAGGTGAAATTATCAACTTATTTATATATTGAGGAGACATGGTAATTGGCTGCTAACTACTTCGTTCATGGAAAAAATGATTTATAATACTCCAAGTACTATCAATTAGGGTGCAATTAATTGCCCTAGATAAAGTGTTTGACCCTTTTTCTTTCAACTCATGCAATGAACAACACAACATTAAATTTCATTATGGCATCATGCATGCTATATATAGTATATAAAATGCGAAAGGAAGGTTCAATGTCATGCGATGGGGAACAATTTGTAGAGCAGACTATACCAATTATATTTAGTTATTTACTTAATATAGTATCATAATAATTATTAAATAATACAAGTGGAAAGTATATTCTTGTGTCATTGTGTGAACACCCTATTATTCTCTCAAAGAGCAAATTGCGCCACCAATACCAAATTGGCTAGAAATTAGAGGAGTTTGCATGAATTAATTAAATTGTTTACTCGTGCGGAATTGTACTACTAGAAGTAATGTCATACTAATAATTTGACAATTAACGTAAATTTATCATGAGATTAGCTAATCATGGCTTAAATAAAGGGTTCAGCACATTATCCTATAGCTAGCCAGTTAAGACTTAGGAGTTAGCATTCCTATCAATCTATCTTGTTAAGCTAATTAATTAAGTAGTCAACTAGCTAATAAGTATATGTTAATTACTCAATTGTACGTTGTTGGATAGGTTACTCGTAACCCTTGATAAGCTGTTTGGATAGGGTTGTACAAGAAATAGTAGGCAATTTTCTTACTTAGCTCATAACCCTTGACCAGTGTGTGTTTGAAAAACCTTTTATTTTTCGTAATTCTCACTTTGTGAATGTGATTACCTCCTTTTGCGTTAATCTTGATTCTCTCAACCAGGTTCACCCCAAGTCCTACTTGTCCAAAAAAAAAAAAAAAAACGAATAAAAAAATTACACTAAGTCTAATTTTGCATCCTTAAACCTACCACCACCAAACCATAATTACCTACCACCTCAGGCTACCACCACCAACCCAAGCTTGCATTCAAATTCACCAAGCTTTACGTATAAGTTACAAACGTGCGCAATGCACTAAACCACCTTTGACGTATAAGCACCTACCAGCCTCTAGAACCCGACCACCTCGGCACCTCCATCAAATTAAGGTTCACCAACACCAAGAACAACCATGCATATATAGCCAAGAATTCAAAAACTCGACAACAATTGCAAAAATTATTACTATAGTCATCACACAATGAGTTACTTTACAATTATCTCATCTGTATAAGATCTTTTCTCTAAAATTAGCAATGAAGGTTAATTATATTACTCATTCACCATGCTGGATGATGCACTTGAATTTAATAATAATGGTCCAAATTGGTAGTAATAAAAATATACTTCCTCCGTATTTTTTTTATTGAACCATAAATTAAAGAATTTTACACTAATCACATAATCTTTTATGACCAAATTTTGTGATTTATTTGTAAGAAAAACACAACAATGCAGGGTCTAGTAGGTTCGTCTCGAAATCTAGCTACTTTTCAAATTTCAACATTTTATACTACATAATTTTATAAAAGTATATTATAATTAAATATATTAATAGATAAAGTAATACATTGACGAGCGAGAATTTACTCATGGTGCAATAAAAAAAAATAACAGAGAAAGTTATTTTTTTTTTTAAATTGATCGAAGGCTATTTTTTTCTTCTTATATTATACGAAGTGTGTATATAACTAATTTATTCAATTCTATTAATATAAAGATGGAAGATTATATTGTATTTTTTATATTGAAATATAATAAATAATTAATGATCAAAGTTATGACTTATATACAATTGTACACATATACCTTTTTTTTTTAAGAAAATTGTACACATATACCTAAAGCAATTGATAAACCGTATGGAGTTTTTTTTTTTTTTTTTTTTTTTTTTTTTTTAAAGTACAAATAATATAATTACAAAGACTACAAAATGGTTAATTGCAAAGGATAAATAAGCATTAAGGAGTAGAGACTTTTCTATTTTATAGAACTTGAAACCTCACCCCTTTTCCAATTTAGAAGAGCCGCCATAAAAAAAAATAGAAAAAATAGAAAAAAAAAAACAAATAAATCTATATTATTCCTATTTATATTCATAGTGTTATACTACTTTTTATGCAATTATTATAAACCCTTATAATTAATTAAGAAGGCAAAATGGCTTAAAAAATTGTAAGACAGAATTTAGAAGTTGAAGTTTGACCTTAAAAATTAATATCCGACTTCCTTCTCTTTCGGCAACATGTGACTTCTGTAATGTACGAAACTTCAACGTTCACTCGTACAAAAAGTCTTCTCTCTGTACCACTTCTTTTCTTTAACCAATTTTTCAGCTGACAAAATTTCAACTCTGATGTAAATGATAGGATTTTTTTTGTTAATCCAATTTTAAATCGTTGAATTGGACTAGTTTTATAGTTGAAGTAATGTTAATATCTTGATAATACAGCATTTTAAATTAATAATTAATCTTCCACAGTAATATAGTATGGTGTATATATGGATCGGAATAATGTATACTTCGTATATTATATAGATGAGCCACATTAAAACCTATACTTTTCATGAGGGAGGTATGATGTTACCCTTTCGATGACATAACAATAGACGCCATTTCTTGTTTTACTTTGAAAGAAGTAATATTTATTCGACAATAAGTAAGGGTTTTTGTGTATTATTACGATCAACTTACTTTGAAATAATTAATGTCTTTAGAATACATGATACTATGATGTATCGATCAAATTTGGTAATCAAATATTGCATACATTCCATCACTCGAGGGTAAAGTCAGACTTAATTATTGAGAGATTAAATTCAATATATAGATCAGAAAATCAAATAGCTTAGTTTATTTTAACGAGTACATGTTAGGTTTTATTCTTAAGAGGTCCCTTCAACCTCGCCTTTAACATCGATCATTATATATCTTTTGTGACATTTTATAAAACAAAATACTTACAAGTTGTAATAAATGAAAAATTAAACAAATTAAAAGATGAGGGTAATAATAAGTGTACCTTGATCAACATGTAACATACGAATTGAAAGAGGGAGTTTTTCAAGGACATAAACCTTATTATATTAGTATAATAGTATTATAGTCGATAATGTTGAATACTCGTATAAAATAGACTAATAATTAATAACTCATATAGTTGCAACTTATTTTAATAAAATGTAATCAGAAATATAAAAATAGGTTAAGTCAAACAGGTAAGGCTCCCTTGCATTGCTTGCCTCTATAATTTAAAGAGGCGGATAATTTAACGAACACACACAGTTTACAGTTTGAACACGACAAACAATTAACAAAAACAAAGAGAGCTAGAGAAAGCAAGAGTAAGGCATGACGACGACGAGTATGAAGCAACAACAACATGGAGGAGCAAACTCTTCACAAGATGAAGGGAAAATCAAGGAAGAGAAAGATTCTAATAACAATAATCGTCGTAAGAGGGTTATTGATCCATCATCGGTATACATACATATAATTTATAAACCAATTCATCTATTAATATTGATGTATTACTATCGTAATTGTTTATCATCTAAAACGATAAATAAGGTCGTAATATAATTTGTTAATTGAATTTTTAAGCCTCTAAGCTTACAATTGTTGTTCATATTTGATTGCAGAATGATGGAGGTGGGAATAATGGAAAGGAAATTGTAAATGAGGATGAAAGTTTGACACAATCTACTGTTGAGCATAATATTAAGAAAGATTCCGACGTTAATAAACAGGTAATTAATTGATTATCGTTTGTGTATTACGTACTCCTATGCTGTAAATCTACCATGATGGTCCCTTTTTTTTTTTTTTTTTGGAAACCTTCAAATCTAGATAGATAGCAAAACTAAAAATTAAAATAAATAAATAAATAAATAATCCTTAGTATATTGGTATTTATTGTGTCAAAAAAAAAAAGTATATTGGTATTTATATATTTAGATTCAGATTCATTTCCCCCTATGACTAGTACTAATCAATTGATACCGAGGTTTTTTAGTTTTTTTTTTTTTTTTTGTAAAAAAAAAAAGTTAATATTATTTTTATTGTTAAAAAAAAAAAAAACACAAAAACAAAAACCGTGAATTTTTTGCCTCTAATTCTAAATTAATTCATTTTTAGTTTATTTACTCATTTAGATGAGATTAGGATGGGATATTCAATAACCTAAATAAAAGGTTAATTAGTATAAAATTCAAGATAAAAGTAAAAACTTTTGTGTATGTACACTCGACCAGTTTACATTAATTATTACTCCTATTTTTTTAATAGTACATCGGCCAATTATAGGTTAACTTTTAACTAGATTTAGCTAAGGTAACTATAATTTTTTATTTTTAATTGGAAGGTAATTTAATTGAAATATACTCCGCACTTTGTATTTTATGATCGGTAATATTTGCATGGTTATATACTTTTATTTATGAGTGAATGTGTGATTTATACGTGTAATTCTTGTAAAATGAGTAAATTTCACATGTTAAAAATAGGTGATTTTTTTTTTTTTTTTTGAAAGAGGTAACTTTTATATTTTATACAAAAAGTCTGTATTCTATAAAATACATAGTATACATATTGCTATTAATACAATAGGAAAGGGTTCACATTTTCATTTGAAATTCTTTTTTTTAGCAAATATAATTGGGATTTTTTTTTTGTAAGTCAATATATATACGGAGTACATGCTAAATTGCCAGATACTTTTATAAAAATCAAACGTACAATATTGAATATTGTCTCTTCGATGTTTTCATTTCTTACATATATGGATATACCCTGTTTGTTTTCCTCCCTATATCCAACCCTCTTTGACTTCCGTACTATAGTCCTCCGCATGCCGTAGTTGTTACCAATGCAATGTAAAAAAAAAAAAAAAACCTGAAAGACTATATGTAATTATTTTTCACAAATTAAATACTAGTACGATTTACCAGTCGTTTAAAAATATTCTCCCATCTTATTAGCATGCTACTCGTACTATCTACACGATTTCATTCATTTATGAAACAAAAATAAGATTATCCATATAAAACTTCCGTTTCTTTTTAGTTGACACGTTTGTCAATGCATAAATTCAACAATCAATATCTTTAATTACCTATAAGAAAAAAAAATATAAAAAGTTGATATTGTATAACTATATATCGTCACGAATCTAACAAGATCTCAGATGACTACAATTTTCATTACGTATAAGTCACAAAAATCTAAAGCAAGTGTGTGAATAGTGCTAAAGCCAAAACGTGTCAACTAAACAAAAATGGAGGTAGTATTAGTATAATTCAACCCAACTTTCATAGTATAGGATGTTTGGATTTTACCATCATTCTTTCATTTGGTTTCTTCTTCACTATATATAGCTACTACAATACAAAAACATGATAGTTGAACATTGCACAAGCTAAGAAGCTTAGATTAATTAGTATAATAATTGAATACTTTTATTTTAAAGATTTTATGATTATTGATTATTGTAGGAGTATCTTACTAGAAATATTCATTACTATTATTTCTAATAAATTAAATTCTATTTAATTTACACATTATATTGCTTTGATATAGGGCAAAGAACTTGAGTCAACAAAAGCTGAAATAGGTGAAGTAATGGAAGAAAACCAAAGGCTTAAACAATACCTAAATCAAATGATGAATGATTATCAAATGTTACAAAGCAAATTCTATGAAATCTCTCAACAAGACTCAAAACAACTCAAGGCTATGGCCGCAACTCCTCCTCCTCCTCCTCGAGCTTCATGTGATGATGAAGAAGAAGAAGAAGAAGAAGAAGAAGCAGATAAAGACCTTGTTTTCCTTAGTCTAGGTAGATCTCCAAGTCTCGACTCTAAGAAGGGATATACTAATAGTAAGTTAAGTTCACCATCCAAATTAGCGACGAATCATAGCAAAAATGTTGACATGGAAGCTAATGAGAGAAGCTTGGATCTAGGATTAGAGTGCAAGTTTAAAGCTTCAAGTACGATGGATCATCATCAAAACCTCAATGGGACAAAAGATGGAGAAGCTCTTAAGAGCAATAATGTTACAAGTGGTGGTAATAGTAATGGAGACGACGAATTAGTACACCAACCCCCTATGAAGAAAGCTAGAGTTTCAGTTCGAGTTAGATGTGACACTCCAACTGTAAGTATAAATGAAGTACTATACTAAATATACACTATTATTTTTATATTATCTATGTATATCATTTTAATACGGTTAATAATTATTTCTATATTATTGACCAATTTTTTTTGTTAATTTTGTTAGATGAATGATGGATGTCAATGGAGAAAGTATGGGCAAAAGATTGCTAAAGGAAACCCTTGCCCTCGAGCTTATTATCGTTGCACTGTTGCTCCATCATGTCCAGTAAGAAAACAGGTTCAATTTTTGTAACACTCCATATATAGTACGTAAAGTATAATGCCATTTTTTTTGTTTTTTAAGTCTAGTTTACTTTTTGATATGTTTTATACTACGTACCTCCGGTTCATATTATATACAAATTTGGAGTTTTTTATATCTTACAAATAATACACCAAAGTTGCATATAATAAGAACCGGAGGTAGTATATAAACTCTTTTTTCTAGCTAGAGCGATTTTAACAGGTTGCATGAAAAATACAGGTGCAAAGATGTGCTGAAGACATGTCCATCTTGATCACCACATATGAAGGTGCACACAACCATCCACTCCCAGTCTCAGCAACCGCAATGGCTTCCACCACTTCAGCAGCAGCCTACATGTTAATGTCTAAATCGTCGACATCTTCAAATCTCGGATCACCCCCTTATACGACCACCACAACGACACCTATTGGAGAGCAACTTCATGGAGGCCTTAAGTTCAATATCCTCAATAATTCTGAACAAAACCCATTTTTTTCTCCAAATTCCTCTACATTTTCTCCTACTCCTATACACCCTACAGTAACCCTAGACCTTACTTCAACCCCTTTATCATCCACAAATAATAACCAATTCAATAAGGTTGCTCCAAATTTAGGTTCAAGGTATTCTTCCACAAATCTCACCTTCAATTTTTCGGAAAATTCTAATAATAATAATCCCCTTTACTCTTGGTCTAATGGATTATTACCTAGCTATGGAACTCAATCCTACATCAAAAATACCCTAAATAATAGTCCACTAAATAATATTGGATTATCAAATAATAATACATACAATTTCCAAAGTAATCTCTTGCAAAAGAGTAATATCTCTCATAATAATCCTCCTAATAATCATGATACATTTGCTCAAGCAGCTAAGGTTCTTACTTCAGATCCAAGTTTTCAATCAATTCTAACCGCCACCTTGTCATCCTTCATCAATGGAAATAATGGCAATGCTAATAGCAAAATAGTTGGAAATTACACAAGCAATAGTCACCTTGAAGGAGGCGGTCGCCATACTTCTTCTACAAATAGCTCATTATTTCAATCCACAAGCAATAAGGACACTAATGGATGTGTTTCAAGCTTGTCCAACAAGGTTCCTATTGCACCAAATTCAGAATTAGCTCAAAGTAGCCATATGTTTCTTACTTCTTCATTGCCTTTCTCTTCTACTAAAAGCACATCTTCCTCCCCTGATAATATAAATCAAACAAATTGAATATTTGAAAAGCTTATTGTAAATTGTAGATTGTTAAATTAAAAAGTTAACAGTGATGTGTAGATTATTATTATTATTTAGTGAAATAATTTAATATTCAAGTCTTATAGGAGTTTTGAACTAGTCTATTTATTATTTTTTTCAATCATACATTTCTTTATTTCTTCTACATACTCTGTGATTATATATATAATTTGATAATTTTTTTTAGTTTGATTGTGGATGGGAATTTGTAAGATTGACTATATACGTACTAATATAATGCTAATATAATTGTATATTTGTCTTATATTACTTACATATTTTTACAAGTTAATGATGTGTTAATTTGTTAAAAATAAATATGAGATATTAATATCTTTTCAATCAATGTAAGAGAGATAGATTAAAGGTTCTCTCAAACTTGAAACACATTAAACACTTTTTTTATTCTATTTGATCTTACAAAAGCTAATGGAATGATATTCCCTCAAAAAAAAAAAAAAAAAAAAAAAAAAAAAAAAAAAAAAAAAAAAAACTAACAGAATGATATTGACCAAAATTGCACGCAAATTTTTTTAATTTTATACGACATTATGACTGATCTAATAATATATTACACTTCTATAATAACATTTATTTACTTTATAGAAGTGAAAAAATTATGTAAACCATAGTATGTTAATAGTGCAAAAATCAAGGTGATGCATTAAAAAAAAAACAGAGAAAGTACTACGTATAAGGGATGGTCTCAACTCTCAACCAAGTCCAGGGTTGGATTTTTAAACCATTGTATTCTTATGTATGTTTAAATTTTAGGAAAATTTGTCAAAGTAATTTTTATGTTGGTCATTTGTGAGGAAAAATTAATGACATTATGGAACCTCAAATTGTTTTTTGTTGCTTGTTGTTGTTGACTAGAAACTTTGCCCGGATTCTTGTCATTGATTTCGATTTTCTAGCTAGGCCAACACTACCTACGTGAGAGACCTATGGCTTTGATTTTCCCCATATTTCTTCCCTAATCACCATGTCCATTCCACCACACCTACAATTGCATCCCTCTTCATCATTGGACCACCACCTCTAACCATTGCACTCAACCACAACCACACCGCCACCGACGCAAACCCCCTAAATCTATGGTAGCTTGCTCTTTTTTTGGCTTTTGATCTTATCTAAACTTACCATGTTGCCGCAACCCAAAACAAAACATCATCCCTCATAAATTATAATAATTATGGAATTAAAGGTTCAAACATATATAACAATTAAAAATGTCAAATAGAAATTGAAGTATATCATTAAGATTGCTTTACTTTGGAGTAGGAAAATGGGCCGGAAAATATTGAATGACAAAGTAACATGTGTTATTTTATCACTTAGGCCAGGTGCTTCTGTTTTAATATAGTTATAGAAGATTCGACATTAATTGACTTTATATATTGTAAATTTGTAATTCCAATTAAAGCTTTCGATGGAGTTATAGATGATAATCTATGAATGATACGGAGTAATAAAAGCTTCATACTTCGTTCGTGTGTGTCGAGCTGTGATACTTATGCTTATAGATATTGCGTGATCACTTATTTAAAGCACATAATCTGCAATTGATTTCCTTATCGATGACCAAACCATTCCGCAACCTCATGCTAGTCATATTATCCACACACAAGCATCAGAATCAACTTTAATCTTTACTCTAGTCATAAACAGGGAAAGATATCCATTCTAAATCGAACTTTTACTAGTGTTGCTACGTGCGCGCAAGCCCCCTAATCCACAAGCTAAGCTTTGCACCCTTGCCATACAAGCTAACATTCCCCAACCTTCAAAGTTCGAAACATCATCATCATCATCAACCTTTCTCAGTCACTCTTGTAAAAAAAATCAGCCAAACAGGCCCTACTTTAATTAGCATTTTAATTATTATTATTAGCATTAAAATTATTACAATAATCAAAATATACAAATTTTAAAAAAAATCGAGTGTACAATAATTATTGTACATCCACTATAAAGATAGACTAGATTGATCAAAAGTTACCCCTAAAATAAATAAAAGTTACCCTAATATGCATAAAAGTAATCCAATACAAATAAAAATTATTAGTAAAGAATCACATTTTAAATGACTAAAAATCAATTATTTGTGATTAAATGCAATTAAATTACCATTATATAACTTTTCTTATTGTCTATTTATATAAAAATTGTATTATGTTAAAAGTTACCCCAAAAAAAGCAAAAAGTTACCCTAAAATTAGGTAAAAGTTACCCTTATACTGCTCGATGTACAATAAAATTAGTGTAAACCGGGTGTATACAAAAGTTTTTGATCAAAATAATCAGCTAAAATATCAAGGAATTAGGAATCTGTGATATCATACCATTATTATTGTCTTCCTTCTCCCCTAAAAAAACCCTATTTATATTCTCTCTCCTCCTTTTTCTTCTTCACCAGCAGTCATCAATTTGCAGCAAAATTCTCATCGAATCTTCTAATCGGGGGTAAATTCTCTCTCTTTCTCTTCTATTTGTCTTGAATTTGTCAATTTTCTTTTGATCAATTGATTTTTCAGCTTCAGATAAAGATAATTATGGTCTCTGATTTCATATTAAATTGCAGAAATTTGTTGATTTTGTGTTGTTCTTATGCTTTGTAATGATTTGCTGTTGCTATTTTGTATATTTGAAACAAGTAATTTGATCGAAGTTGAGAATTTAGGTGTTAGGGTTAGAATTTGATTAAATTGATGCTTTGATTCCTGTTATCGCTGAATTTTAACGCTATCTGAGTTTCTGGAGCTCTTGAATCTGTTTTTGGAGGTTGTTTGCATGAGTGTTTGATTGGGAATTGTGTGGTTGTTTTTTTGATTGTGAGAAATGTAGGCTGAGTATTATAGGTGGGAGAACACTGGCAAGCTGACTTTTCGTTCATTTTTAACCGCGTTGTGTTTCATTGCCAATAAGGTTTTTCAATTTAGAATTGATTGGTGATGATTGATTTTCATTGTAGAAGTTTGCTATTGTGTTAATATGGATACCTTAATGAGATGAGCGCGATTAACCAATCAGAGAATGAGTTTTTTTTTTGAATTGTTCTTAGAATCTTAGTTGTTATCAACTTATCATAGAGTGTCTTTGCAGCTGTATTATTAGGATTTAATTCTGTTAATAATGGTGATATTTACAGGTAGTTACGATGTCTACTCCCTCAAGAAAGCGGCTCATGAGGGATTTTAAGAGGTTGCAACAGGATCCTCCTGCAGGCATTAGTGGAGCACCTCATGATAACAACATTATGCTTTGGAATGCTGTCATATTTGGGTAACTATCCTCCCTTTTTGTGTCTAATTAATGTGCTAGTAATCGCTTTTTATAGGTGATGAATAAGCTGACTTTTCTTGGTTTTTGGTTTATTTTTGCAGTCCAGATGACACTCCGTGGGATGGAGGTGAGCAAGTTAAAGTACAAAAATAAATGTCAACCACCCCCCCCCCCAAATAAAATGAGAAAGTTTGTGTTATTTTTGCTCTAAAGTGATTGCTGTGTGTGTTGAAGTGTTAGTCTTAGGTATTATACTAATGCAGATGGTTCTTTTGTGTATGTAGTTATTGTTGACCATCATCTAAGTCTTTTGTCATTTTCCGTCTCAGTTCTTCATTATGGCCGTGTGTCTAGGAGTACTTAGAAGTTGGTACATTGAACATCATTGTAACGATTATATAATTTTTTTCTGAAAATAGTATAGTGCACTCGGCCGCACCGCATGGTGCACCCGGAAAGAACATTAGACATATTTTAAAGAACATGGGCAAAAAAAGAACATGCTAGTGTTAGAAACAGAACATACCTATGTTTGACAAAAGAACATGTTTGTGTTTGACAAGAACATAAAGTCTTTACAAAAAGAACATATTATTTTTCATGGTTATTTAGGTGTTGAACGTGTTTGAAAAAGAACATTATATTTGACAAAAAAGAACATGTTCATGTTTGACAAAGATGTAGGTGATCATTGGGTGGGCCGGGCCAAGGTTAAAAAATCAGCTCACTTCTCGGGTCGGGCCAAATTTTGGGCCGAAGTTTTTGTGCCCAAAATTGTCCGGTCGTGCGGTCTTTTCGGGTCGAGTAAAAAAATCAACTAAAATGCATAAAACGCATTCCCAAACCCGCCAAAAAAAATTAAATTTAAGGGTCGGGTCCGACCCGATTTTGGAGGTGAAAAAAATTCTGCTCAAAACCCGTCCAAAATCGGGTCGGGCCGTTCTAACTTTGATCACCTCTAGCCAAAGAATATAAAGTCTTTACAAAAAGAACATGATAATACATTAAAGAACATGTTCTTTTTTCTGGTTACTCGAGTGATTGATTTTTTTTTTTTTTTTTTTATATACATACATTAAAGAATATATTGAATAATATAAAGAACATATAGTTCAAACTCAAAGAACATAATCATCAAATTTAAAGAAAATATTATACTCATGTTCTTTATAAGTATATATAATGTTCTTTTTTTGCCCATGTTCTTTTAAATATATCTTATGTATGGTGCACCCGGGTGCACCAACCATACATTATTTTTTTCTTCTAACATGCGAAATTGATCAATGAGTGCATGATTTTTAAATTTTTTTTTTCTCTCCATATCTGCTTGCATGTGTAGAATTTTCTGATAGGCATGCTTTTCTTGTTTAAACACGTCTAGAAGACAACCAGAGAAATATGCTTGAACAATCAAATACTCTCTCTATCTTTGTTTAGTTATACTTGATTTTTACGATTGCATATCATTAGTATTTTATTAAGAGATGAATGGGATATGGATAGCATCATAATCTTCATCCTTCTTTGATCTTATTAAAGTGTTTTTCTAACTAATACTTCCTCCGTCTTTTTACTGCAACGTGGAGGGGATGCATTGATTTTAGGAGAGCAGAGAGATAGGGAGAGATAAAAAGAATGACCCATGTGATGTGGAGAGAGATATACGGTATCATTGGCTAAATAAAATTATTGCAATTAATTTGCAATTTTTCTAAAAGGAATGCGTTGTGACTAGAACGGAAGAAGTAATTTTGTTTCTTGTTCAAAAAGCACAAAACTATGTTATTATTGACTTTCTTTTCTTGATACTAATTTCAACCTTTAAGTAGGATAAGGCTCATTAAAGGCATTTTTCTCCTTGTCTTCATCTGCTGAGGATTATAATCATATATACTGGTTGATTTAGCTCCTGTATGGCTGAGCTGAATCGAGATTTGTGGTTAGTTGGAGCTAAATGGAATAATTGGAGCGCGCATCTAATACAAAGGAAGATATTAATTAGGAATTCAAGATATAGTAATACTAGATATGGTTTGGAGTGGGGTGGGTATTATGGGTTAGTGATTTGAAAATTTGGAGTCCTATCATCCATAACAATTATTTGATCAAGATTATTGCCTTTTGTGTTGGAACAAGTTTTGCTGGTTTCCATGGAAATATTTTTAAATACTATGTGATCGCTAGTTGTCTTTAGGTTTAAGAATCATTTCCCAGGATAGTATTTGACCATCTTTATTAGTGTAGAGCTCAGGAACAGTCATGTTTATAGGATAACTGTGGCAGAAATGTATATATTGGGTTAAGTGTGTGGTTATATATTAAATTTAGAATCCTACAGAGATTTACCGTGGAAATAAAGGGGCATCTATCGAAATTTGAGGATAGAATCAAGAATCGACTGTCAAATTGAGGCATAATCATTGCTGTGCTCAAGAGGCACAGGTTCGGATAATGGAGAGTTAAAATAATGCAGATTTTAAATGAGGTTAGGGTGGATCTGACTGGTTTTCCTTGGAGAATTAAGAAGAAAAGGCAAATTCTTTTTACCTGTAATGGTGTAACCCAAATAAGCTCTTATTATCCTTGGATTTGATTTTGTCTTTTACGAGAGGATATCTAGGGGGGTACAGGAATGAGCTGAGTATGGAAGTACTCCAGTGAGAGGAGGTGCTCCTTAATATCCTGGGGAAATTGGTGTCCTGGGCACGCAAGTCTATCACAGCTTAGGCAGCATCTGATGTTGATGTGTTGTGGACTTTGTAGTTGCAGCAAGAACTCATGCAGCGTGGCAGCTGTCTCATATTTTTAAAAGTTAGAATAAAAACCAATACTTTGGCTGTAGACCCTAGTTCTTAATAAACCCACTATAAGATTGTGATAAATGTGAAAGCATTTGATTCTGCGATACTATTGGTGTTAATAAAAACCTGTAAAATCTGAAAGGAATACTAATCAAGTTTGCATTAATTAAAATGAAATGGTAATTATGTGATAGTGTGCGATACATGTATGCACGAATGATACGAATTTTATAGTGTGTGTCGCACGTGCTTGAGTGAGTGTGTGGTGTGTGTGTGAATAATTAAGTTTGACTATTGAGAGTAATTTGATCAAGTCAAAGGACTTCTGAATTATGACCAAATGGATTATAATTGTCATTTATTTGGGATAAATAAATTGAGATATTATTTCGGGAAAAAAATAATATCGAGAGCTTGAAATGTGATTTTTAGATTAAATACAGAATAATAAGAAAATCATGAAAAACGGTTTAATAAGATGGAGCACGTGCTGTTAGATTATGGATTGAGATACTATTTCAAGGCAAAAGGAATATCGAGGGCTTGAAATGTTGATAAAATCATGAAAATGGGTCCAAAAGATGGAGCACATGCTATTGAGATGATTCATAAATCCATTTGGGTTAGCATGTGCTGTTCGATAACTTATGTATTATAGCCATGATAAGTACGGCATGAGTATGAAATTTGAAGAAACAGAAAACGAGCTTATTTTTCGACCAAGTTTTGTGGAGACCTTAATGATATTAAATTAAGGTTGTAGTCAAAGATTAGTGATTTTTGGAGATCATTTGATGTCACAATCAAAACAGAAACCACAACAGCTATGCATACAAGTAGATTATAAAGTAATTTAGGCAATGTCATGTAACAAATTGATTTACCATAAGGTTGTGGACAGCAGATGGAGCTTGCTTGAGATGATATTTGGAGCTTAAATGATAAAGTAATAAGGGGCAAAATCTTATTAGTGGATGCTCCCCATTGGGCAGACTAGCTTCACTAAGACTATGACATTGGTTTCTTTCTTCTCCCTAAGCTCACCCCATACCTCATTCCTTTCTCCCTTGTCACAGTTCTTAGCTACAAAGATTGAGGGTAAGTAAAAGAAACTAGAGTAAGAAAGAGAGGGAGAGTCAAAGAAACAAAGGTGAAGAGTGCACTTGTAGCTAAGGTAAAGTGCTCACTTTGAGCCTTGATAAGTTTTCATTTCTTAACCTTTTGGAAAAATGTCCATCAAATTCTCACCTAGTTAAGACAGATATAACAGTTAATACCACACGAATTAGCAGTATTTAATTTCTTTGTTATGTCAGGCATAGATGCTACTTCTATCTGAACATGCACTTCTAGTTTTAGCATGGGCGGTTCTGTACTCTGTGGTTGACAGGGTCTAGGAAATTATGTTTGATCAATTTTGACATACTCTAGTGGAGAGACTGGAGACATGGAAATCTATAAGGGTCCTTTGTGGTATTTTCTATATTATTATTGGATAGAATTTGTTATTTTCATTTTTCTAATGCATATATCCCATTCCAATGGCTTTATCGAGATGGCAAAAAGACTGGACAAAGGTGTTTTAACACGAAACCACTTTGGAGTTGAAATTAAACCGTAGTTTCTGAGTTGTAGTGGGCTGTGGATTCTGGTGCTAATTTTTTTGCTGTAAAGTTGATAAAAGAATTTCTGAATTTTAAAGTTCAGTGTTAGCTACTGTTTTTAGTATTGGAACCGTGCAGTTTTGGGGTTTTTGAAAGAAATTATGGGGGTTGGGTTGGCTGTGAGTTAAATGGTGATGAAAATAGTCAGGCATTTAAAATTTTAAAGGTTTCCTTTTAGTTGGGTAAAATGTGAGGAGGGTGAAAGTAATATGGAAATATTAGAGCCTAGGAGCATCGTAATTGCTTTGATGGTTGTCCAGTAGAGACAGGTTGCTGGAGTCCAATACTGAAAAGCTGTTGCTTCTAAGGTTTTGCATGTAGAGACTAATTACCTGCTTCCCATATGTTACTTCTCTCGTTGAAAATGGTTTTGTTTCTGTTATGCTGGATGGTAGTTCTCTTCATGGGGGAAAGTGGCTTGTTTGGTTTGTGAAAAAGATACTGTCAAGAGCTTCGTAGGTCTGTTCTAAAAGCTAAAAATTGGTTTGTAGGTTGTGGTAGTTCATTGTAGTCCTTCCTATATTAATTGGCTACTTTCTATGGGTGTCTCACTTGCTATTGATAAATTTCCTTTTTCTTTCTCTCGTTGTATCAACCAATTTTCACTTTTCTGTCCCAATTCTATCTCCACCCCCCGGCCCTCTTACCCACTTATGAGCATGTTATTCTACTATGTGCCAATCCCAGGTGTAAACTTAATTAGTTAATTGTGAGCTGGAGAGTTTTTATAGTTCCAATTATTGGGAGTTTACTCTATATAGCCTCGGAGCTCAGTATACTGTAAAAAACTGTGCTGGAGTACTTGGATTAGGAAGGGTAGATTTTGAAATTTTGAAGAGCAAATTCCCTGTTTCTCTTTTCCATTTGTGCTGAGCAAATTGCATTTTGAAATAGCATATACTCCATTTGCAAAAATATGGTTGTTAAATCATAAATCCTTGTGATAAGATTGTAAAATTTTGGTTTATGTAATGTCAGCTCTTTACCTTTCTGATATGTAGTGAGTTTCTCCAACTAAAAGTTTGTGAGTTTTTCAGGCACGTTTAAGTTGACACTTCAGTTTACTGAGGATTACCCAAATAAGCCCCCCAGTGTTCGTTTTATTTCTCGAATGTTCCATCCTAATAGTAAGTGACATCCATTTTTCTTGTATGAACTTTCATTCATGTAGGTGGTGTTTCTCACTTAGTAATAACTTCATGTTCCTGTAATGTGTCCAGTTTATGCTGACGGAAGTATCTGTTTGGACATCCTACAAAACCAGTGGAGTCCAATCTATGATGTTGCTGCTATTCTTACATCCATACAGGTTAGTTGTTGAGTTTATAAATATGCTACTTGCATTCATTCTAGTTAGTTGTTGACATAGTCGGCCGGGTGCACAGTGCTCATGGTGTACCTGGTCAAAATGACCACATGCTCTTTGCCTTACCCCCAAATTTTAGGATGTTGGTTTTAATAGATATTTAGTCATTTCTGTGGTTGTGTACATCGATGCCTTCTCAAAAAAATTCTGACATACTACCCTGTTGCTGCAGTCTCTGCTTTGTGATCCAAACCCCAATTCCCCTGCAAATTCAGAGGCTGCAAGACTGTTTAGTGAGAACAAGCGAGAGTACAACCGGAGAGTCCGGGAGATTGTGGAGCAGAGCTGGACAGCAGATTAACATCATCCTCTGGTGCAAGAGCAGCATTGGAATGCTGTGAGGCATGTTCCCATGTCTCTCTCTAATATGTATACATTTTAGTACCGTGTTCATTATTTAAATTCATACATTGTCATTCTGCGGATGTCTGCTTTGATATATGTAGAATTGTAGATGAATGATCAAAGTCCGCCCCTTGTTTGTAAGTTAATGGCGTTGAACAATGTCAATCTCCAGCCTTTTGTAGATTGTTTCAGGGTGCTAATTTGGATACAAGAAACTTTGTGAAGGAAAAGAACATGGACAAAACTAGTTAATTCCTTGTTAAACCTGGCCAGTATAGGTGTAGCCTTATAGGTCACGAGATAGCATATTCCCAGTAGTAACCACCCTATAGAGGTTTTTTTGTTAGAGCCTAGACGAGCTGCTCCCTGCTGGCTGATTCCTATTCCGTAAATCCTCGTTTGATAGAGTTAAAAACCAATGTAGTATGACCTCAAACCTTATCACCTAATATCATATACGAGCTATAAAACAATTTGATGGATGATCTACATATCGAAATTAATGTGAATTATCGAAATTAATGTGAATTCCAATTTCACCAAATCCATTGAATAAATAACAGATGAATAAACAAATTTGGACATGCATTGTTGTTTTGAGACAACAAAATACCCTAAGAAGTTAGGGCAATGTGACAATTGACGATTATTCGTAAAGATGGTTCATTATTATAGGGAAACAAAATATCTAGTATAACAAAAGAAATCAAATACTATGTATTAAAACAAGTATTTTCTTGTTGGCAGGAAGAGCCATTAAAACAAATCAAAGTTCAACTTCGCCTAAGAACTCCGACAATCCTTCTATGAACTCTGTGAACCATCCACTACTCTCCTCGTCTTCCTCCTCCTCCTCCTCCTCTTCTTCCTCTTCCTCTTCCTCCTCGCCTTCCTGCCCCGCCTTCCCATTCTTATTCTTCCCTTTTCGCATAAGTTTATGCGTTTTTCTTGCCGCCAACAAACCGGTAGCTATAGCTGCATACTGCTTTTTCTTATCTTTATCAGCAGCAGTTGCATCCGAATTCCCATCTCCAGCTTGATTTTCCTTATCATCATCCTTCTTTTGCATGAACTCCTTAGCCTTTCGCAAGTATGCTTTGTAACTGCTTCCACCATCATCGTCGCCAGCACCCTTAATGGGAGGCGCACTTGAGGGTTCCGAAGCTGCTAAAGTTGCTGACGATTCGGAACCTTGACGTCCGTGAAGGTACTTCTCAGCTTTCTTTAATATATTTCCATATCTTTCCCTGCGGCTTCCTTCCATTGAGAGAAAGACAAGTTACAATAATTTGTAGAATTTTTAATGTGAGATAATTTAATTTGAAGTATCTCATTTACAATGTATTTATATGTCAACTTTTAAATATTCATGGTAAGAGAAAATTTTGGAATCCTACATAAATCAAGGTATGAGAGAATTTGGCGGATATGAGCTTATTAACAGAAGAAAACTTTACAAATATCTACTTTATTTCTCAAGCTTTTCAGTTTTTACTATTATTGTTAATGAATTATGATCGAATGTTTTTTTTTTTCACGATGTATCAGATATTAAGAACCACTCACAAATTTTTTTATTTTTAGTTATGAAAATATTGCAATGCAAATGGCGAAGTAGCCAATTTCGATTATTCATTTATTTATTTATTTTAACTAAAAAATGAATCAACATTTGGATTTATAAAAAAACTTTAATAAGAATTAAATTATATAATTTCCCTTTCTAAATATTAATTAGAAGCGCATATTTGATTAACTAATTAGTTTGTCTAGCAAGAACATTCATCGACTATACAAGTATTATGCATAGTTAGTTAAAATGCATTAATATACTCACTTCATCATAAATAATTTACCAATGAAATTTAATACAAATATCATATAATTCATGTACTTGAACAAAAAATTATTACAATTAAAAATGAAATGCGAGTATTAGAAATTAAAATCATTACAATACAATTAAAAGTTGTAATATAAAGTTAGACTACAACAGAAATTAATACAATCATGAATTAAATTATCATGCATATCATCTTCATTCTTCATTTAATCCTTCAACAAATTCTTTAACCCCCTCCATTAATTCTGTAAACCAATGACCCTCTTCTTCTTCCTCTACCTCTTCTTCTTCTTCTTCGATTTCGCCTTCCTCTTCAACTTGTTCTTCCTCATTTTGTCTTCCATGTTTTTCTTTATGTTTTTTAATTTTCTTCAACATGGCTTGAGCCAACTTTAGATGCTCTTTATGATCATGTTGACCTTCATTTTCGCTACTCAAATTCTCATAATGATCACCACCATCTTTTTCATCTTTCTTATTCTTTTTATCCTTCTTATCCTTTTTATCTTCCTTGTCTTTTTTGTTTAAATAACCTTGAGCCTTTTTGAAAAACTCTAAATGACGAGTTCCATTATTACCATTATCACCATTTATTACAACCGGCGCATCTGAGGCCGGGGATGAGTGGGAGGCTTGATACTTATGTAGATAACCCTCCGCCTTGGCAAGAAACCTCTCATACCTTCCATCGGAGCGGGTGGAGGTTGACTTTACATTTGCATTATTCAAGTCCATTATAAATAATATAGAACTGTTGTGGTCGTGGTTGTGGTTGCGGTCGTGGTTGTGGTTGTGGTTGTGAACAATGATTGTGATTGTAGTTTTGAGAGGAAATGAATAGAAGTATAAACAAGATTTATAGGTTGAAAGTTGAGTGAGGGAATAATTGAGAGTATTGAGATTATATATAGTGTTAAGTTGGGTGGTAGAGTAGGGCATTTTCTGCTACTTGTGGAATAATCAATTATTTACGCGGCATTGTATGTCGAATTATAAACGTAGATCGAAAACCATAACTTACTTTCAATTAATTGTTGACTAGACCAAGTCAATCAATCCTAACGAAATTAGCATCAATATCTCATGTTTATTTTATTTTTTATTGCATAAATCTCCAAAGATTCCATTGTAAAAAATAAAAATAATTTTTTTTTAAAAAAATAACTTAATCCATATATAGTTTCTAACTAATATATTACTCCATTTTTTTAATTAATTTTTTATTATTAAAACTCTACTTTTTTTTAGAACCATTATTTTTTCTAGAAACTTTATTACGGAGTACTTATTATTTTTATTATTATTGTTAATAATATGATGGAATATTATAATTACTATTTATTTTTTAAAATATCAACATGGCTTGAAAATTTTCTAGTTCTCATCAAAAAGAAATGTTGCATCTTTTATTTATTTTTTAAAAAAAAATTTAAAAATGGTCATTTTAGAAGGCCTTGCATTTAAGATGTTAGAATTTGGAACACATAGGTACAAGTGTACAACAACACTATAAGAGTGGGGTAGAAGATTCAACATACATAACGACTTTTGTGAGAAATCTTAGCGTTAAGATGTTTTATTACCACATCTCAACAAGACATTAAAGTTGATAGTAACTTTATGCATTGTATATTTGTGTTCATTTAATTTTTATATATTTGATTTAGGAACTTATTTAAATTTGTTAAATCTTAGGACCTGTTCTCTTACGTTGAAATTCAGTTCAGCTCAGCTCAGTTCAGTTCTGTTCAGTTCAGTTCAACTGAGTTCAGTCAATGAGAACAGACCCTTATTTTAATTGTAAATTGATCTTAAAACTCTTATTAGAGCTTAATTTTATTTTATTTTTTTTGAATTTGTGTTATATGAAATTGTTTAGAAAATTATAGGAAAATTAATTTACTCATGCAAATTAATTTAAATTGAATTTTTACATTTAATAATAGACCAATGATAGGGACTGCATATAATAAAGAGCTAAAAGTGAAAATATATCATTAATTATACCAATTATTTGTTATTTTGTCAAATATTTCTTAACTAATAATGTACCGAGTACCAATTTAGGAAATACATACGAAGTACATGTAGCTTTAAGGACAATATATATCATTACCTTTATAAATATTTTACTTCAACATGAGAATTACATCATATCTTGATATATAGAGCAATTTAGTGTTTAAACATCATATTAAATCATGTATGGAGTACAAAACATATTCTAAATTTTAATTGTTTGTGGACTTTAAAGAGAGATTTACACGATCTACTATATATACTTCCTCTGTTTACTTTTAATTGTAACACTTTAATTTTCACATTTGCTGATGCATAATTTACTTCTTTGTATCTTTAAAAAATACGTACAAAAATATAAAAATTAAATATTATAAAAACATAAATTGAGACGAATCTAACATGACCTCACATGACTATATTTTACCAAACATGTAAATCAATAATTAGGGTCGAGTGTAGCTATGTAAGAATGTAAATATTGTAAATTTAAAAATATTGCAACTAAAAGTGAACGGATGAGGTACTAGTTTATAACCGCTTTGTAATGCATTATTATAATAAACCTAATTCAATTACTTGAATCGGAGGGAATCTAGTCCAGTTGTTTAAAGTCGTAAACCGATGACTTTTCTAAGCCATCAACTACGTCATTCTTTAAAGTCAGGCGCAAATATGGGCAATTGGTGATGATAACATAATAGGGTTAGTTGAATGGGTTCCATCATATTTTTTTATTTGTTTTACCATTTCTTCGATGTTCCGGATAGTATTAAGTAATCATAATTAGGCAAATAAACAGGCATATATAAACATGCTGAATACTTGGTATTATTTTGTGCATATAAGTTTTGTGTAGTTGGGTACCAATATCAAAATATCATCTCCAGTGGTTGGAAAAAACTCAAAAAGAACTAGTTTGCAAATATTAAAATCTTAAGCTAGTAGTTATACCATTGTTGGCTTTGTTGCACATCTTGTTGATTAGTTTTGCCAAGCAAATTAGTTTTGTATCCATCCCTCCATTTTAGATTGGACGCCAATCACGCTATGCTTTGACTGGGCAATGGTTTGACATTATAAGATGTATTTTATTGGGTGGTTTTTGACAGTGCTGGACTTTTTAGTTTTAAAAATAAAAAATTAAATTAATTTTTTTTTTAATTTTCACTTTAAGAAATAGGTGAGAACTAATCATAAAAAATAATAAAGGTTTGAGATCATGGAAGTGCTATGATAATTTGAGATGATTTCAGATGCAAGTAATTCAAGAGAAAGGATACTACGGAATTTTCACTTAACGCTTTATGCATTGAGCTTGAGCACTTAATCGGATCTGTCATGAAGTCATGAACTAAAAAAATCTTTTGTATGAAGTATAAAAGAATAATAAAACAAACCACCCTAGATGAGCAACACAACAAAATCGAAGCTAATTACTACTCCTTCCGTCCCATGACGATTGCCCCATTCCCCTTAAAAGGCAACATTCAATGTAGAGCCTTTAGAGCAGGGAAGACCAATGACAAGATAAAATACATACTAGTATTAACATATCACTATATGATAAGAGACAAACACAAATTTGCAAAGATTCACGCCCACCTGTAGAAAAAATACAAATAAATGGGAGAAGAAAAAGAGTATCTTGCACCACAACTGCTTGTTTAAACCTTTCTACAAACAGGAAAGCCCTCCACTAAAAACTATGAAGACAAACCAATACTAACAGCATCAAATACTGCATCTTATATGACCATATATTCAGCATTCTTGATGCTGATTACGCCTAATTTACTTCTGTCGCGCTTACCTCTCCCATATGTGGAGCATCCTGCATAATTTGTGAAAAATGTTAAGAGATCGAATTTGTAATTTTCTATGTACAGAAAGAGAGTAAACAAAATGCTAGCTTTAAGTGATGAGAAAAAGGTTTAGGCAGAAAGTATTGATACCATGTTTTCTTTGTTTTCCTCTAGTGTTTCTTCCATGTCCAATGCTTTGGCCACAACTGGAACACAAACGAACAACAATATTAAGCTCATAAATCAATGGACTGCAGTTATGTGGAGTATAGTACAAGATTATACGTCGAAAATAGCATTTGGCCATTTGCTAGAATCATGTAATGTACCTTCTTCAGAGACTGGTTTTTCATCCTGCTTCATGATTTTCTCTCCATTTGACTCTTGCTTGCCTGGCTTTTGAACTCTCTTCTTAATATTATTTCCCCCGCTTTCAGTGCCTAACTTTGGCTTAGCAGGGTCACGATTTGATGCTCGAGTCTTAATTACTGTAACAATGCTTGGCACATTTTCCTTCTTGGAAGAAGCCTTAGCTGAGGAAGCTTGAGTATCAGTGTTTAGAGATTTTGGTTTGAACTTTTTGGTTGCCGCGGTTGAAGAGTTGTTCTGAGCATCCTCACCAGAGACAGTAGTTGCATCTTCTGGCACAAGAGAGCAGGTCACAGATTCTTGCAATTGTTCAAAGGTTTCTGAGATTTCATAGCCCTCGAATAAGCTTCTGACAGTCTCTCCAAGTTCGGCGAGGTTGTGCCTCTGCACATAAGATTTTAGCTCCTCACGCAGACGCTGCATAGGCTGAACAAGAACATATAAATCAGAAATGGTAATCAAGTCACCAATCACAATATCAACTGCAATTCTCCAAGATGTAATACCTCACATCCTGCCTCGAGGGCAAGCTTGAAGAACCCAAGTGAAATCGAGTGTTTAGCAGTAGACTCTGAGAGCTTAATTTGTGACAGCCAATATGATGCAGATGACAGGATATTAAACTTCCTACGGGTTGATGATCTAGAAACATCAGACAGCGGCGTCACACATCTTTCCGGTCCATTACCAAATCTCTTGGACCTAGCTTCCGAGATTGGAGTAATGTTGCTAGCAGCTCTTTGCCTAGGACTCACAGATGACTTTGCAGGAATTGACAGCCTTCTCGGCGGCTTGGCAGCTTTCTCCGTGTTCTTGCCAGAAAGCTCAAGAACACTCACACTTTTGCTTGTACTAGGAGTCCTCCCTCTAAAGAACACATATCATACCAATCAGGAAAAATATATCAAAACACCCCAAGCAATTTATTTATTTTTTTTCTCAATTATGGAGAAATTCAACAAAATTCATCAGCATTTTTGACAAGTATCATGATTTTATGTACTTTACAACATAGAATTTCAAAAGAGAATCATAGTTAGTACTGCTAGTATTTGGACTGACCCAAATTCCAAAATAATAACAAAACCTCTATTTTGCACTCGGGTATACCTAAGCAACACAATTTAACGTACCCTTTATTGAACAATCCTATTTAGGCCCAAATGACTCGGTCTTTGTAACAACACGAAAGATTTGTACATGGTATAACAAAATGCGTATATTCTAATTAATTCTAAATTTGGCATGACAAATTCAGAAAGTACAACTGTATATGACGCGAATTCTGATACAATAAAAATTACCAATTCATAGAAGATAATAACCAGCAACTACACAACTAATCACACCATAACAATCATTGACCAGTTCTCCTGAAATAATTCCGTATCAATTACACTTTAAACATATATATTCAAAAACCTATTTAATTTGATGTAAAGTGAGTAAATAAATCAAATTTGAACTTGAATTCAATCAATTTCATGTAAAATTACCCAATTACATAATTAAATAGTGTAAAGATTACCTCTTGGAAGCAGCAGAGGAAGAATTATTAGCAATTTCAGGGGATTTGTTAGTTTGATCATTCAATTTTGCAGCCGAACGAAGCGGATACCTAAGCTTTGATTTTGCTGTTTTCCCAAAATCCCATAAAATGAAACACAACAAAACCAGATTAATTCTTCGGAAACAACATTCGCAACTCGTGTAGTAGACGGTAATAAATAGTGGTAATGAAAATGAACTTAAAACGCCCGTATAATAAAAATAAATAAAGAATTCTTGAAATCGAACTCGATAAAATGAATAAAAACTTACCAGCAGAAGCAGAAGATTGTTGAATTTTGAGGGGTTCTTCCATAATTGCAGAGGTTTTTTTAGAGAGAGAAAGATTTTAGAGAGAATTTAGAGAGAGAAGTTATGATAGAGTGGGAGAGAAAGAGAAACTTCGTCAGTTTATTTATCTCAGTTGAGCGGGAAAATTTCTCACTTTTTTTTTTGTTTTTTTTTTCAATTTTTGAATCTTAAACGTTATACAGTAATTAATTAATTAATTAAACGAGAAAAAATGGGTTTTTTGAGGTTTTTGCTGACGTGTTATGTGATGATTGGATTGAAAGCTGAAAATTGAAGGAAGTTAATGATGTTAAACGGTTGGATTTTTGGCGGGACCCAAATTCTTTTGTTATTCTTTTTTGACGCTCCTCTTCTTCTTTTTGTATTTTTTTTTGATTCGAAATTCAAATTTAGAAAATCCTTAATTTATTTATGGGGGAAATAATAATAAGCATGGTACTTGTTTCTGCAATTTGTTGACTGCAACAAAGAAGGAACAAAAAGGATTTTTTACGAAAGTAAGTTTTATTAGTAAACTATTTACCAATCTAGACGCGTGGCCAAACTATTTACGAAACTGAGCTTCTGACACAAAACGCTGTCTCGGTCAGCGTTTTACTTTTGGTTATTATTTTTTTTTATAAAATTTCGTATTATGTGAAATACAAATTTTAAAAAAAAAAATTGGAAATACGGTAAAACGCTGACTCAGTCAGCGTTTTTCTTGTATACATAACAGAGAAAAACGCTGACTGAGTCAGCGTTTTACACCTAAGCATAAAACGCTGCCTCAGTCAGCGTTTTATCTGCTGGCTGAAGGCAGCAACAGCAGGCCCCCAACAGCAGCCAGTGCACATCCACCAACACCACCACCCTCCTCCTCCACATCCTCCACCACCCTCCTCCTCCACATCCACCACCACCACCACCACCCTCCTCCTCCTCCACATCCACCACCACCACCACCCTCCTCCTCCACATCCACCACCACCTCTACCACCCTCCTCCTCCACATCCACCACCACCTCCACCACCCTCCTCCTCCACATCCTCCACCACCCATCCTCCTCCACATCCACCACCTCCACATCCACAATTTATTTTGAATGAAATGAGTCAAACGTGGACAAATAAGGAATTTGAAATTCAAACAAGACATAAATTCATTCAAATAATTATTAAAATAATAATGTAATGTAAGTGTTATGTACAACAAACTAGAGAAGGTCATTACAGCAAATAAATCAGATAATTCTATCCTATTCTGACTCATCAATTTGGTGTAACGGCTCTCTATCCTGTATGTCCACTCTCGGCCTTTGACGACGGCTGTAGTGACGGACCGTGGTAAATGGGTTCGGGCGTACTGGCGGAGTCAGCTGGCTGGAAGATGGGTCATCAGGATGACGTAGGGGCGCGGAACTGCGAATGTCGTACTCCTCTGCGCCCGTGAATGACGAAGGATCACCCCCACAGCTACTCTGGCCAGCCTCGAACTGTGAGTGACTAGAGTGGCCGCCATGATCGTCCCGGGAGTGGACGAGATAGGCGTGACCATATCTCTGCAAGGTAGCCATGCCCATATCTCGCACCCGCTCGACCTGTGCTCTGGGCGGCTCAGGTATGCCTGGAAGGACGTCCGACAGTGCGTCAACCATCGCCGTCATATCCAACGCCTGCAGTAATTAAGGATGAGTTAGTTGAATGATATACAAATTTAAAATTGATAAAAATAAGTTAATCAAATACACTTACATATCCCCTGATCACGTCAAAGGATGGATGGTAATGTGCGGATGGCGGTGTGTAGTTGGGGTTGATGAAACGCCGTGTAATCTGCATGTACCACTCCATGTATGGATCGTATGGATCCATAACGCCGTGGATGGGGTCACCAGTGACGACGAACTCCAACCGTCGATGCCACAAGTCAATGTACTGGGCATGCTCCGTCCGCCAGTTCCTGTCGCTCTTTCCCCGACGGTCAATGCGGTGCAGCCGGGCACTAGTGTCACACTGCTGGGGGACAGTCTGTCGTAGTCCAAACTGTCGCATGACTCGATCTGGTAGGTGACCCTCGACGACCTCAAAACAGATTAGGGGGACCCTAGAACGCTACTGCGCCTGATGATCTAGTAGATGTGGAAGCATGGCAGCAACTAAATCAGCTTCATACGGGTCCCATGTCATCTGCGATAACACATAAAAAGTAACATAATAAACAGGTTAGTGCATATTAAATATGTTAAGAGTATACATAATAAATAACAATTTCATAAACAAATTAAAGATTTCACCTGATCCTCGGTCAGTCGATCAAGGGCGTCTCGGTAGTACGGCAGGCCCCTCGCCGCATGTGCATATGTCAGCTTGGGGACCGCCCATCTGCAAGCGTACGCCTCGTCAGCGGAAGGCCGTGGTGGAGGAATGTACCGCTCATACTGCTGGTCCTGATCCTGCTGCCCCTGACGATGTATAGCAGGCCTACCTGGCCTGCCTACATGGATGTGCTCCCAAGACCAATACTGGACATCAAACACACAAAACTAGGTTAATTGTAAACTAAGTAAGAACTTTCCGAATTAAATTGTTAACAGATAGGTAGGTCACCTGAAGCAAAAATAACGGTCCGCTGATCTCACGAGAACCCCGGCGGGATGCTCTACACAGATGGCGATACAACATCGCCAGACAAGCACTGCCCCAGCTGTAGCCACAAATATGCTCCCAGTCGTGGTCTACCAGCTGCAGGTAAATGATCTGTAAATGGCTGCCACTCTTGCCACCGAACAACACACCCAGCATCGTGAAATAAAGACCACATAGGCAAGGGCACTTGGACAATACACTGTATGGCCTTGGTACACGCCTGACCGATCAAACTCATATCAGCTACCAGTTTTCTTTCCTGCCTTTGGTACGCAGCAGCCTTGAACATATCTCTCATGTCGTTTCTTCGCACGTGAGTCTTCAAGTTAGAAGCCAAGTGCCGAACACAAAACCTGTGATAGGCTCGCGGCTCGGTGAATCCAACGTTAGGGTCATTCATTGCTGCAATGATCCCAGCATGTCGATCAGATATAACACAGAGGTCATCCCGTTGAGTGACATGAACCCGAATGCAGCCCAGAAACCAAGACCAGCTGGAAATGTTTTCCCCTTCGACTAACGCAAATGCAAGCGGAAATACTTGGAAGTTTGCATCCACACCTGTAGCAACCAACAATGTTCCTTTAAATTTCCCGTACAAATGCGTCCCATCGATACAGATGACAAACATACAATGTTTAAAACCTTCAACACAAGGGCCGAAGTTCCAAAATACTCGTTCAAACACTTCCATGTTGCTGTAATAAACATCGTCTACCAGAGCTTTGTGTTTCCATACAACAACGGTTCCCGGGTTTGACTGTTAGAGTGCTTCCATGAAGTGCGGAAGTCGGCCATAAGAACTCTCCCAATCTCCAAATACTTCAGCTATGGCTTTCTCCCTAGCATACCATGCTCTTCGATAAGTAACGTCGAACTGAAAATGCTTGGATATGAGTTCCTGTATAAATTCAACTTTCAAGCATGGATCTTTCTGCACAAAAGACTTCACAAAATCGGAAATTAAGGATGAATCCAAGTGTGCATGATATGTAGATAACACTTCAGTGACACAGGTGTCCCGGTGCGGGCCTTTGTATGTGACTATGGTAAAGGTATCTGAGTGCTCACTTTTTTTGGTGCCTCGTAGCGACCAACCACAATTCTTCTTGCACCGCAGATGAAGGACCTTCTCATTCGAGGTCACTGTGGTGTAGAATTGGTTCCTTTGTATAGAATACTTCTTCACCATTTCCTGAAGCAGTTTCTTAGATTCAAAGAACATACCCTTCTCAAACTCCCCCTCGATCACAAATGTTGTATGACTACCTGATTTGGCCCAATATTGATCAACCTCATAATTCTCATTTACTTGACTTAACCAAGGAATAGGAGTTCTAACCATGGCCTCCCCACCTTCCATGTCTGTAGAATCAACATCCATGTTATCCAGAATTGGTTCCTCCTCTTCGCTCTCAGCCTCATCATTTGTTTCCCGGAGCGCATCATACAGAGACAACTCGTTATTCACCATATGTTGTAGATTTTCAAGATGATTCACCAATGGTTGAGACGGTGATGTATGATCATCATGCTGCGTAGGTGAATAACTTTGGAGTTGCATGGGAGAAGATATAACTGTGTTCGATGTCGAAGGCCCAGATTGGCCAAACATTGTCGTGGATGTTCCACCATATACAGGTGAAGCTATATGTGAACTCAACGGCATCTGGAACCGATCGTCATGAAGCAGTCTGCTGAAGGACCCAATCCCATATTCAGTTGATGGAATGTCTTGTGAGGGCATTCGGAAGGACTCTGTGTAACCGGAAAAATAGGTAGCTTGTTGATCTGGTCGAGTACTTTGTTGCGTACACGTAGACACTATTTCTACATATATCTCATGTGGATAACCCCTCATTAAAACAGCGCTCCTCAAAGCTTTCAAATGTCTATCGTTAGAACAAGGTAACACTTGAACCGCATTATTAGTCTCAAACCTCATTTGAATGTTAAGTTGTACATTCATTCGGTTTAAGCCAATAATGCTATGAACCTCGTTCATCATATCGTTGAAAGTCATGTCTGGTCCAAGTAGCAATGGTTCCATATTTCCACCACTATACTGGACATTCGGTCCATCAGACACAAATTCACCCCCCCATCGGCATAACAAAGCTGCGTTTTGTGCAGCCATATTCTATACAACAACCAAAAACACATCTTAATTGCATGCAATCTCCACCAATTCGCACAATAACAACCAAGAAATTCACACTACAAACATAATTAACCATATTCACATAACAACCAAAACAAAGTACACAACGAACATATTCACACTAACAACCAACGTATTCTACATAACATAATTTTCGTAATTAAACGACAATGTAGGCTATTTTATCAAATTAAAACAACAATTTCATCAACAATTTCATCAACATTTTCAACATTTTTACCAAACATTCCCACAATTTCATCATAAACTTTCTTACTAAACTAACATCAATTTAGGGCTTTTATACTAAACTATTATCAAATTACAACAAATTAACTTAGAATTATCAACATAATTATCAATTTACATCAAACTAACTTAGAATAATCAACAACATTATCAAATTAAAACAATGTACTATATAATTATCAAACTAACCTAGGTTTTAAAATTTTAAAAACAAATAAGTGAGAAGTACAAAAAATGTGATTATAAAGAAGAGGAGAGGCGCGGCGGCAGCAGGCAGTAGGCGGCGGCGGCAGCGGCAGCGACGGCAACGGCAGAGCTTTGTGGAAGAGAGAGTTTGAGTTTTTAGCTTTGAGGAAGAGTGAATGCGTTGCGTCTGCCTGGAAGAATATACCAGGAAAAACCGTTGACTGAGGCAGCGTGTTTCTAGTATTAATGAAACGCTGCCTGAGTCAGCGTTTTAAGGCCTGTTATAGCCTAACACAAAAACGCTGACTGAGACAGCGTTTTTGTGTATTTCAGTTTTTTTTTTATTTTTTATTTTGTATTTCACAAAATACATAATTCAAAACAAATTAAATAAATAAAAATGAGGAAAAACGTTGACCGAGGCAGCGTTTTACCTCAGAAGCTCAATTTCGTAAATAGTTTGGCCACGCGTCTATATTCGTAAATAGTTTACTAATAACGCTTAGTTTCGTAAAAAAATCCGAACAAAAATTGGTTTGGTCCAGATTACAGAATTATGGATTGGATTTCAGTTCTAGATTTAAAATTAGCAATACTTCGTATTATTTGTCAAAAACTATCTAACACCGTCCTATTATTTTTCCCGAGACCACACCATAAGAAATTGGCCAACGCGAATAGTTTGTGGCTTGCACAAACCACCACCACTGACCACCATCAGGCTACCACGCCTAGAGTTAAAACATGCAAATATGGCATTGTATGTTAGTTTTTATTTAGCAAATATTATTACTACTTCCGTTAATGGTTATGTCATTGTACCATGCAAGATTTTATGTCATGGACATAGACACACAACTGTGTTAGATGAATTTTGATTTAGCAAATGTTTTAAATATAAATAATTGAGTACCAAATTCCATGATTTTTAATAAATGAAGTAAACACTTACAAATGGTGGTACATTTGCTTGGAATGGGGGAAGTGAGCAAAGAGTGTGAATTGTGAGCACATGAAAAAGCTTGGGTTGTAATGCAAAGAGTGAAAGATTTGGAAAGGGATAATGTAAGAGCGTAATCGACTAGAACACTAGAAGAAATGTTGGTAATGCTAATATTGTTCTACCGATTTTTACGCAAGCAAGAAATTACCTATTACTCAATCCATTTTTTTAATAGTTACATCACTTTGACTTATTCGCTATTTGCATATTGTATTTGACTTAATTTTATTTAATATTATAAAATGAATTTAGACATACATAAAGATGAGGACACGCAGACACACAGTTTGCTATTTCAGGTAATGACCATATGTAGGCAAATATGCACTACATCCTTTGATTAATACAGCTCGTAGATTTCATTTCAAGCATAATTAACCACAAACAATCAGAATGAACAAACTAGAACAAAAAAATATGGAGGAAGAACGAACTCGAAAGAGTATAGACTATACACAACCTTAATACTGCAAATTCCACAATGAGACAAGACAACATAGTTCATAAAGCTAAATTTACTAGGCAGAATGAAAACAGTGAAGCCTGCAATTTACATTCACTCAAAAGGCACCCAACTTACACAAGAAAGCTGCTATGGTATCCACACCAAATATATTAGTAAGTCCCAGTAAGTTCTTAACCTAAATAACAACATAACTAAGGGCCACATCACAAACTGCAAAGAAACTTTAACCTTGACCATGATTGAACCTGAGTCATGTCCGCAATGCCATCACCTTCGCCATTGTGCTTGGCCAGACTTCGCTGAAAACACAAAACAAATGCTAGTTACAAAACAGGGACCAATGCACATGATTCATGCTTCTAGGATTTTAAATGCAGATTATTGAAAATTGACTAAATCACCAGTCAAACATGGATACTTTGACCTTGAGTCATGGCACCAAACAAATACACATATACTTTGAAAATCTAAAAAAGAGATTCTCAAGGCGGTAATGGTGCAAAACGAAGAACTCTTAAAAATTTTGCTCTAAAATTGTGGTATTGCCAGTGAACAAACTTTAATTATACCCACAGACCAACCTGATATCATTTGAGTGTGGATTTTAGTGTACTAAGAACCAACATGTTTCAGGTTAGTCAAAAAAAAAATGTTTCAGGAGAATCTCACTTCATTGAAAAAACATAATCTAAGACCCCACACAAAGAAAATTTGTAAAAATTCGAAAGGCTTACCACTTCCATCTCTAGAAGATAACAAAGATTTCTCAGTTTTGTTTCCACTCTTTCCACCACTACCTTGAAGCGGTTTCTGTGTCCTTGGTGACACTGAGCTGACTTTCCCATTTGGTGCAGATGGGAGTGAATGACGTCTGGTCGCATTGTTTTTCTCAGCTTCATCTTGTACAATTTTAGGGGATCCCTGTGCTCTTAACTTTGCCTTGGCAGATTGGGTAGCTTGCATATAGCTAGGAAGCTTCGGAGTATTCTGCAAGCCATCCTCATGCTCCTGTTTTGCGGGAAAAGAAGCCCTCCTATTGGATTTCTGATTTTCGTTTGATGCGGAATCCTCCTTAGTTTTCAAGACACCATTTGGCACAGGAGTATTTTCATCCTTGTCATTCTCAAAAGACTCTGATTTGACCAGGGTTCCATCATCGTTTGAGAATTCAGCAGACTGACTTGTCTCTAACGGCTCCTCAGTTGTCTCCTCTTCGTCTGGCTTAGAATAAACAATAGGCTCTTCCTTAACAGTCATGCTGGTCTCTTCTTTGGTATTCTGAACAACATTGACCTCATTTGGAACCGAAACGTCCTGTACAATGGATGCAGTTACTTTCCCTTGGCTCTGAACTGGCTTCTCAATTACCTCTGTCCGAGCCTGTACAACGGATGCAGTTACTTTCCCTTGGATCTGAACTGGCTTCTCAATTATCTCAGTCTGAGGCTGACCAGGGGTTTCAGACACAGGGTTGTGAACTTTTCTAAGGCTACGTTTAACCTTCTCAAGCTCGAACTGCGGATTATCTTGTACAGAATCTGCTGGCTGGCTTACAACTTTCTTCAGATTTCGCCGTGGTTTCTCTATTTCAGAGGTGGTCTGAGCTGACACATTATCATAAAGAGAAGGAACCTTGCGAACACTGCGCTTAGGCCTACCTGTATCCCCATCAATGGCCAGTGAGTTCCCTTGCTTTTTCTGGACCTTTGAGTTAGTGACTTTCTTAGGGGGAGAGACTGGTTTCCAAGGGCAGGATATTGACCATCTTTCCAACCAATTCTGGACTGAATTTGAATCTGTCACATCATATTGGACTCGCAGAGCCATCACTGCAGGTGATGGAGCTAGAAGCTGTATTGAACAATAGTAAAAAATAAGAAAAACTAATTCCATGAAATTTTTGTAGATTTCACCTTCCACACTAATAATATCTCAAATTTGTGATTTCCTCCCCTACCTCCATTTTACCTTACTTACATTGATAGATGTATTTGACTGAGAAGAATAATGTCAAGAGAAAGGGTTGGACAAAAACCAGTTTTATATCTTTTAGACAAAGTTTAAGCGAATATTGGTATGTCATTACAGTTTTATATCTTTTAGACAAAGCTTACTTTTTTTGTAAATGCATTCACTGACAAGCTTGAGGTGCCAGCAGACATGTCTCCATGAACCCCAACTTTGCCATCCTGAAAATTAGCAGTATGTAGTAGTAAGAAAGTGGCAAACTGGCAACAAAACAAGCAACCTTCACTATTAGCAAAAAAAGTTATTAAAAAAAAAACAAATCAAACAGCTCCCTGCCTTTCATGTGAGCTGAATTTTAAAGAATATAACTGATCCAAACAGAAAGTTCATCATTTAATGTGTTCAACCAGCCAGATTTACTAGGCTGCCTATAAATCACACATCCATATAAACATATAATACTTGGCTCAAATTGTTTGTCTAAATAGAAAGTTCGCAATAACTAGGATAAGAGCAACCGATAGAACTTGGGACAAACTTTGGAGTCCTTTTTTAAATTCTGAGCAGATCAAAATTAGAATGGGGCCAACACTTCAAGATGGTGGTACTAAGATGGTTCCAGATGCTAGTGCCCCTGAATGCAATCTTAGAGTGAAATATTTGGTATCAGCTATAAAATGCTACTGGACTTGCCCCTGACGAATCTACTACATGGGACTTGCCCCTGACGAATCTTCTACATGTCTACAACAATACATGACTATAAAATAAATCACAACCAAATGATGATTAAAATTAGTGCCAGTACCCTGAAGGATGCAACAAAATCAATCCGCATATAAAGTTATTTCATAAGAGGTGCGAATCAGTAGAGAAAAATGAGAAGGTGAGATTAGCAGCAAAAGCATGCTAAATCCCTTAAACCAATCATCAATTACCAACACGGTCCAAAAACCTTGCCACTTCCAATTTTTAGTACTTGTATTATTATTGGTGATAAACATATATTTTTAAAATTGAAATTTCACAAGATTTTGACGTCAAACAAAGCATGCAAAATCAAACAATTTTCAAAAAGAGGAATTTAGTCCTGCAAATCAAGCAACTCTGTGAATTCATACAAAGATTCCCTCTTTAACAGCTCCAGATAAGTAACCAGAAAAAGAAACGCCTTTTTTTTTACTAGAGAAAAAGAAACACCTTAAATAACCATTAAGGGAATTACCAGAGGCTTCACTATACAGACTTTCTGGACTTCAAGGCCAGCATCAGAACACCTAATTTTTAATCCACGAACAAGCGCTTGCAGCTTGACAACTCCTATAATGCAATACAAGGTTGAAACAGCTTGTCTCCTCACCAAATGTCCACGAATAAGAGCCTGAAGCCTTATAATGCCTTTCAGGGCCTTGAATGCACGTCGAGCCTTCACAAATATGCTCAAATTAGAAAAAGTTATCAAGTACCAACAAATTCTGGTAAATTAAGCACAGTTGATATACCATAGAAACGGACCAAGACATATGCAAACATACACATGCCAACAGAAAATAGAAAGCTTAATCAATCAGCCAGAACATCTAGCAATTAATAACTATGAAGTAATTATTACAGTATTATTTTATGTATCACTATCTAATACAAGTAGCAGAAAGTATGAATACATATAAAAAGTTTTTATAAGTACGAACATGATATTCTTAATTATCATGTCAATACAGATGCAGAACTTACCAGATAGCCCCTAAAAGCAGCCTGTGTCTTAGTTGCAGCCATTTCTAACTCTATTCTCTCCTCGTCAGTTAACATATCTGTTTCCTCTGTCGGTTTTGGATCAGTGCATTGATCTCCAGATACTGGTATATCCCCATCTGCCTGGCCAAGAGAAGACTCCTCGTACTCTGAGCTTAAATTTTGGTCATCCACATGAACTGCATCTATAGCAGCACTTGATACCTCTGGAGGATTAGCATCATTATCAGTTGATTCAGTTTCAGGAGCCCTAACACGAACATGCACCTCTTTCTCGTTGGTGGATTTCTTAGCACAGTAAAAAAAATATATATTAATCAGAAGGTGAAAAAACAAATAAATAAATAAAAAGTAAGAACAGGCTTATCCTAAACTAAGTTTTGAAAATCACTAGTGTGCTTCATTGATGCAATCCGCAATAATTTCTCATAAAACTAAATATATAATATTAATGTAGGAAAACTAAACAAGATTCTGAAACTCTATTGTGTAAAAGTTATACTTCCTCAATTCCTTTTTAATTGCAACTTTTGAAATTTTACGCTATTCACATTTACTACTTTGACCATCTTTTGTAATTTATATGTTAGGAAAAAAAATAGACATGTGGGGTCTTGTTAGATTCGTCTCAATTTATATTTTCAAATACTTGGTATATTAATTTTTATAATTTTTACTTAAGTATAATTAAAAATATTAATTTTATAAAATGTACATTGGCAAACGTGAAAACCCCAACTTTGCAATTAAAAAAAAAAGAACCGATAAATTATATGTGATGGTGTGGTTTATCACCAACTAAGGACTTAATAACAAAATTCATTTGACTTCATCTCACCTAAATTTAAAAAAGAACCTTGAGGTCTAGACAATAAACAAGGTTCCAAGTACATGCAGCCCAAGCCAAAGTAATTATCCAATGAATCTATCTTACAAGTTTTTATTTTTTGTGTAGAATATTGAGGTCGAAAATTTTTACAGCGTCAATGAGCAGAACACATGAAGACTATCAAATTTGAAAAAAAATAATCCTCAGCGAAGAGACGGCGATCGCCACCTACACACAATAACACATATACTCTACTCCAGCAGTCAGATACACAAATGCGACAGATCCCACTTAATATATTCTATTATATCTATACATATTTTAAGAGACCAGAGTATCAGATCTGAATATCCTATTCTAATATTCTGTTTACACAAAAAATGACACAAAACTCCATAAAAGCATATTAGAGCACTATAGAGTGTATGAATTACGTGTGAAATAAGGAAAAAGAAAAGCTTCTACTCAAAGTTAAGATGTAATATATACAAAAGGAAAGGAATTACTTTTTAGCATAATTTCACCTAGACAAGAAAAGGCACATATTTACCGGACAATCACCTAGATCTCAAAATTCAAAAAGTGCTAATAGGTTCATAGATCACAAAAAAGATGAAGGGGTGCATCTTGATGATGTAGGCATTACTTTTAGCTTCTCTAGTTTTCCACGCACATGGTACCAGAGAGCCAAAATAATTAATATCTAAATTAATCACACAGTACAACAGAAAAGTATGAAAACAAAGGTGTTAAAAACGCAATGTACCTACCAGACAGTTTTGCAGAAGTTACATTGAAGCACTAATAGTATGTAACAGTAGTTACATCGTAAAAGTTAAACATCTAAGGGAGCAGAGTAATAACCAAGTAAGTCTTCAGCAAGTACCTCTTTACCCTTGGCAAAATTGGATTTGGATGGTTTCTTCCCAAAAATTACAGTCTTTATCCACTTTCCAGGTGATTTCCCCATTGTTGAGAGGCCAAAATTGACTTAACAAAACCTTCAGCACAAGATATCACTTCAGCGCATAATATCTAGAGGCAAAGAGCAAATAGAGCTAACCAAATGAAAAAAGTAAATGATATATGGCAGTTAATTGTGAAAGTTGTTCTACTTTACTAAAGAGCACTATAATAGTCAAAACTTATAAGTTGTTACTCAGACACTAACATGAATGTTAGGTACAAGTAACATATCCAAGTGTTCAACACAATAAGGCTCAAAATTCTGATCACATGAGCACTGTCCTAAAATTGGACACAAGTGCGACACACTGATTCACAAAACATCTACGTAGTACCTGATTTTAAAGACATTCCAATGTGATTGCCAAGTTACAAATACATATAAACAAATTTTAGATTTAGTAGCTCAATTATTGCAATAATTAAGATATCAACTTCTCGCAAATTTTCACATCCTTTTTCCTCATATCATTTTATCTTTCTTTGTATGGATATGTGATTCAGGATTATTGAGGTGTCCGGTGTCTGGATGAAACCTGGAGTGTAGGATAAGAAATCCAACCTCATGTCTGAAAGTACATTTTCCCACATGGATAAGACAATAAATTGTCAAAGCAGCAAAGCTAAGCTATACCATGTATCAAAGCTAGTAAGTTGAAATTTCACTGTACAAGCTACCCCCTAAAATATCAACATGCATTTTCAAGAAATTTTAATGAACACCACAGGGGATAACAGAAGCAGCTTGATCAAATTGAATATAAAATCACAAACAGCTGTTTGTCCATTGATGTCAGCATGACACATAGTTTTACATAAAAAGACCTTAATTGAATATATCTCTCATTGTACAAACCACTCTTGATCATTTCACTTTCATTACATAAGCCAAACATTGAACTGATTGAAGCTCAGAATCAGTAGATAAAAAATTAAAGTAATTTTCTAAAAAGTGGTGAAAGGGCTCAACATTTATCCCTTTTCTACTTTAATTTTCATGATCAAAGGCACTGATACAATAAGTCCCTAATTGTAATGTTGCACTGCAATTCCACAAGTAACAAAGGCTTGCATTTGCTAAGGGTCACAAACCTAGTTCTGCATATCCTAAGAAATAATTAAGTATTTTTTTCTAGGTATGATCTGTCAATTGAACATGATAGAAAATCAGTGCTACTAAAACTTACTGAAGGTAGCTATATGCACAAGATGGATTATCCAACAAGAGAGTTTGCTTTGAAGTGTATAACAACCGACATTACAAGCACAATAAAATCAACCTTAAGGTTTGTTTGAAAGGCTTGGATAGCAATGCGTTCAGCATTACTACTTGCTTCTACGTGCAAAAATAAAAAGTGGATTGATTCATACTTTATGCTGAACATAAAATAATGCAATTACCTATCCTAACCAAAGTCCTTATCTTTCAAGTTAATTCTCATTTATCATCAAAGTCAACTATTCGAGCAAAATGAATACGTATCCAAGCAAAATAAAACTACCCTCAGACACAAATCCTCAATGCAATAAACATGATCTTTCAATTCCTAGCAGATAGGACCAACCATATCAATTTCTTCAATGCTCCACCATCAATATCTTCAATAACTCCATAAGATTTTAACCACTTCAACATCACAGAAAATTTGGTAATACGAAAGTCGACACTAACAACCAGAAAAAGGACAGCTTATGAACCCAATGTTGCACATGCACACATAGCAGCTAGCTTCTAAAGGCGTCTCCAAGTATTATATGGCAAAGAAAATCAACAATACCAAGGCATCTAAACCTAGCTCCAACCAGCAAACTCAACAATATGGCATCACCCATCCCTGAAGATAAGCCCTGATTGAATCAGGTTTTTGTAAAGATCCTTATTCACTAGTCATCTTTCTTAAGTTTGAAATAAATATGTGCCATCATACTATGTACATTGTCTTTATGTACGAAAAATAAAATAAATAAATCCAAAACATCCTCAGAAACAGCCCTTTAATAGTCTCTTTAATTGCCCTTTACTGGTTAGAAGTAAGCTAGTGTATATCTGACCTGTCAGCAAGATATATATTGGGTTGTTCTTGTCATACAAACGAACCATTAGAGCGCCATTTTATACTGTGTAATAGATGTACATTTTTGCCTCCCTATACAATTAGCAACTATATACTCCTTTGATTTTCCTAGATAATCATTTTCAATGAAATGGATATTAGCATTTGCATCTCTTTTCTATTCAACCTCCTTTCTGTGCCAGGGAAGAAAGGCTTGGAATTAACAAACTGTAAATCCTTTTAAGCTTAGAATGACATGGGTTGTCTTCACCATAATCACTCAATACATAGGTCTCCTGCAATCAAGACCAATATCTACTTTGCCGTAAAGCAAATAAAAAAATGGATTATGTCCCTAGTCGAAAAAGAAAATCTAGAAGCCCTTGGCTGTGCATACAAGTCTAGTGAATTACTCGACCAGCCGCTATATGGTGTACTCATCCTATGTTGATCTAGCTCTCAAGCAGCCCAAACGTGATGAGGAGACAATCAAAACCCAATAAAATAGGAAGTAATCATAATCCTTCTTCAGCCATAGCCAATCAATATCCATAATGGAAGGTTACCAAGACTTGTACATACCCAGTCCATCCTAAACCTCTTATACAAAATCCACAAATAACATACTCCATACTCCCTAATGCGTACAAACTTCATATCCCAACCAAGTACAATTGAACGACGATACGCTTCACCAACGCTAAATTAATCTAGGTGTATGCCCACAGAATATCAGATCACTAATTCACTATCAAGCATAGAGCCATTGGCCTTATAACAACTAGGTTAAACAGAATCTCCCTGAAATGCCGCAACATCCTTTAAAAAAATTATAATGGTGACCTATTCAACTATTAAGCACATTATAATTACCTCAAACAAACAAAACTCTCTATTTCCCAAAATAAAATTTTCAAAAAAATTCCATTTTTTTCAAACCCTTTTCCTCATTTCCCCCCAATATTCCCTAACAACCAACAAAACATAAAAACATCAAAATATAAAAATACAAACATTACCAACCAAAAACAATAACCCAGTAACAAAACCAAAGTAAAGATCTGCTTACGAGTAAGCACCGACATTCAACAAATTACCTTAAAACAAGTAAATAAATGTAAATATGAACAAAACCTACAGTTTCCATAATTTAAAACACTTAATTAACTTTAATTAGCAATTACCCACATTCAGATCTATAACTTACCAAACAAATGCAGATACCAAAACCCACAAAATCTAGCAAAACACCCACAATAAACTAAACTGAAAAACAAAAAAAAATCCAATCTTTTCAAAAAATTTACATGCTTTAGCAGAAAATAAAATAGAGGAGAGAGAAAATAAACCATGAAAACAGACCTTGGGAGTTTAAGCGAAGGTGATGTAGCAGATCATTACTACTGCTACTCTGTACTGAAACACTGAAATATACCCTCCAAAAATTTTAATTTTTTTAATTTTTTTTTGGTTTTTGCAGACAAAAATAAATAAATATTAATGGCAATGAAAGAGGGTATAATATGGTATGGGCGGGTTCATAGTAATATGACGTAAGCTCGTTGAATACAGCCGTTCGATGGAGGTCATTTGATACTGTGATGAAAATGGACGGCTGAGATTTGGAGTTGGAGAAGTTTATTTATTGGAACTGACAAATTTGAAGTTTGCTTCAGAAATAAGGGAGTGTGGGGATTCTTTGGCTTTAAAACAAAATTGACAATTTTGCCCTCCAGGTTTTATTTCTCCATATTTATTTTCCCTATTTTAAATTTTAATACTTCGGATAAAACATTTATTTTATTGATTATCAATGCCATACATTCAACTATTTTTTTTTTTGAGGAAAGCAATACATTCAACTATTAACAGCTTGTTAATTTATGAATTAGGAATTTATGACAAAAATATGCGCAAATCAGTGTTATTTTAGTGTTTATATTTTGATGATTTCTTAATTTTTTACGATTTTAAGTGTAAATCTAATGCTTATATGTAGCCCTAAGGGCTATGGATAATATTTTCCTTAATTTATTCTAAAAAAAAAAATTAACACCTTGTTAATATGTAAAATTAATAAATTTTGATTTTTAGTATTCCATATACTACATATACGGTATAAGTTAAGACAGTATCATATGCTCCGTACTATGGAGTACTCCGTAATAATTATTTTTTTAAAAAAAAAAAACAACTTTTTTTTTATTGAGGAAGTTCTACTAGAATTTAATACACATAAATTCTGATAACGATTAATAAAAGACATTAAATTTCATTTTTTTTAACTATAATAAGTTTAATTAAAATCTAATAAGGTATGTTCAATTCACCTTTATATTCATTACTCCCTCCGTTTCAATATAATAGTCTCATATGGAATCTATTACATAAAATAAGAATTGAAGAATATTTGGAATCTAACATTAAAGTCAAAAACAATTCATAAATAGTTTTGTCTTATTTAAACTTTTTTTGTTTTTTTTAGGAAACTGTCAAGTATAATTGCATAATTCAAGGGAATAATTTCTTTACTTAGACTCATGTCATCAATGCACAATCATTAATTTAACCAATCATAATTTAATATGTATAAAATAGGAAATAAAAACTAAGTTTAAAGTAGAATACATTCAATATGGGTAGATCTTTTTGAAACGCCCAAAATAGTATATGAGACTAACAAATTGAAACGGAGGGAGTATTAGTTTAAATAAGTCGGGTAAATAGATTCCCCTCAAAAAAAAAAAAAAGTCAGGTAAATAGATTTTACTGTAAATTTAGATACGATTTGTTGTGGAAATCAAATGAACACACCCTAAATAATATAAATATGTTATATCCAAAAAAAAAGATGAATTTTTAACAGTTTATTTTTATTTTTTTAGAAATTTATATTTAAGATTTACCCTCCCTTAAAAGGAAAAATTGAGTGTAAATGAAGAGCCAGGCTGGAAAAGGAGGCATAAGTGCTAAAAAAGAGGGAAAAAAGTGGGAAACGTAGCAATGTTGGAAGTTGGTTGAACAACCCTTTGGCTCTTGCTATATGAGGAATTAATTAGAATAAGAAGGCGATAAATACAAGTTTTAATATCCTTTTTCTTAACACATACTTGTGCTTAGAAAGAGACAAATGACAATGAAGGAATCTTAATTTTCTTTCTTCTTGCTAATTATTAGTATTTCTTGTAATTATTCAAGCTTTAGCTTTTTTAATTGCAATATAATGCATGCATTATATGGTTATTATTATGTTATTCAAATGTATAGTTGTAATGATGTCGGTGTTCAAGTGTCACTTGCGAGCTACATTTATATACAACGGATAATTGGGTGTGTGTTGTTTTGTTCATTTTATTATAGCAAATTCTTGTAAAAGTTGGTCTAATACAGGGCGGATCCTACAATACAGTTATTTATATGTCGAAAATCAATCAAGTTATGTTCTCTTCGCCTAATTTTACTTATTTCAAGTTTGGTAAGTGCATATATAATTATCACAAAGTATTGGGGGCGGCAAGTTGCACCCAATGTTTCGTCAATCGAGACTCAAGAAAGTATCAGATCATCGTCATCTTCTTGTGATAAAGAACAAATTTCCACCCGATGACAAGTTAGTGGTGGTTACGGCGAAGGAGAACAGCGAGGACATCCATGGCGGAAGAGAGAGAAAGCTTGAGATTCTCGGTTTTTTTTTTTTAAATGCCCAAAAACTGAATTGGGGCTTTCTTATGTGATGTATAACTGTTGAAATTGATTGTCCCATATGATTGTATGTTGAATTGTGGGCATTTTTGTAACATATGCATGTATTTTGGTTTAGAAATGAGCAAGGTATGTTATGCCCAAGACCTTAGTACGAGTACTTCAATGGAGGTTCCACCATTGTTATACATATTATCAAACAAATTATACATATCTTCAAACAAGTTATACATATCCTTCATTGGCTGGATGATCGATATCCTCTATTGACTATAAGATATCATGGTTGGATGATATCCTCTATTAGCTATATGATATCGTTTATGATTGTGTCTATGATATAATATCTTCTATTGGCTATATGATATCATGGATGGATGATATACTCTATTGGCTATATGATACCATCAAGCCATGTTATCACATAGTCATCAATAGAGGATATCATCATGCCAATAGAGGATATCATCTAGCTAGTAAAAATGTCATTCAGCAAATAAAGGATATCATCTAGCCAGAAGAAATATCATCTAGCCAATATAGGATATCATTAAGCTAGTAGAGGATATCATCTAGCTACTAGAATTACCATCTAGCCAATAAAAGGATATCATATAGCCAATAAACGATATCATCCAGTTAGTTGAAGATATCATCCACCCAATAAATGATACCATTCATCCCATAGAGGATATTATCTCGCCAATTGAGAATATAAAAAATTCGCATTTGCAACGATTTGACATAAAGTAAAGAGGAAAAATGTCTAATCGTTGCAAATAATATGAAACGGCGGTAGTATATACAAGTCCGCCCTATTTTTAACAACTCTTTCAAAAAAAAATCATTAATAAAAAGTCATACGACATTTACAACTGAAATCTATATTTATCAAATACGTATATAAAAACAAAACAAACAAAGGTTTTCTTCATTGAAGCCTTTAATGGATTTTTCACTGAGGTACATCCCTTGCACATATCGTTGGAATATACAACCTTTTCAGAGAGACGGTCTAATGATTCTGTGTAGCCAAGCGGATGAATTTCATCTGATTCTTTTGAACTTATTTGGAAACTTGACAACCTTTGTAATCCCGCATAATTCTTTACCAACAAATCAATCATAGGGCATGCAGAAGAAGATAGGTTTTTTTTTTTAATTAAACCCTTATCCACAATAATTAAGTGAGAGGAACGAACAACTACACCAAAAACTAACAACTTCATCCATCACAGGAGACTAGTACATCTACACTACTCGTTTAAATTTATTTAAATTAACAATAAAAATTAAAGAAAAACAAGGAGAATGCCCAAAATGGTAATGACAAAAAAATATTAAACCTTGGAGGAGAAAAGAAGGAAAAAGAAGAGATATTTAAGTTCAAAGAAGTATAAATTCAAATAATAGGACAATCTAGTCCTTATTTGCCGGACATAATCATTTTATTTTGAGTTTAGAACTAGGTTTTTAACTCGGGCGATGTCTCAGATCATTGTGAATATATTTAAACTAAATTTTAATAATAATCAGGTGAAATAGTAATATAGATTAGTTATATTACTATTTTAATGATAATTAGGTGAAATAGTAATATAGAATAGTTATATGAAGAAAAACTAAATTTTAATGATAATTATTTTTTTTTTATTTTTTTTGAAACCTAATGATAATTAATTTATTTCATTACTTTTACTACTATTTTTTCAAACATAATTTTTTTTTTTACTAAGAACAAAGCGTCCTATCAAATAAAAATCTATCTCACACATGTTAACTCGACTTGGATTAATTAGCTTGTAATTCAAGGACCATAATACATTGTTTGAATTGAAAGAATTGGAGGGATAGGAAGAGAATATAAAAGAAGAGATTCATCCTCCCTTTCCTTGGATACCTTTTGATCTATAAGGGTGACAACAAAGGAAGGTGTCAAATACGGAGGATCATTTTCCCTCCCTCTTTAATAAACCAATGCAAATCCTTCTAGTGTTAGAAAGATTTGAAGGAAAAATTATGTAAGTTTACCTTCTCCCTCCTCTTACTTCTTCCTTCTTCCTTCTTCCTTTACCTTTCTCTTCTGCTATGCTATCCAAACAAACCGTAAGGAGTGGGGAGGGGGAAAGGGTAAGAGAACCTCACTCCAACCACAAAGTGACTAGGGATGATTATTGATCCCACTGCCTATTTTACCACAAACATATATAAGATAATAAGTTACAAAATGCAAAGAAAAATCATGCATAAAGAAGAAAATTTACCGATTTTTGTCATCAATAAACACATTTGTGTTGCAAGTAACATTAGAGGAAACAATGGAACACCATTACATGACTCCCTAAAACGATGTTTGTTAGACCCCAAAACACCAAAATAAAAATTAAGTTCCCCTCTCAATATCAATTTTAACTTCATATCCTCTTTTTAAAACTACTCTTGATAATATTTGGACTTTCCCTTTAGCATACATCATTAATTTATTTTGACACTTTTGGTCTTTTGGACTTTTTGTGTCAGATGTTGTACCTTGTTGTTTTCTTTAGTTATTCCTCCTACCTTAAACCAAAAGGTTTCAAATGTCACTTTCCAAAAATTAACCCAATAACCAATGTGTTTGGTTATTAGACATAACATCAATGTTAGCTTTTAGACTTGTGACTCTAAATGCAGAAATATGGATGTTTTTAACATGAGTTCGAGGTGTTTTAGCGTAATTAAACACAACTAATACTACTATTGCTACGATGAATAGGGCGGTTAGG